AATTACAATAATCTGTGTGAATACAATAAATAATTGATGAAAGTTTATTCCCTTTCTTTTATTTTCTCAGTATCTCAAAGTTCTCTGTATTTGTTTATTTGTTAATCCATTTTCAATCATTCATCCATTTTTATAGCCCCTTTTTTATAAAATGGTGGTGTTGATCTAAATTTGGTGTAGTTTTTTCTTCCTATTTAAGGGGTGATGGGTTTTATTTGATTTTGATTATTTTTTATTTATGTTTTCTTTTATTCATAAGAAATAAGACTTTTCTTATTTGAAAAGAACTGAATAAATTTATTCATTGGTTTTACTTTTCAATTTTTTTTTTTCTTGTTACAGAACTTAAAAGAGATTTGTTTTAAAACACAATGGAACTTCTACAATTGAATTTTACATATTTAGGTTGTCTGTTATGAAGTAAAAGTCAAGCTATTATGATCATTATGTCATTGTTGCTGTCGTCATCATGCAAAACCTTTGATGTAGCCCATTATTCAAACATGTTAAAAGTTATCATGAAACTTGAAATACTTTCTTATCATGACAAGATGCAGTTGTTAGACAAGGGGCATAATTCTGAAAGCATTATTTTTGGAGTTATGCCCCTTTTTAACTTAGAATATTGTGTCAAAATTGGTTATTGATAGTAATTATCTTTTACAGATGAGCGTAAAACTGCATGTGGTGCTCTTGCTAAATAACTTATAATGGTAAAGAACAAAAAAAAGAATTTGAGCCGCACCATGACAAAACCAACATAATGGGTTTGCGACCAGCATGGATCCAGACCAGCCTGTGAATCCGCGCAGTCTGATCAGGATCCACGTTGTTTGCTATCAATTTCTGTTCTTGTAATAGGGTTTGTAAGCAAACAGCATGGATCCTGATCAGAATGTGCGGATGCGCAGGCTGGTCTGGATTCATGCTGGTCGCCTGGTCGCAAACACATTATGTTTGTTTTGTCATGACACGGCACATTTATGGTTATGACATTTTGATATTTTGCTCTACAAATATTTAATCTAAGTGAATGACTGATATATACATGTAGAAGTTGAAAAATGACATTCCATATGTTTTACACATGCATATATATTTTACTTTTCTTTTGTAACAGCACAGTTGTGTTGACATTGTTTAATGAAATATGTTATTAGTTAATGGTTAATGTGTTTAAAGCTATATATCTGCTGTGTGCAGTTTACAAAATTATTGTTTGAAATTTTGTATAAGAATTATTCTTACATACCTGTGTGAAAAAAAGATATATATTTACATAATTATTTCTGTAAAAGTGAATAGTGTATGCAGAAAATCATCCCCTTCTTGAAATAGCAGCATAATATTTTATTCCTGAACATTTTATTCTGTTACTTTCAATATTCATATGTTTTAAATGATAGAGGCATTATATGTGACTTTTTTTTTCACAAATCCACCATCAGGTTATGGAAAAAAAACCATCAATGTACCATGAGTATAATAGGTCACCATTTAAGACCTATGACTGTTACATGGATTTTGAAAGAATTACTTAGAAATTTTTTAATTATTCAGGCTCTTGTTTTACTATCAAACACTGTGAGTAGTCAAGCAAATCGTCCTACCGAAGCTCTTAGTTAATGTTTGAATATCAAGATGAAAAATTTTGTAAAAAGTAGGTGGCCTCCACATTATTGAGCCTGATCAAACTGCTCAGATTTGCAGGCTGGCCTGTTCTTGTTTCCAGCAGATAAAGGCTGTAAACAATCCAATTATAATCAACAGCTTTATAATGTTGTGTTTCATGTAACATGGCAGTAGATCTGAACTTTATTATGATAAACTCCACTTATAACAATATTAAGAGGACTGCCAAATTTATATTAGTATATCTGGATAAAGTTAAATATCCAAGAGGAACCAATTTGAAAACAACAGTCAGGACCTACGCAACAGCATTGTTTTAAGGAGTATATCTCTATATGAGTGATATCGTTTTAAGCAGTAAATCGTTAAAAGATATATTGTTTAAGACAGTATATTGTTATCAGCGATATTGTTCTATGTGGTATATTATTTTAAGTGGTATATTGTTATAAGCTATATTGTTCTAAGTGGAAAATTGGTATAAGCGATATTGTATTAAGTGGAGTTTACTGTATAATTATGCAGTATTTATTTAAGTTTGTCATTTTCCGATTTTATTGCTTATCATTTATGTATAGATTAAAACTAAGATTTTAGATGACCATATTTAATATTTTACTGTTAATACAGCTAATTTGTGATGTTTTTGTTTTGTAAATACTTACATGTTTTATTTGTTACAATTATAACAATGAACAATAAATGTCTAGATCTGAAATTACAATTTGTTGTTGTTGTTTTTGTTTTGCTTTTTAATTCATCCAGTAAAGCTGGAACATTTCCATTTGACCTATACAAACTGGCCCTGAATTTTCTGGCCTTTAAAAATTATTGGTATGCTTTGTTTATTTTCAAAAGATATTGAATTTTGATTAAGAAACATATGGGAATTTTCCTATATTATAATTAAAATCCAATAAAATATAATATTGTTTAAATGAGAAATTTGTATGTTTGCTTTTGTTTGAGCAAGTAAATATATGAAAAGTAGGCACTGGTCATTTAATTGAATTGTAAAATTTTTGAGTGTATATATTTCAAAGTAATAAAAAGTTAGGTTATTTAAGAACAGTTGCCTGAAAGTACCCGTAGACATATACAGAAGTAGTAAAATGTAGGCAACTTTCAAAGAAAAATAAAAGATGGGTAGGATTTTTTTACTATTGGTAAGTGTTTCTTTTATTTAGCATTAACTCAATATATTTTTGAATGACTTATATTTGTATTTGCTTTTAAAGAAATTTAAATGGATTAATTGACATACAATCTCAAAATAAATGCATTTTCATACAATCAAACAATGAAAGTCATTTTCAAACAATCCTAAAATTAATTTACATTTCACAGACTCTCAAAATGAATGTATTTTTCATACAATTTGAAAATGAATACATGTTAATACCACAATTAATGAAGTTTTTATATCATCTCAAAATGGATGTATTTTTCATACTATCTCAGAACAAATGTATTTTTTTCATATAGTCTCAAAATGAATGTATTTTTCATACAATCTAAAAACATAAATGTATTTGATTTTTATTACAGCTTGGTTTTCTCTTGGAGTTACTGTACAGCAGTAATGCAGGTATTTAAGTTTTCTAAATATAATTTAAAAAATGCATTTGAATAATGATTATTTAGTAGTATGAATATTAAATCCGGTGATTCAAGTTATTTTCTTCTTATTAAACATTTAAACTAAACACAACTTCAATTGGTTTACATCATATGGGTGTTTAATTATAAATTTGAATTTTACTATTTAAATGTCAAAATGAGATAAATTGGCAGAACCTATGCATAATTTATGCATTTAGTGGACAAATTTTGATTATGAATAACAAAATACACTGAAACATTTGAAAAAGATGCCTTCCCTTTATTGTGTTCATTAATGTCTTATAGTTTAGAAATCATTTTATTAACTGTCGGACTATTTAAAGTTGATCAATCAAGATACATTGTCTCGAGATTGTCTTCATGATGTCTCCATACATTTCTTCCTATCCAGCTGCTGTATTTTCAGTTAAAAAACTCATATTTTTATTTTTAGCCATATACCAGGGGTGTTACCCAGAGACTCTAGGATCACGCCAGCTTGCTGCCAACCCTGGTAACTACTACACCAACAATACAGCGACCGATATGTGCAATGCCCTTTGTACCTCACAAGGATATATGTAAGTTAAGTTTCCTAGATTGCAATATTATATTTGCTTTGACAAAGGAGTACTTTTTAATAAGTGCTAACCTTCTTTACCTACTAAATAAATATAATGTTACTGCCCAGTATTAAAACTTCGGATATGCCAGAGACTAGAAGATTTTAATGCCTATGTTTAATTCTTCTGGGGACAACTTAAACCTACCCATGTGACCAGTGTAGACCAAGAACTGCTGGCAAAGTCATGACATATGATCAGTCATGGTCTGCACTGTTTACTATTTAGGTAGTGCTTATTTTTAAATTTTTTGCTAAAAATGATGAATGGTGTTGTCAACATTTGAAATATTGACAAGTCCATTTTAAGATAATTAGCATGGTAAGGATTATAGAGCTCACAGTACAGGGTCTACCCAGACTGCATGAAATTATAAGCTAATTTGGACAATACACTTGAGACATGGACATGGGCCTGTCATTACATGTATTAATATCACAAGCTTTTGTGTCAAACATTAATAATAATAATTATATGTAATTTTTATATAATAATGGTAACAAATGTTGAATGACGCTTACCTTACTGCCAGGAGTGATTACTAATGACCTGCCAGTTGTGTCTGTGGCACCAACAAAGAGCCTAGCAAGTCTATATATCTGTGACTGCATTTCATAGAAAGTCCTATATCTGAAATTAGTCTTGAGACCAAAACTGAGAAAGTTCACATTTCAAAGAAAAATATCCTAACTTATTACTCCTACGTTATGACATAATTTCTGAATAGCAATGCTGATGGGCATTTACACATTGCAAATAAAAAGGTGTGTTAATATATTTCTTAACTTTTTCAGGAGAATGAATTTATTTATAGGCTACAGTATTTGTCTGTAGATAAAAATGTTTATTAAATGATCTTAATTTAGTCCTAAATTTTGTTTTAGGTCCTAGGACTTAGGATACACTTAGGACTTTCTGTAAAACCCAACCCTGTGTTGTCTGACCAGACTCTATACTGTAAACTGTCTTACTACAGTATTTTCACAATAAAATCCTTTGAATTAAAATAGATAGTTCAAATAGCCATTGACCATTTCAAATTTACTAATTGAAATCTCTTTGAATGTAGCAAAATAAAATATTTTTAGATTCTTCAAATTACATGTAATTGTACTAACTGTAGAGATTCATTTTCAGATACTCGGGTTTAACGTCGGGAGAATTGTGTTTCTGCGGAAACACTGTAACAGAAACTTCTGTGTCGGAAGGACTTTGTGATCTAACATGTCAAGGAAATGCGCTAGAAAGTTGTGGGTCAGAAAATGGCTACATAAACATTCATGAGTTATCAGCCACAGAGTTGTCCGGTCTGACCATTCAGTGTCCAGGTAGAAACTTATGATTTCTTTTATGTTAGGAAGCTGTCCAGCTACCTAATTTCTACTTAGATGTAGGTCGGTATCTGAAATAATGCAAGGTAGAGCGCCTGAGATATCTTCCTCCAAAAGTTATTTTGGCTGTGTAAAAGCATGTTCATTTGATATACATTGTATGTATTATATATAAAAATGGCATTTGGTAACCAAAAGAAAAATGCTGCATGATAAAATAATGATGAGGATTAAAAATTAAATTCTTTAACACATCATACTTTTCTTTTCAATTTTGCTCATATTTCATTATTTTCAGGGGTTGTTGAGACTTATCAAAGCATCACGTTCACTTTTAATGTGACCGGAGGTGACGTTGTTACTATTTCTGGTAGCCTTACAGATGGTAATAAGCATTTCACCCTGGCCTCCAATGTCTTAACATTACAAGATAGCATACAAACACCCGGTACATCTGTTATTAAGGCGTATGCCTCGGACAGCATGAATCTCACAGTGAAAGCCAGTGCTGTTATATATGTAAGTAGACTGGTTTACGGTTTAAATTTTTCATTCAGATTGAAAAACTTTTAATAGATACTATACAATCATTCACTGTTGTGAATTTCACAATGTGAAATTATCTAACTATTCTGTACCATTGCTAACCTGTTTTTCCACAAAATCTAAAAATCATTTCTTTCTATGGAAATACCTGTAGTCCATTGAGCAACATACATTTGCATTGATTCAAATTGTCACATAAAAGAAAACACTTGCCATCATCAAGACTTGAACTTACAAAATTATTCATGGTGATAATAATGCACTGAGAAATCATTTTGCTTTTTTAGTAAAAATACAATAAATTGATGAAGTGACTGAGTTAGCCCTAGTCAAGATATTATAGATAAATAGTTTCCAAAATCAAACACAAGTTTATAAACCCTTACCAAGCAAAATATGTAAAGTGAACTTGTCCATTTTTCAATCTGGGCAAAACCATTTCATCATTTTAAGGGAAAATTTTAAAACATGTACAGACTGGATAACAAACAGTGCAGACCATGATCAATTTTGATGAGTTGATTTAAGTCTGCACTGGTCGCATGATTGGGGGCAGATTCAGTTGTTGCCAGCACGGTTAGAGTTACTTAATAAATCAAGGGCCAACAGGCATATACTTAGTTGTTGGTTATATTAAACAAAAAAGTCTTACTCAGGAGAACAAGGTTTATTGAATTTAAAAACGAGCACATATTTTGTATGTTGAAAAATTTTAATCACTCATAGTGTGGTAATTGAATTGAATTCTCATGGAAAATGCACATTTTCTTTTTATGAAAAATTATTTGTTAACCATTATTAAATTGTTGAATAGTTTTTACTCTTAATAATGTACAAAAATGATTTTATCTCTAGGCCCAGACGCGTGTTAAAGGCGTTATTTTAGAATGTCCTCCAGTAGTGGTGAGTGAAATCAGATTTGACTGCTTTCTGACAATATCCCAGGGAACCAGTCTAACTGTACAGGCTGACCTCGGAGATGGAACAATTTTACCCCTTAAAGTGCCAGGTAACTATCTAACAGAGTTATTGCCCTTTTATAAAGTTCTTAAACAAGTTCAAGTATTCATATACATGTGGTCTATAATTTTACAAACATTTGATTTGTCATCAAATGTAAACATGAAACCACCAATTCAGTGAGTTGCCATGTTTAATACATGTAAAAGAAATATGGGGGGAAAATACTAAATTTCTATGAGTGTATCATAGGTTTTGGTCTCTTCTGCCAAGCTAAGTCTTTTATGGTTTTGACTTTCTTGCCACATATATACATGTATATTTTCTAAGAGACTTAAGTTATTTCATCTTAGACACATAAATAGCTTTAAGCTAATGACCTTTTACCATCGTAAAATTATTCAATGCCCTTCTTTGACTTTGGAACTGTCAGTTGTTGTTTAAGAGTTTCTAATACATGTATAAGTAATCTAAAACAGAGCAATCAACAGTATTTATCTTGTATATGCTGAAACTTAAGAATGTGCCATCTTGTTGATTTTATCAAGATAGGATAGGCATATCATTATTGTCACTTGCATTCAAAATTAAGAAAACAATGTACATGTAGAAATACAATTTTTTTTCCATCGACAGATTGTCCAAGTGTAACGGCTGGAATGTCATCAGGTTTTGTATCAGGGGAGACTAGCCCAGGGGCTTCTCTACTGTACTTGGTATCTGGAGCTCAGTTTAGACAGAATGGAACAATTGTTGGCTTTTCTTACACAGCAACAGTCGCTGGAACTATCATTGTGCAGGTACAAAAAATATTGTTTCCATAGTTTTCTTGACACTTTCTCATCTGAATTTTGTGTAATGGACTCGGCCTACTTTGATTTGGAACAGTCTGTTAGCAGTTTTAGGGATTTCAGTATCAAAATACTTATAAAGATTATCAGCAAAATGTACTGACAAAGTATATTTTTCACTGCCTTACTGTCTCCTTGCGGTCGCTAGCACCCAAAATTTAAAGTGTTTACCTTACTTCAGAAACAGTCATTTCCTTGAGTTTTATGGTAATCATGATTTACTAAATATTTATGCTAAAGAGTAATCAAAAACTTGCTTAATAGAATTTGAATTGTTATTTGTTTATTACATTTTAGGTGTACAGACCTAACTGTTCCAACATTGGCGAAGCATTTTGTCATAAGTCTTACTCGTGTATCTCCGTCAATGCCTCATGCTTCCATCAACCAATCGGAGAGCACTGGAAACACCGCTGTGGTGCAGGTGCTATTTATAGCATAGCAAAGAGGTACTGTGTGGATCTGGCTACAGGACAAAGGGTAGAGAACACAACCAATAAAGCAAATTTTGGGAGATTTAGTCTTGCTGGAGAGGTTTCAGTTGTTATCACAGAAACAGGACATAAATTTTATCAGGTTGGCTTACATACTGGTTTTTGTTTGTTTTTTTTTATGTTTTTTTTTTGCTTTTGTTTTTTTTTAAATTATTGTCTGAATGTGCATATGTGTTTTTAGAAAGTTGTTAAGCCTTAAGGGAAGGGAAAGTGAATAGTTCATATAGCAAATACACCATATATCAAAGGGCATGTTATATTCCTTTACTTATTCAAGAATTTTTTCTATGAAACATGTTTCACCAGTTATTTTGTTTCAAAAGTGATTAGGAGTAGTCCCTGACAATAGATGTCAGGAACTGAGTCTTGTCATCATTTGTCTCTTCCTACTTATTCAGAAATCATGTTCTCATGTGAGCTCAATAACCCTGTAAGTGCTTATATATTATAATTGCACTTATTGGGTTATTGCGCTCACATGACAATGTATGGTTAGTAGTTTGTCACTTGCAGGAAAATAAGTAATAACTGGTAAGAATAACATCTACTTAGATGGAGTCACTGCCAAAATATGAACAAAAATTGATAAAATTGGCGTAAAAAAAAAACAGACAAAAAAAAATTCTGTCTTGGTAACACCATCATAACAGTATTATTATTATAAGAATAACTGATTGAAATCTTTTGACAATGGTAACATATCCTTGTAACAGGTTCCAGACAGTGATTTACTGAGTGTACAAGCTGGAGACTTTCTCGCTGTTAAAGAAGAATCGGCTTCTCTTCAAATTATCAACACAACCACCTCAGCATATGAATACTACTTTGATGTTGATGCTGATAATACATGGGGAGACAGGGCGACCAACGGTTATTTGCTGACGTTTTCAAGCAGCGACCCAATACTTTCTGCAGCACATGCTATACGTGCACACCTCGTACAGCCTGTGAGGCTAAAGTTCAGACATACCTATGTAGAGAATGGTATCAATATAAGAAATGTAACGGTGACCGCTGCAAACAATATATCCTCGCTGTCTATCAACGGAAGTATCGAACTACAGGGCATTATCCAGAATGTCACAATACTGCACAACTATACTGCAGGTAAGAAAACTTGATGTTTAAATTGTACAGTTTGTAATTAAGTAAGTAATTACAAAAGTTTCTCCTTTACAGATGCCTTTAAAATGGATTATAATTTTTCGTTTTGAATACTTTAAAGGGACTCCACTGAGGTTTCCTGACATGATGGGACTGGAAATAATATTTTGAGATTAATGTACTATTTGATTAAGGGCTAAATCAAAAATAAATGTGCAAAATTTCAGATCATTCCCTCATTTAGTTATGCCAGACTGAAAATTCTAATTGTGAAAAAGGTGCCGAAATTGAAAAGTGTTGCACTGCTTTTCACTCAAATCAGGCTCGGTCATACAATTTTCAATTTATTTTTTAGTATATTACTTAATTATCTTCTGCATATCTTTCTGTTTTTAAGTGTTGATCAATGTAAGAAATACAAATTTTATGTTGGACCTCAGTGGAGTTCCTTTTAAATGGATAGGATGAGATTATTTTTCTAGAAAGTTTTAAAGATGATATTTAACAAACATTCTAATATGTGATTGATAAATCTTGTTTCCAACTATACAAAAATCATTGATCATGTAAAAGAACTAGTTCTTTGGAATCGAGCAGTCCTTGGTTTGAGTCTCATCAAGAACACTGCCTACGTCCTTGTGTGAGAAATTTAACCGTCATTGCTTTACTACTATTAGTGGTACCAGAGGCCTGCTATAGCAGTATAATTCTATTGTAGATTCTATCATAATCTCAAATATCAAGGGAGAGTGTTTCCTGGGTACTAATAGCTTTATGACCAGCAGTTAAGGCCTTTACGTGGGTGAATATTTCATAAATGTGAAACTTAAATTAAAACATTCAAGGCTGGGCTTTTCTTCACTGGCTTTGGAAGCAGCCCTTCCCTTAATTTTGTGGAAAATAATATGGTATTTTTGTAAAAGAAAAATCTTGATGTCAATTCAAGTTTTGGGAAAAATGCATGATTTTAAAGAAATTTTCTTTGAAGAAGCCCCCGTTAAACGGCCATTGCTATAGAAAATAAGCCCTGCAATTCTAAACTTTATTTTTTATTTCTTTAATTCACATCTGATTATTATAAAAAATATTGTTTTTAATCTTTTTGAGTTATTTTTTAAACATTTTTATGATTAATTTTTTATATTTGATGAAAATATGAGAATAGTACATTTTGAATGTTTTATATACATATACATTTTTTTTTGTACAACAGTAAAAAGGAGAGAAAATATCAGAATATTCTGGCATAAATTTCAGCTATGACCAACTTTTCTTTTGGACTTTGGATACCACCCCACCCTGGTTCTGATGTTATGTACTACTGGGACTTTGATGATGGTAATACAAGTGTTGGTACCAATAAATCACTGGAGTATATATGGACAACAGCCGGGGTCTACAATGTTACAGTACTAGCTGTAAACGATATCAGCTCCAGTGCTGCTTATGTAAGTAGGTTTTTTAAAAACGAGAAATGGTAACTATACTTTAACCAACACCCTATGAAAAATGAATATTACATACAGAAAACATTATACTGTATGTACTATACATTCATTGCCAAAATATGCTTGAATCTCAAGAAAATAAAACTTCAGAAAAATATACTAAGATTTTAAGATTCCGGTTATAATTTATATGTTATGTGACATTAATTATTCTTCACCATGTTTTTTTCTGCACGACTAATGCAGTAAGGGCTATGTTTGCATATTTTGACCTAATGCGGTTTGTCAGTGCTTTTTGCAATGTGTAAATTACTCTCTGCTCACTTCACAATATTTCATTTTAATTAGCATTAATCTGGAGGCATGCTGCTTAAAGGGCAATGTATTAACACTCGGCAAAGAATGATGATGATCCATTTGATTATGGCATCATAACATGCCTCTATCTGACTGAATATTTGTTTTTCTTGAAACACTGTATGGAAAAGATCGTTTTCTGATATGTTTCAGTTTGTACCAGTGAATTATAGAACATTTTGAGAGTATCTTGAACTTGAATTTTAACTAAATTTGAATATCTTGGCATATTAAATGATAAGTCAAACCAAAAAGTAACTGGACATTGGAAAAAAAATTAACAAACAGTTTGTACTTTAAACCTGACCTTACACTGTTTAATCATAAAGTGCAAATTAGAAATTGCCACACAGTAATTTTTACCATTGGTCATTTGGTGTGACTTTTAAATTGAACAATGGGGCATGTTGGTATAATATTAATTATTCATAATGTCAACATTGCATAATGTTTGAGGAGGCTTACCTCAAAGGTTGCTATGTTTGTTATACATTTTTGAGCAAATATTTGAGGGAAAAAATGGTTGGTCACTAAAAACTTTGGCCTAGTTATTTATATACAAAATTTAATGCTAACCTTTGCAAGGTGTTATTTCACTCACTCTGCTACAATTTTTGAGGTTAACACAATCAAACTAATTATTGAATAGGGTCAGTCAAACAGGGCCTGCAGCATTTTTCAATTCTTTTGTTTTCGGTGTTCATTAAGAATTCTGTTTTTTCTCTATTTTACTATAAGAATACTGTTTTTTCTCTATTTCATTTTAAGAATTCTGTTTTTTCTCTATTTCATTATAAGAATACTGTTTTTTCTCTATTTCATTATAAGAATACTGTATTTTCTCTATTTCATTTTAAGAATACTGTTTTTTCTCTATTTCATTTTAAGAATTCTGTTTTTTCTCTATTTCATTCTAAGAATTCTGTTTTTTCTCTATTTCATTCTAAGAATTCTGTTTTTTCTCTATTTCATTTTAAGAATTCTGTTTTTTCTCTATTTCATTATAAGAATACTGTTTTTTCTCTATTTCATTATAAGAATACTGTTTTTTTTCTATTTCATTTTAAGAATTCTGTTTTTTCTCTATTTCATTTTAAGAATTCTGTTTTTTCTCTATTTCATTATAAGAATACTGTTTTTTCTCTATTTTAATATAAGAATTCTGTTTTTTCTTTTTTTCAAAAAAAAAAATGTATTGATATTGTAGTAAATACTTAATATTTACTCCTTTATGTTTTCTTTTAGTCCAGCTTAAGTCAAGTTTAATTGTTTAATATTCTGATTGTGGTACATGTAGGTCTTTTCATTTATAAAGTTAAAAATAAATGATAAAACAAATATGCAAAAATTCTATGATAAGATTTTCTTCTTTGCACATTAAACTGTTCTTTGTATAATTCTTGTATTTTTGGATCAAAACTTTTAAAATATATTACTGTATCTACAATTATAATGAAATATGTCAAATGTTGTGATTATATACATGTACTACAAAATTATGCTGATCCAACTCAATTATGGAAAGAAATATACATTAAATATTTTGCTTGTTCAGTGGAATTGTCTGAAATTGGAATTCTTCTTGTATTTTTTGCAGTACCAGGTACTTGCTGCCTGGTGAAATTTTATTTTCTTTGTATGCATATTGGCCATCTTTTGTCTGTTTATGCATAATGGTCATCTTTTGTCTGTTTATGCATAATGGCCATCTTTTGTCTGTTTATGCATAATGGCCATCTTTTGTCTGTTTATGCATAATGGCCATCTTTTGTCTGTTTATGCATAATGGCCATCTTTTGTCTGTTTATGCATAATGGCCATCTTTTGTCTGTTTATGCATGAATGTTTATATATATCATAAGTTTAACTAGATTCACACAGTCTTGCAGTGGCCTATTTTTTGTTACCAGTCAGGCAGGTGCTTGTTCTCAGATTGTATTTTCACCCTCATTGTAAGAATGATTTTTCCTTGGTACTAAAGATAAAATCGATTCAGCATCTAAGCATATAAGTGATAAGATATTTAATTTTGTTTTATTATATATTTTGTACATGGCTTTTTGTAAAGGTACTGGTATGTTTTTTTAGTCCCCTACAGGTTTAACCGGAGGGGACTTTAGGTTTACCCTCTGTCCGTCTGTCAGTCTGTCCACAAAACTGGATCCCGCGATAACGGAAAAAGTACTGAAAATATTTTTATGAAACTTGATATATGGATAGATGGCAGTATGGAGATAATGCACATCTTTTTCTTTTCTTCCTATGTTGAAAATTCTGGTTGCTATGGCAACAAATTGTCTGAAAATATGGCAAATTTAACACATAAACTGGATCCAGTGATAACTCAAAAAGTACTGAAAATATTTTTATGAAACTTGAAATATGGGTAGATGGCAGTCTGGAGATTATACACATCTTTTTCTTTTCTTCCTATGTTGAAAATTCTGGTTGCTATGTCAACAAATAGACTGAATTTCAAGATTTCTGATTTAAATTTTTCAGCTTTTTTACTATAAGTTCTTTATTTCTTAAGGTGTTTACTTCAAACTTTAAATACAAGTTTCTGGTCATCAACCACATCATATGTGACAACTCTAGCACAAAAATTATCAGTATTACTTCCCTTGAACTTAGAATTTTTATGAAAAAAAATGTTGTCTTTTTTAAATAACTTCTTTATTTCCTAATGTATCTACTTCAAACTTCATAAATATATTTCTTATTATTACTCAACATTTTTGAGAAGGTTAAATACTCTAGCAAGTCTATTTCCAGAATTATGTTCCCCTTGAACTTAGATTTTTTTCGAGAAATTGGTATTTTTTACTCCAACTTCTTCATTCCTTATAGTATTTACTTGAAAATCCCACATCGTAATAATATGACAAGGTTGTATATACATAATTTCCTTACTAGGCAGGGAATCTTAACACATTACTGTGATATAGAAAACTTAGAACTCAAAAGATTTAAGTTCATTCATGTCATTCATTCACTGGTAAAATTGAATGGCCAATGGCCCATCAGAATTTTGCTGAGGTTCTAACCGGTAGGGGACTTATGGATTGCTTGCAATACTATGATAATTGCTTGTCATCTGTTGTTTTAGGTGATATTGATAGTACAAGATGAAATAAGAAATCTGACTGCAGAGACTGAAGGCATAGCTGCTGTAAAAGATATACCCATTTTCTTCACTTGGAATATCACCCAAGGTAAATCTCTTTATTGATTTAACATTTACAGCCATGCAATGTTTTAATTGCCTTGGAAATACTGTATGTGTAGAAATATTCGCGGGCTTCAAATTTTCGCGATCTTTGCATTGACATTCAATCCGCGAATTCATGTTTAGCGCGAATATTCCTGCACCAATAATTTCTTAAAAGTCATATTTTCGCGCTTCTTTAGAACAATGTTCATCAGTGTGTTATATGCTTTCAATACATGCGATTTTTTAAAAATGTTTACTGAGTAATAGTGTTTTGTTTTGCAAGTTTTTTTATCAGTTGAAATTGCTTATGTTTGTGTTGTTTGATCAAATTATGATCTGAACAGTTTATGACGCAAACCGTGAAAAATCATACACGTTAACGGCCATTTTTTGTTTGCCATAATCTGTCAGCTAGACAATGTCTTTGTTCTGTACAATGGCGTATTATTTGACATCAGGTATTGAAAATAACTGTGAACTGACACGTGATTACGGGAATTTCCTTTATTTCCTTTTTAACCTGAGCGGTCTACACGCATTTATGATTTTAGGCAGTCACCTCGACGAATTCAAAATAGCGCGAATTTTTGTATAGACCCCCAAAATGGAACTTTCCGCGAATTCAAATACACATACAGTATTGATGGGGAGCTTTATTGTACATGTACCAGAATTGATTTAATAGACTTATATAATAATATTAATTGAAAGAATTATTGTATACAGTATAAAAATAATATTGTTATAATTGTTTTATTAAAAAAACATTTGATGAAAAAATTATGCCTTTGTAGGAAGTGACGTAAATTATGTAGCTGACATGGGTGATGGTACCATATTTAACTTCACATACCCGTATCTAACATTGAATGAAACAACAAATTGTACAAGTGCTAACATCACATCAAACTGTTCTACAGATATAGTGAACGCTTCAATCACAGGTTAGTTTTTTTTCTATGATAGTTTCCTTGAATTATTATCTTTACTTTTATTTCATTTTAAAAGGATTTAAGTTTTTCCAGCTTCGTTAATATCAAGTGATTACATTCCAGCATAATAACTGTTAAAAAGGTCACAGGTGTTATTGTATCTTGTATGGAGTTTGTATCACTGTGTCATATCAGTTTATCAGCCTCAACTCTGTCTGCTCTATAACCCTTATATCCCTTGATAGCTTTCTCTTTTTGGCTCAAAAGTTATTTTCAACAAGGTGATGTGCAGAACCCACCCTGTCTCTGTGCTGCCTTAAGTTCAAGGTCACACTTGAAGGTCAAATGTCAGACAAATGCATGCCTTCTCTATAAATCTAGTGCCTTTGATGGATTCTCTTTAAATTAAGCTCAAATATTAAATAAAAAAATAACAATAACTGGGCCAACATGAAAGCTTGAGTGTCATGAAGATATTTGGTGTATTTGTCATCCCTGTGATAGCTCTAGTTCAAGCTGAACCCTGCTAGATTCATGTAATGAATATGTCTTGTTCTGGATGAAAAAGAGTTCATTTGTTATGAAGATTAAAAGGTTTCATTGTCATAAATGTAAGATTAAGTTAAATGACTAACCAGACTGTATGTCTAGAACCACTTGTCCATCACTGCTGTGGGTTCAAATCCTGACAGGGAATTTTGAATTCTATCATATTAGGAAGCTATCCAGCTAGTTTACGGAACGTCGGAGGTTCTACTCAGGTTCCAATTTGTGCCTGAATGATGCACAGAAGGGCACCTGAGGTCTTCCTCCACCAGTAAATTTGTAAAATAGTGAACAGTCTCCAGAATTTAATGTGGTCTGTGAAATCATAATTCCTTGCAGTTTTTTTATTCACTTACTTAGCATAATAATTGTGTGAGTGTTAAACTGGATTAATTCCTTTCAGTAATTGATTAATTTTACTATTCTGTTTTTTTTTCCAGATTTGACAGTTAATTTATGGTACAGTTACACAAGCACAGGACATTACACTATACAGATACAAGCTTCTAATCTTGTTTCATCACTAAATGTAAACTTAACCCTGATCATCGAAGTAGTTATTGAAAATTTTACAATTCAAGCGATTGATCCAATACCGTACGGTCAGTTGAGTACCAATTTAATTCTTGGTGTAGATGCTGGCTCAGACATGAACGTTACTGTCACATTTGGCAACACAACTTTAGCCACGGCGTATATCCTTGACAACGGTGCCGGTTTGGCAGTGATACTATTTTCAGATTACTACGGTTACGGGTTCTACGAAGTCTTTGGTAATGTCACTAACTTAGTGAGCCCAGTGCATAATTTTACGACAGGTGTCTGGGTTGACTATATGATAAAAAATTTGACAGTTATGATTGATCGTTATTTTTACCCTGTTCTTGAGGTAACAACACTAGTTGTTGAAATGGCCTGGTGCTCACGATTCAATACAACAGTTATCTATGGCGATGGCACACCAGACTTCTTTTTGTACAAAGACCTCTTGTTAGCCCCAGATAATGTGACTGCTACCCATGGCTATGCTTTGCCTGGAACGTATCAGTTATTTTTAGAAATAAACAATCCAGTTGATTACTTTAATGATACCTTTAACATTCTTGTACAATATCCAGTTACTAACGTGGAAACAACCTCCACCACGCCACATGTTTTAATTTTCGGTTCATCCGTTTCTGTCCCTTTCAACCTAACATTCCTTGGGGGTGTTGAACCTGCAACTGACGCTAGTATAACTGTAGACTTTCAGGATGGTGTGGTCTCAGTTGATCCATTCAACGTAACGGATCAGGATCCGGTTGTATTTGCCATGTTGCATCCTTACACAGCAGCTGGGACATACAATGTATCGATAAACGTTTCTAACCTAGTTAGCTGGACCACATTTTATGAAGTCGTTGATGTTGATGAAGAAATAGTTGACCTTGAGTTGACCTTTGATCCAATGTTTGTTATAACAAATGAGCATTCAACCATCCAGGCATCTATGATAGGAGGTACAAGGTCTTTATGCGTTTGGAATTTTCAGGATGGTCTCCCTAATCATTTGGAGGCTTGTTCTAGGTCAAATCCTGCTTCTGTGAACCATATATTCACTAGCCCAGGCGTATTTAATGTCCATCTATATGCCAACAACACTGTGAACTTCCAGTCAACATACTCTGCAACAGGGCCAATTATTGTGCAGCATCCCGTTGTTGCTTTCCGCACCCTATGTTTGCAGAATGTCAGTTATATCGGCCATCCATTTACTGTAGATTACTCTATTACTATTACATTTGAACTAAGAATTGACAACAGGTATCTGCTTCCAACAAATGCTTCATATCAGATAGATTTTGGAGATGGAATTTTATCATCTGTTCAACCTCTACCAACAACTCCACTCACTGTCAATCACGCCCCAAATGAGGACCTCATGCTCAAGGTAGATCACACATATACAAGGGGAGATAACTATTCGATTGATATCACAATCTGGAATCTTGTAAGTCAAGTGACATATTCAGATACTTTTGACATTTATGAAGGCATATCAAACTTACAAGTACTGGTTTATGATTATGATGAAGTAACAAATATCAAAAAGGCTGGAGGCGGTCTGAATTATGATTATTTTGCTCGGGAACACTATGTATGGTTCCAGGCCATGTTTGATCGAGGAAGTCACATGACTTTTAACTGGATATATGATGATACAACTAGTGACAGCATATACTATCGAGACTACAGCTTACATACTTATTCCAATACTGGTTCTTACTATGTGCAGCTTCATGCCTCCAATGTTGTTAATACCGCTAATGTCAATGTGTCGATCCATGTTCACAATAGTTGTATGGGCATAGCTATATCAGCTAATACGCCAAGGTCAAAGAATACAACATTTGATTTTCCTGTTTATCCTGGTAACATAGCAACAGATGGTTGCTATATGATAGATTTCGAGGATGAAACTGCGACTCCAAGTCGTTATCAGTTCTTTGGTGATTATTCGTATTGTACAACGATCCCTGAATGGGCCACATTGCTTGCTGAAAATGTTGGTCACTTTGTTCACTTGTCATCAAGTGATTGGGAAAACAGGCAAAACTTTTACCTCTCCCAAACTACAACTACAACTTTAAGTACTTCCTCTTCTTCTGCATCAACAACGTCACCTTCCTCTACAACATCTGTGTCAACAGGCAGTTCAACAACTTCTACAACAACATCAACTACAACTACATCAACCACCAATATGACAACAGTGTCATCAACTACCAATATGACAACAGTGTCATCGTCAACAACAACTGTGTCATTAACAACTACGACAGCTACACCAGAGTTTATTGCTAAATGGAATGAAACTATACAAACAAAATATATGGAACCAGGGCTATATGATGCAACTTTGACGTGTAAGAATCGTGTATCTGAGGAAACAAATGTATGGAGGACAGGGGTCACCAAAGGTCCATGTTGGTGGCCCTATGTCAATGTGACGGCTCCTAACGAGTGCGAGGAACCATTTTGTGACTCAGAACATCCTGATATGAGGACAACATACAGATCAGAAAAGCTTGTTGTATATTCAGATGTGAAAATAAATTGTACAGCAACAAAAATAGCCTACTACTGGTGGAGAGTTTTCAAGCAAAATCTTGAATGGGGGAATGAAACTGAAGTAACAGATTTGAAGGGTGCAGATGTTTTCTCAATTGGAGCAAGAAATTTGATTCTTGAAGGTAATACATTAGAATATGGCCTGTACCGTTTCTGGTTGAACACAAGCATGGACGAAGTAATGGGAATGTATACTACAGATAATGTCTATATTAGAGTGATTGCGACCCCAATAGTTGCTGGAATTGCAGGTGGGGAATTTATAATGCGACGTTGGGGTGACTTGGTGCCTTTGGTGATAGATGGAGGGTTATTCTCAATTGATCCCGACGTGGAAGACCCCAATGATAAAACTGGAATAGAGTTTATATGGCTATGTAGAAGACTGTGTGAAGAATGGCCTAGAAAGTTTGATGAAGATTACAATGTCAAACAGTCGATGTTGTCAAACAATTGTACGTACCAGGATCCTTCTGACAGAGGATGTAACAAAATTGATGGCTTTGATTCTTCTGGTAAATATCAACTTAAATGGTTTAGATTAAAAGTTTTGGATTTTATTTATTTTTTTGTAATGATTTTACATTGGTAAGTTTGGACATTGCATAATTAGAAGAGTTTTAACTATAATCTGTTGTTGGTTTGCTTTAATAAAATTTGTCCCTTCGTTACTTCACCTTAATATTTTTGTTTTATTAATAGAGCTCTTAAGAAATGTTAAATGTCATATTTTTTTATAAAAATTATGCAGCAAAAACTATTAATGCAAGTTCATTGGGTTCCTTGTGGCACAAAATGTTTATGATTATATTAAAGTATGAAAGTGATCTCAGAAAGCCATCCTGTTTAAGATATTTTTTTCTTTGAAAAAAATACAAAAAGCTAATAGAACCTAGTTGTATTTCTGAATTTGGAGCATACTTTCAAATGAAATTGTTTTTATATCATTATGAAATTTGTGTTATATATACTTACTTGAAATGTTTATTTTGGTACAGATTATTAATCTTTTGTGCTATTTTGCTGCAGGACGCATTGTGAATGCATCAGGACCTGTTATCTCGGTCATGACAGGTGAAATGTATGAATCAGACTCGGTAGAAATACGTCTGGTTGTGAGAAAAGATGGCCGAAAAGCAGAGGCTGTTCAGGAAGTATACATTGCAGCCGGTGACCCACCTGTATTTGGTCTTGAGTATGTATGGGTGGGAAAAAAATACAGTCTTCTCAAATGTTTTTTTCTAACTCACTGTTTTATATAAAAGCAATGTATCCATAGAAAATTAAGAGTGAAAATCTGAAATATTATTATATGACTCTTATAAATAAGGCCTGAAAGGATATTTATAGCAGAGTCAAATTTGCCGATTGATTTTATATTTATCAACCTGCTGAAACAGAAAGTCATTTGTCATTGTCACATGTTGATAATCTTAAAATTGATAATGGACTGTTCCAAAAATTTATGCTGGATGAGACCATTTTAAGAAATTCAGGAGATTGAACTTTTTTTTTTTTTTCTTTTTTTTTCTTTTGGTTGTTTTTTATTTCTAGATGCGTTACAAATTGTGGTCCGCGTGTTAATCCAGATAGCAGATATGGTTTGAGGTCTGTAGTTGATGGATGGACAAGGGGTGTATATTTCTATTACATGTACGTTCTATTTTTTTTCTCCCATGTTAATCAATATTTTTATTAAAGATAAAGGAAATATGTTAAAAAATTTACACAAATACACTACTGAAGTCACTGTGATAAACACATTTAAACTATTGGTTGGCTAAAAAAGAAAGTGTATATTTTATCCTAGTATAATTGTCATGGTAGAGAACTATTATACTTATTAGAAGAGAACATGTGTAAGCAGCCATAGAGCTTCAGTACAGTATTTGGAGGGTTACGGGTTAAAGTTGCGGTCTGGCTTAACATTTTCTCATCTTGAACAATTTTGGGCCCAATAGGGGACCATGTCAGTATAAAGCATCAGAGATTCTAAGAAGTGTTCTATGACAGATAAGAAACCCAAGGATGAATTTTAGTATAGTTGGAATATTTCACAGTAATGAACTGTCACTAGTTGGGGGAGAACTTGTGTTTGTGGCTGAATAGCTTATATATAAGTACTGAAGTACAGTAGTCCAATGGTCCTGGGTTCAAGTCCCAGTCAAGCTGCACATTTTAATGCCCTGTGACAAAGTTTCGTATAGTCGCAGAAAAAATAATGTAAAATTAGGTTCATTATGATTTTATGGTGTCAGAAATACTTAACGTCACATTAAAGCTATATGCTTCTCAATTTATGTGTGTGTCATTACATGTTTTTTTTGTACTAATTGTTTTATATCATGATCTCTGTTTTAAAAGCCATTGTTTAACAGTAAGATTTCCTATATCAGCTACAGTGACAGTTTATTGAATTATCATGTTAAAAAATGATAAATTTGACTGCCGGCATGAGAAAGAACCCAATGGCACTTGCTTATTTTAATTGACATATTGAATTCTTAAAGAAATTCAATCTATAGCTCTTGAAATAAAATTAAAAAGTTTTGACATTTGCTAATTGTTACCTATTCATATTTATCTTTAACATCTTGAGAGAAATTCACAATTTTTAATTTTAACGTCAATGACAACATTAACATCTTATGACGTCATTTGTAAAATGACATTAAGGGTCGTGTTTTCATTCCTGCATTCATTATCATAATGTTATGAATACCATTTAGAAATTTTCCACAATCCCTGTGTAAAATATATATTTATTTTGAAGCTGGAAGCTGTATGGATCAAATGGGATACGTAGTACACGTTCTGAGATTCCTCACAGTGCTTGGGAGCTATATACAAGCACTGGCATTGCGGGACCAAATATGGCCATCTTGCCAAACTACCCCTTTCCATCTGCATATCCATATTTTGAGCTGTCCCTGAAAATCTGGAGATGGGGACAGTCAGAAACAAATCATGGTAAGTATACATGTTGTTTTTTTAGTAACCGTTAATACCTGAGCTTGTGTAATGGATTTGCCCTGCTTTGATTTGGATCAGTCCATTTAAAGTTTGAGGGATAAAGGTATCTAATTACAAAAATATTGCTACCAAATGAATGAGAATCAGAAAGAACAAATAAGCACAATAGCCTGTTTCCATATTGGTGGCTAACACTTATATATATGATGTTCATATATCTCAAATGATGCCTTTTTGTATTGTTATTACACAAAGTATTTATTTAATTTTACTTTATTTTAATCTGGCACCATAGTTTATCTGATAAATGGTTTATTTTCTTATCTAGGAATTGCTGAGAAACGGTTTTCGTTGAACAAGAAACCTTTTTGGGGAGCAATGGAGATATCACCTAGCAGTGGGGTGGAATACGAGACTAAGTTCTATGTTAGAGGGTATAATTTCAATGACACGGATGATGGCTTATCTTTTAGATACAAATTCGGATATCGACTTGACAATAATTTGCCAATTACATGGTTTTATGAAGGAAGTATGTTGATGACTGTTATATTCTTAGAAATAAAACCATTCTCAACTGTTGTTCTTTTATACATGCACTTTTGTCAGATAAAGTTCATGTCAAATATCAAGTTCATGTTATGACATCTTTATGATTTTATCTTTTTCAACATTAAATGTTGTTATTTTATTAAAAGAATTGTCTGGCATTAAGTTATAAACTGTTTGTTGATTAAGCAAGAGACTTCTATATTGTACATGTATATAAAAAATATAAAAAATTTAAAATTGAGAAGCTGACAGTAAAGGGTTGGTCAGACTGTACAAATGTGCTAGCTGGCCTGGTTCTGTCCTAGTGGTAAAGGTTTGCTATATCATCACTAGCATTCAAAGGGTTTTAAACCTTTAGTCTTTCCATTACAGACATATATTTAGGTGCTTGAATGCCAATGCCAATATCAAACATGACTTTGTGTTTACAAACTGTTTAAAGCTAAGACAGCCTCCAGACACTGTCTGGCGGGACTTTGAACTGATGTACAGGCCTGTCTGACATTTTACTAGTGTTGCTTATTTTGTCAACACCACTGAGGATATCTGTTCAATCAATATGCTTGTATTATTTCCAGCAATCGATAATAATGGTGGAAAGGAAGCTCCTTTTCCTGCTGGGCTCGACTCAAGAAATAACAGAGTTGATGTTATTGTACGTGCCTATGATCGAAGTGGGGCATTTAAAGATGTCTGGAGCTTTGTAACTGTAAGAATATTTGTTATACATATACAATGTATTTAGCCTATATTGTTTGCTTTTAGATAAAAATATTGAAATATATCAGTGAGATAAAAATCATATCATACTGTCTTAAATAGTGAAATATACGATTTTGGTTACTGTTCTGGAAATTTAAAAAATAATAGTGGAGTAAAAGTTTGCACAATGGTTAAAGATTTCAATATCCGAGGTTCATAACTCTAATATAGAATTTTACTGAATTATGGCCCTTTGTTAACTTTGAAAGTTATTGTTTTAAGTGTTCCATTCATCTTCAAAACTACTAAAGGTATTCACTTAAATTAATGCATGTCTTTGAGACCATAATTGGAGGTCACTATCCAAGGGCCTTAAGTCTGACATGGATTTTGACCTAGATTTGGCCTTTTGTGAACTTACATAATTCTTTGATCAATATCCAAAGACTCATTACTGTTCATGTTATTTTTTAATGAAATCTTCTTTTTTGTTCTTGAGACTTTATCCATGCTAAGCACTGAGAATAGTCGGGCACACTGTCCATCTGTCTGCTCATAATTGATATATTTCACTTGGGTTTTGCACCATTAAAAATATTGTAAATTCCCATTTTTCTGTGAGACGTTATCAGTATTCACGGAAGAATATTCCACAAATCTATACTTATAGGTTACGGCACCAGATTCTAGCACAGTTTCCGACATGTTGGTTAATGCAACACAAGATGGAGGTCTGATTGACAATCTCTTTGTCGGTGCTGATGTCAAGGTCGCACCAGTCAGTAACGTTATAGCAAAGTTTCTGAATGAGGAGGCAAATACTGAAATGTCAACAAATATTACTACAAGCAAGTTTCACAAATATTCTTCTGCAGCATTACTTAAAACTTTTACGGATATGTGTGCAATAACATGTCAATATGGCAACTTTCTGGCATTTTTCTATTCTAACTCTTAACCTGCTGGAAATAAAAGGGATTAACCATTGCAACCAGTATAAAGCCAGGCCAGTCTTTATATGTAAATAGTCTGACTAGGCTCTATTCTGTAGCTAGCAAAATTGTTTAGGAAATAGATATCAATTCCGAGTGCATTGTTGTAGAATAATGCACGTTTTGAGTTCAAATGCGTAGTAATATAATCACGAAGGCCGATAGGCCTGAGTGATTAATTACAAAGCATTTGAACGAAAAACGTGCATTTTTGTATAATAATGCACGTCTTTCGTTCAAATGCTTTGTAATATAATCACGAAGGCCGATAGGCCTGAGTGATTAATTACAAAGCATTTGAACGAAAAACGTGCATTATTATACAATAATGCACGAAGAATTAATATCTATTTCCATTCTAACACGTCAAGAAAAAATATAATTATTATTATAAAGTTGAACTTTATGTTTGGTGGTTAAATTTGTTTTCGCCTCAGAGTTTCCAATAGAAACGTTCTTTAAAGGCTGTTCCAGTGGGTTGAAAAAAAACTGTCGTTCAATCTAACGTGTGTAGAAACATTTTCAGAATAACGAATTTTGAAAACGTTGATAAAACTTTGTATGTTTATTTTATTTCACTCTATAATTCTTCAAGCGAAATACAAATTATTAAAAGTGGAATAACTATAAAACTTAACTCGTTAGGGACATTAAAATAGCGTACTTGATTTGATTGTTTTGCACCTGCTGTTTGGCGCTACATTGTGACGTCACGTAAACAACACTTTAAACGTCTGTACAGCGTTAACGACTGAATTAAAGATATTGGTATTCGGATTCATTTTCTTAGTTAGACCATTTTCTTTCATTCTAGACAGTTTTCACAACAAAATTCGACAAAAAATGTTTTTATTTATCAGATTTTTCAAACAAAATGGCGCCCTCAATGTGAAAAAATACAGGGAGATAATAAGAACGGCAAGTGCATTGTTGTGGAATAATGCACGCTTCGGGCTTTCTTTGTTTATAATTATAGAAAAAATTCCGATAGTGTTAGAATTTGTATTTTGGCCCTGAAATCCCTTAAAAATTTTGAATGGACTGTACCGAATTCAAAATAGGGCAAATCCATTACGTAATGATAAAGTACCAAGATCAGCAGAGTCAAACCAAGTTCAAATCCCAAAATTGATGGGATATTTTATTTGGAATCCTTGCTTATCATGACAACGTGTAGTAATATTTAAAGCAATACTAAGAGTTTTGCCCCTTTTTAACTAAACTCTGTTAGCACACATTTGTGAACACTGCATTCAGTGCTCTTGTTTCAAGAAATATTCTATGCGAGTGTTCAAATGATACATTTCTATTGTTTTTTTATCAATATTTCAAATACTAATGAAAAATGTGCCCATGGTAGACAGTCCATTTTAACCTGTCTGTAAATTGTATTGTATTTTTATGTTTTAAAGCTACACCAACAAGTGTAAGTACCACGGATAATGTGACAGCTGCCCAACTTGCCAGTCAAGAGGAAGGCAGAGCTAGGCGGGAAAAGGTGAATCCAATAACATTTACATCTATAGATTGTCATGTGATGTAAACTCTAAATAAAAATTCTTTAATGAAACATTCTTAGACTATACAAGTCTGATTGCCTTCAGGTAATCATGTACAATACTTAGAATAATTTGTTATGTGATTTTTTTTTTTGTGTGCATGACAAACTTGTCTATATCAATACTCTTCAATGTGCATCGACCATGTCATTTGCTAGTTTTTGCCTAAACCATTGTCTATTATTCATACATATAATATTTATGTTTTATAGACACGAGAAGCAATAATGTTTGGTTTTGAGCGTATTGCCCCGACAACACTGGAGGAGATGCAGACAACAAGTGCTGCCCTCGCAACTTTAGCTGAGAAAGAAAATGAACTATCAATATCATCCCAGGTAAAGTTTTGCTGTTGTATCAGGTACAATTTTGCTTAGTTTAAATTTAGATATTCTCTTGTAAAAATATTTTAAATTTGGGTTTTTTCGAGTGAAATTTCTTAAAGGTGCTGGGGCCTGAGTGTTTTAAAAGGTCATACCCCAAAAAATTCACTTCCCCCTCACTGCTGTGGGAATTAAAAATCCCACAAAAATTTTTGAAATCCTTTCAGGGGCCAAAGCTAAGCAAAGTTTACTTAAACTTTCATTTTTCTTCTTAGGTGCCTTTTGGTGCCGGGGAATAAGGAAATCTGAAGTTTTCCCTTTTCCCCAATAAAGCTGGAAAGTCACCAATGACCATATGATTTGTACTATGTTGGTTCGATGGAAAACCCATCCAAAAAAAGTGTGTTATTCATTTCAGCATATCAGAAGATGAAGCTGCAAATAAGTCCGCTTAAAAAAATAAATATAATAGAAAATGTAAGGTTTTACAAAGTTTTGATTATGAACCCTTGGCATGGCACCTGTTTTCTATAAACAAAATTGAAGGATACTACATATTGCAGAACGATAAATAAGAATTTTTACATGCAATTTATAGCTGTAGTTTTGGTATTCTGTATAACTTGTTCTAATATATCCACCACTTATATTTCAGGACAGTGCTAATATAGTGTTGGATAATTATGCAAAGGTGCTTGAAAGAGAGGTTTATACGTCAGCAGATGACAGGGAAGAAGCTGCGTTCACGCTTATTGATGTCATTGGTAAATTTAGACAAAAAATTATGTCTTCTATTGCATTGATGCATGTATTTCTTGAAATAAAATTGTTTTGCATGGGATGTGTATTTTAAAGTGAAGATGCAGCTGTTAAAACCAGTAAAATAAAGCATCTAATGTCAATTTGAGCCGCGCCATGACAAAACGAACATAGTGCGTCTGCAATCAGCATGGATCCAGACCAGCCTGCGCATCCGCACAGTTTCTGATCAAAGGATCCAGGCTGTTCGCTATCAGTTTCTCTACTTGTAATAGCGTTTTAAAGCGAACAGCATGGATCCTGGTCAGACTACATGGATGCGCAAGGCTGGTCTGGATCCATGCTAGTCAGGCACTGATAATGTTGGTTTGTTCACGAGGCGGCTCATTTGTTATTGTAACTACTAGGTCATCGGGTCAAATTTCATCTATAAGTTGTTTATTTACAGGTAAGATGGCTCAAGGAGCAGGTTACCTGGCTGACAAGGCCAACAAAAGAATCAGCGACTTAGCTGCAGCCATGATTGCAGAAACAGCTGCAAACTGGTACAACAACAACAACGCTCGCACCTACAACCCACCATGTCAGTTGCAGAACCTATAATCTGAAACAAGAACAGCTTCTGGCTACTAAAAATTTAAAGTAGATACTATTATTTACTATGGTTTTTTTTTAAAGCAAAAAAAAAAAAAAAAGAGTAGAGCTGTCCTGATAGAAACAAAATCGCTGTATTATCAATATTTTTAGCTCGACTATTCGATAAGAATAAGTAGAGCTATTGTAGTCACCCGAGCGTCGGCGTCGGCGTTGGTGTCCGCGTCGGCGTAACCACTTATGTTAATGTTTTTGTAATAGTTCAAATATTTTCAAAGTCTATTGACATTATGGCTTTGAAACTTGGCACACTTGTTCACCATCATGACCCCAACCTGTAGACAGGAGGAGGTAACTGTATCAAGCATTTTGACAGAATTAAGCACCTTTTTCAACTTAAAATTTTACGTTAAAGTTTTTGTAATAGTTTCAAATATTTTCAAAGGTCCATTGACATATGGCTTTTGAAACTTTGCACACTTGTTTCACATCATTATCCCAACCCTATAAACAGGAGGAGGTAACTGTATCAAGCATTTTGACAGAATTATGCCCCTTTTTTCGACTTAGAATTTACGTTAAAGTTTTTGTAATAGTTCAAATATTTTTCAAAAGTCCATTTGACATTATGGCTTTGAAACTTTGTACACTTGTTCACCATCATTACCCCAACCTGTAAACCTGTAAACAGGAGGAGGTAATTTGTATCAAGGATTTTTTTTTACTATCAAGCACTAAGAATAGTCGAGCGTTGCTGTCCTACAGACAGCTCTTGTTTCTGTTTATTAAAAATCAATACAAATTTGAAAAAATGAATTATTTTGAAAAATTGCATAAATGCTTATACAAAAGCTGGTGTCCAGTCAAAAGGACATGTCTTAAGCTATGCTGTTGTTAGGTAACCGACATATTTCGTAGAAGTGATGACAAAAAAATGGCCAGAAAAAATACGCAATGGGTAAGATAGATCATAACTGTATGAACATGTTTTTTAACTGATACCAAAAAAAATGGTATGAAAAAGTAAGATGGTTTTTTTAGCACAGTAAAGACGAACCCCAAGATCAGATATGCAAGAAATATACTTTATGTACTGCTAGAACCAAGAAATCTTGTGTGAGAGGCGCCCATCTACAGTTTCCACATTTATTATTATAGTTTATAAACCCACATTATGAATGAAGCATCATACAAGAATGATTTTGATATAAGAATTATTATTGTAATTTAAATCTTGTAATTTTAGGCAAAGGAAGCTGGACTGAAGTTAGAGAAGACACTTCAGAAAGTAATTGATATCGTCTCCAATTACAAAGTGGCTGGTGAAAGCAATATGAAGTTAGACACGCCAAAGATGACTGTGACTGTTGACAAAAAACTAACACAGAATATAAATGATGGTAAGGAAAGCAGTTCTCTAGCAGATACAGACAGAGCTGCATTACTGGTACTGGTACTGCAGTACGTACTGCAGCGATTTTGCAAGAACTGGTACTGATACTGAATTACTCTTACAAAATTTTGCTACTACTGGTACTGGTACTGCATTACTGTCTTAAAAAGTGGTACTGCTACTGCATTACTAGGCATCAATTTTTCTCATTAAAAAAAGCTGTAAATTACATCATTTTATTTTTGTGAAAAAATTAGTTATCAAATCTATAGATTAACTTACAGTATCTGCCTCTCAAATCAGTGGTTATGGGTTCAAGCCTTACACTGGTCATGACTATAATTTTGCTAATATGACACAAGTACTGGTAAGTTCCAGGAAGAAATATGCTTGAATCAAACTAAAATTAATCTTAAAAAGTTGAGAAGAATATATACATGTATAATATATACATGTAATCTACTCTAATTTACTTTATTAAATGACTACAAATCAATCAATGGCAATTCATCACAAAAAAAAAGTTGAAAGTGAAACTGATGTAACTAGTGGCATAGACTCATCATTTTTGATTGAAGAACAGGAATTGTTGACCACTAGGAGTTAAATAGAAAAAAAAAGCTTAAACAAGTATGTATTATGGAACATTTGATGCAAACCAATTATTTCCTTTTCTCCAAGAATATTTAAAGTTTTTGTCCCAAAAGTGCTTGACTAGCTTTAATAGATTGATAGTTGTATCAGCTTGCTTAGCTCAGTAGGAAGAGCACTCAATTTGTAATTCTGGAGTCACTGGTTTGATCCTTGAGCCGGCCAAAATTTTTCTTTACATTTGGGCTGACCCGTTTAATTTAAATTTCATACCTATTATTAATTTTTTATTCACAGGCCTTCTTTGATTTTTGGGGGGAATTTAAAAGTGATTGTTCCAAATCTCAGCTTACTTTGGTAACAGGAATTTAAAAAACTTTTTTTGTACAAAAGAGTTAATATTTTACCATTATTTTTTTAAAGGGCCCAATTTTAAAAAACCCTTTAAATTTTAATTAAACTTTTTAAAAAACTTGGGTTGATTGGTGCAGGGTTGGAAAAAATCTAAACTTTAAAGGGGAAATGTTATGGGCCCGTTTAACCCAAGGGTCCCGCTGATTTTTTCCCCTAAAAAATGTTTCTGAAGAGCTAAAAATATCCTGTCTTTACAAAAAGCAAGTTTTTTTATTTTTTTTTTGCATTTTTACATAAAAAATAACATTTTAGAAATTCCCCTGTAATTTAAAAAAAACCTTTAAATTTTTATTAAACCCTTTTTTTTATAGTGTGTATTTATTTTTATAACCAGAAAAAAATGGTGGGGATGTAAGACAGGTTTTTTAGTAATAAACAGTAAAAAATCCTGTTTTGAAAGTAAAAACGGAAGGGGAATTCCCTGGCCCTAATACCCAGTATTTTTGTAGGGGTGGGGGGTTTTCCCTGTATTTTAAATTCCCCCTTTCTATGTTGGGAAAATTTCAGGTAAAAGGGGTGCCAAAACCCCAAAAAAAAATATTGGTTTTAAGACAATTCAAAAGGGGTTCCCTGAAAAAAGTCCCTTAAAAATATTTCCCAAAAATATTTTTTTAGGTTTGTCAGGCCCGCCCAAAAAATTACTACACCCTGGAAAAAAAAACCCGCAGTTAAGGTTCTGCTAAGAAAATAAATTTTAGTGACCTAATAAAAACATCAAATATAGAAATGACTCTGGACTTGAAATGGAAGTCAAAGACTTAGAGCAAGACTTTGATGTTTTTATTGGTATGTTACATTTATTAAATGTTTTCACATCAATTTTTAGCTGAAATATTCAAAGAATAGGGACCCTAGATAATGTTGGCATAACTTTTGATCCAAACCTTTCATATGCTTAAAAATCAGTAAATTTATCATGTACCAAATATGCAATAAAATATTATTCAACTAAACAATAGGGACTATTATTGTACTATCCCTGGTGTCGTCATCACCGTCTCACTTTGGTCAAATTTTTGTTGCAATTTGATATCTCCAAAACTACTGAAGGGAATAGGTTGAAAGTTGAAACTTTGCACACTTGTTCTCTGTGGTAATCTAGCATAATGGGCATACCAGTAGGTCCCACTTCTATGATTTACCATTTTTACAGAGTTATGCCCCTTTTCTTACTGTCAAATTACTGACTAGCTTCTTTCATGGATTGAACCTAGCTGGCTAGCTTAAGGAACATAGGTGCTTCTACTTACGTGCTTAGTACCTGAAATTATGCAAGGAGGGGCACCTGAGGTCTTCTTTCACCAGTAACTGGAATGTTACCATATGACCTTTACAGTGTTGATGCAATATACAAACACAACCAATGAAGGTCAAAATTTAATACAAAATCAACAGTAAAGGTGTAACTTTATTTCTACAGATCGAGAATCTTTTATGTCGGACTCTTCTAGTATTGATTCACTGACGAGGGAGTGGCGAGACAACATGGTTATCCCATCATTTTAATTTTAAAGAAAAAAAATTTTGAAATTTAATTTATAAAAAATTTAAGTTTTTAAATTTACTAAAATTTTGATTCACTTTATTATCTTCAAACTCAATAGTATATACATGTATATGCCACTATTAAAATGCAGATTTTAGCGTTAGTTATCGAAGTAGTCAACAATACATGTATGTTCAAGACTTTGAATTTTGGATTTTCAATTTCATACATAATTTTTTTTTCTTCAATTATAGTGAAGTTAATTCATTTGATATTCAGCTTCCCTGAGTTGTATATGAATTATTACAATGTATTGCAATCTTTCAGGTTAAACTGGTTAAAATTCATTTTTGTAGAATTTACATTTTGTGCAATGTTATGAAATCTGGTATTTTTCTCCAGGTCCTTGTTCCGCCAAACAGCGCCTTATCTTTATCTGTGACACAATTATACAATCTCACTGGATCTTCTCTCGCACAAGGTGATAATTCAACCAATAGTACGCTAGAAGACGATGTAATCATAGAAACTGAAAATGTTACATTTTATGTGTTTATAAGGTAATAAAGTTTTGTCCCCCAAAAAAAAAGATTTTCCATTTTATATACATGTACAGTCAGACGTGTTTAAAACCACTTCAGAATAAAGATAACCCTGTAGATAAAGGTCACTTTTTGACAACCCTTTATTTATAAAATGGAATAAAGTAACCTCAAAATAAAGACCACTTGTCTATAAAGACCATCACTTGTCTCTCCCTTTGGTGGCGTTTGTTCACAAGTTTGACTGTATCTCTTATTCATTGATAGGTCTCGAATGTTCGTAGTATGCTAGTTTATTTTTACTGCCTTCTTTCTTCAAACTATATTTACTTTGAATATTATCATTAAGTTGATGTACATGAAAGGGAACTTCCACTGAGGTACAAAAAGCTGAAAAAACATTAAAATTTGAATTCTAACATGTAAAATTTTCCAGGGGCTGGGAGGATATGCCAAAATATAATAAAGAAATGTACTCAGAAATAAATTTGGAAATTCGTTTTTTTGTTCCAATCTGAGCACATTTTGAGTGTTTAAAGCATTGCAATTGCTTATCCTTTTTTAATCATTTTGCCATCTTTAAAATTGGTTATTCTAGCTAAAATGAGTAAAAAGGGAATTTATCTGAAAATTTTGCACAACTTAGATTAAAAAGTAAGACCTACATCAAATGATAAAAAAATCTCCAAAACATATTTTCAGTCCCTACCTGTTTTTAAACATTCAAGTGGAAGTCCCTTTAAGCGATGACTTACTTAAAAGCTTCTGAACATTTAAACCTTTATGCTTATAGAAAAAGAGAATTAACAGAAATATGTTGACCTTTAACCCTTACCCTGTTAAATATCTTACATGGACTTTTCCATCTTTCGATCCGGACAAAACCATTTATCATTTTTAAGGAAATCTAATTAAATATTCTGACTGAATCCTGAATTTTTGCACATGGGTAAAATTAATGTTATTTTTAATGAGAAATAAAGATAATTTTGATACATATTTTTAAAATTTCAAGATTTATGAAGTTTGAGGCCAATGGCAAAACATTTTGCAAGAAGTTTGAAAGCGGTTGTGATTTTAAATAATGTTATTTCTATGGTTACAGGGCATATGAAGAGCCTACGATTACTAAGTACGATTATAATTGTGTACTGCCACTGACAAATGAAACATTAGTAGAAATGATGTCCTACATGGATGCTGTGTCTTACGAAAATGATACATCGGATGAGCGATCTTCCTTTATCACAGAAACACCAAACAAATGGATTTGCTTCTTCAGCAATGATGTTCTTAATGTGTAAATATCTTTTTTTTTGTTCTAGTTGCATGCAAATTAATTTATTGTTCCAGTTGTGTTAAAATATATTTTTTTAAAAAAATTTTGTCCAGTTGTTTGTAAATTCTTTTTTGTTCCACTTGCATGGAAATTCCTGTTTTGTTATAGTTGCTTGAAAAATGTAAAAAATCATATACAATAGCGCAAAATCATTTTAATTTGTGACTGGTAATTTTTGATATTTTTGTGGATAGGTCAGTCCACAAAATTATTATCATATGAAATTTCATTTTGTTTTCTGTAAAATTATTATGCATTACATTATTTGCATTGGATTGTTTTGTATAAATAAATGTAGACAATCCACGAAATTGTCCTTAATGCATAAGAAATAGATGTATTCTCAGAAACTCAGAATAGATATATCAACAATGATCAATCTGCAGTGCTTGCCCTGAACCACTTTTCATGCAAATGAAAGGTTAAAAAGTAGCTGCTTTATACCCCGGTCACATATTCACGGAAAACACCTACGGAAGAGCCACGGATTAATTCCAACATCGTCCGTAGTTACCCGTACTGGTCAGTAGCTCTCCGTATTGTAACCGTGATCAATCGTAGTAGTCCTTGTATATCCGTAGCGATCCTTGACAATTTTTGAACATGCACAAAAATTTGCTACGGAAAAACCAACCGTAGCGTATCCCTATTAGTCCGTATTAAACCGTACTGATACGTACTTGTCCGTACGTAAACCGTTCTAGTCCGTACTGATTCGTAGGCCCCACATTGTCCACGGTTTGGTACGGAGAACTACGTATGTGTACGGTTACCCTACGTATAAGCTACGGTTTTAATACGGATTAATACGGCATTATCACGGAAAGCCACGATCGTAATACGCTGTGCTACGGAGAGGCAAGGATTAGCACGGTCTTTTACGGTTTATTGCGTTGCACCACGAAACGGTACGGAATGGTACGGTCCACCACTGTTTAGTACGGATAAATTAAGTATCATGTACTTTTTCAAAGGTACTTGTTAAAAACAGATATTTGTGTGAACATTCAATAAATTTTATTGCCATTAACTGGCTGCAACTGTAAATTGATGACATGCATAGAGGTAAAAAATAGGTCAATATCGTACAACAATGCATAAGTAATGTTACTTATTTTACAAAACATTGAATTGTGAAATTGGAGTAAATATGTACATAAAACGAAGTGTCTCATAAGCCTCGGACGCTGGCCCTTGAGTGATACTAAGATTAATTAACAAGCATTTTACATATTCTTAAAACATAAACATTCACGATAATTAATGTAATTGTAAATGAACAGCACATTTTAAAATCAAAAGAGAAGCATTATTGATCAACATTTTTCATTAATGATTACTAGTCCATATCTAATCAGGTAAGAGAAGACAGAGGTGATGGTTGACTAGAGATGGGCTTTTACGAAGACCCCTTCATGCTTAGTATGAGGCTCTCATGGCCGAACTTGTTGAGGATCCGGCGTCCTTCAAGAAATTCACTATAAGACATTGAGCATGCAAGAGGTTGTGGACGGATATAATAGGTCCGTATATATCCGTGGCAATTCGTTCTTCTCCGTATCAATTCGTTCTTCTCCGTATCAGACCGTACTTATTCGTACTAACCCGTGCTTATACCGTAGCAGACCGTAGTGTATCCGTAGTGCGTCCGTCCTGATTCGTGTCGCTCCGTATCAAACCGTGTCGGTCCGTAACAATCCGTGTCTCTCCCGGGGCTTTTGGTGGTAAATCCGTCGAACTCCGTACTCATATAGTTGTGTGTCCGTACTGGAAACGTAGCGGACTACGGAATTTCACATTTCCGTAGTAATCCGTGAACAATTGGACCGTAGCTCTTCCGTGGCATTATCCGTGAATATGTGACCGGGGCATTAAATTGATATATGAATATCTATATAAAAAATTAATAAATATTGAGGAAGGCGGCTTATAAAGGAATTTTCTAGAATTATATCCTTGATAATGTGATTTTATAAAATATATGAATAGAATTGAGATAATATTTCATGTTCTTTACCTCAGTTTTCCTAGAAGCGTGACATCATTTTTGCTTAAAATCATTATTTGAGCCGTGCAATGACAAAACCAACATAATGGTTTTGCGATCAGCATGGATCCAGACCAGCCTGCGCATCCGCGCAGTCTGATCAGGATCAATGCTGTTTGCTATCAGTTTCTCTGCTTGTTATAGGTTTTGTAAGCGAACAGCATGGACACTGATCAGACTGGATCCATGCTGATCGCAAACCCATTATGTTGGTTTTGTCATGGCACGGCTCATTTGTATTCTAGGAGCGAGACCACTTTGTTTAACATCGGTGTGAAGCATACGGCACCGGATGCCGACATACCAATTGTACTGGATCTAAATGAGACTACAACAACTACCACTACCACAACAACTACCACCACCACAACAACTACCACCACCACAACCACTACTACCACCACTTTACCACCATGTACAACAACACTTGATCCTAGGGAGTCTTGCTCGAGGAAAGATGCAGAGAAGGGAAAATGTTCGAGAGAGAGACAAGAGCCGCTCGGTCTCAATCAACCATGTAGTATTGTAGAAGCAACAAAGAAAACAAAAGGTTGAGAATTCTAGATATTATATTCATTTTAAGTTCTTGTGAAAGTGAAATTCAGATAATTGGATTGATGTTTAAAAAATATTACATATGTTAGCATGAAACAAAAAATTTCTTTGAGAGCTTGCAAAGTTTAATGTTAAAATGAAGAAAAATGCTACCTTTTTATTGTTGCGTTATTAGCTCGACTATACGAAGTATATGGAGAGCTGTCCTACTCGCCCCGGCGTCTGCGTCCGTGTCCAGATTTTAGATTAAAGTTTTGGTGTAGTAAAATATTTTTCACTATAACTTTGTCATTTCTTAAGGTATCAACTTCAAACTTCAAATATATGTTCCTTATCATCAACCACGTCTTATGTGACAAGGTTCATAACTCTAGCACCAATATTTTCAGATTTATCTCCCCTTGAACTTAGAATTTTCCTTAAAAAATACTATTTTTTACTGTTTCTTCTTTATTTCTTAAGGGATCAACCTCATACTTCAAATATATGCACCTTATCATCATCCCCATCTTATGTGACAAGGTTCATAACTCTAGCACCAATATTTTCAGATTTATCTCCCTTTGAACTTAGAATTTTCCTCAAAAAGTACTATTTCTTACTGTTTCTTTTTTATTTCTTAAGGGATCAACCTCATACTTCAAATATATTTACGTTATCATCATCCCCATCTTATGTGACAAGGTTCATAACTCTAGCACCAATATTTTCAGATTTATCTTCCTTGAACTTAGAATTTTCCATAAAAAATATTATTTTTTACTGTTACTTATATATTTCTAAAGGGATCAACTTCATACTCCAAATATATTTACGTTATCATCATCCACATCTTATGTGACAAGGTTCATAACTCTAGCACCAATATTGCAAGAATTATCGCCCCATAAACTTAGATCTTTTTACTAGAAAAATGTTATTTTTTATGCCCCCATTTCGAAGAAAAGGGGGTATATTGCTTTGCACTTGTCGGTCCGTCGGTCCGAAGACCAAATGGTTTCCGAGTGATAACTAAAGAACCCTTAGGCCTAGGAACTTCAAACTTGGTATGGTGATTAGGCATGATAAGTAGATGACCCCTATTGATTTTGGGGTCAAGGGGTCAAAGGTCAAGGTCACATTGACCTTGTAAGCAAAAACGGTTTCCGATCAATAACTAAAGAACCTTGAGGCCTAGGAACTTCAAACTTGGTATGGTGATTGGTCATGATCAGTAGATGACCCCTATTGATTTTGGGATCAAGGGGTCAAAGGTCAAGGTCACATTGACCTTGTAAGGAAAAACGGTTTCCGATCAATAACTAAAGAACCTTAAGGCCTAGGAACTTCAAACTTGGTATGGTGATTGGTCATGATTAGTAGATGACCCCTATTGATTTTGGGGTCAAGGGGTCAAAGGTCAAGGTCACATTGACCTTGTAAGGAAAAACGGTTTCCGATCAATAACTAAAGAATCTTAAGGCCTAGGAACTTCAAACTTGGTATGGTGATTGGTCATGATCAGTAGATGACCCCTATTGATTTTGGGGTCAAGGGGTCAAAGGTCAAGGTCACATTGACCTTGTAAGCAAAAACGGTTTCCGATCAATAACTAAAGAACCTTTAGGCCTAGGAACTTCAAACTTGGTATGGTGATTGGTCATGATCAGTAGATGACCCCTATTGATTTTGGGGTCAAGGGGTCAAAGGTCAAGGTCACATTGACCTTGTAAGGAAAAACGGTTTCCGATCAATAACTAAAGAACTTTAAGGCCTAGGAACTTCAAACTTGGTATGGTGATTGGTCATGATCAGTAGATGACCCCTATTGATTTTGGGGTCAAGGGGTCAAAGGTCAAGGTCACATTGACCTTGTAAGCAAAAACGGTTTCCGATCAATAACTAAAGAACTTTTAGGCCTAGGAACTTCAAACTTGGTATGGTGATTGGTTATGACCAGCAGATGACCCCTATTGATTTTGGGGTTAAGGGGTCAAAGGTCAAGGTCACATTGACCTCTTAGGTAAAAACGGTTTCTGATCAATAACTAAAGAACCCTTAGGCCTAGGAACTTCAAACTTGGTATAGTGATTGGTCATGACCAGCAGAGGACCCCTATTGATATTGGGGTTAAAGGGTCAAAGGGCAAGGTCACATTGACCTTGTAGGTAAAAATGCTTTCCAATCAATAACTTAAGAACCTTTAGGCCTAGGAACTTCAAACTTGGTATGGTTATTGGTCATGACCAGCAGATGACCTTTTGATTTTGGGGTCAAGGGGTCAAAGGTCAAGGTCACATTGACCTTGTAGGTAAAAACGGTTTCCGATCAATTAACTAAAAACGCTTAGGCCTAGGAACTTCAAACTTTGTATGATGATTGTTCGTGACCAGCAGATGACCCCTGTTGAGTTTTGGGTCAAGGGGTCAAAGGTCAAGGTCACATTGACCTTGTAAGTAAAAACGGTTTCTGATCAATAACTTAAGAACGCTTAGGCCTAGGAACTTCAAACTTGGCATGGTGATTTGTCATGACCAGCAGATTACCCCTATTGATTTTGGGATCAAGGTGTCAAAGGTCAAGGTCACATTGACATTGTAAGTAAAATCGGTTTCTGATCAATAATTAAAGAACGCTTCGGCCTAGGAACTTCAAACTTGGTATGGTGATTGGTCATGAGCAGCAGATGACCCCTATTGATTTTAGGGTCAAAGGTCAAGGTCACATTGACCATGTATGTTAAAACAGTTTCCGATCAATAACTAAAGAACCCTTAGGCCTAGGAACTTCAAACTTGGTATAGTGATTGGTCATGACCAGCAGATGACCTATTGATTTTGGGGTCAAGTGGTCAAAGGTCAAGGTCACATTGACCTTGTAGGTAAAAACGGTTTCTGATCAATTAACTAAAAACGCTTAGGCCTAGGAACTTCAAACTTTGTATGATGATTGGTCGTGACCAGCAGATGACCCCTATTGAGTTTTGGGTCAAGGGGTCAAAGGTTAAGGTCATGACCAGTAGATACTTGATAACCCTTATTAATTGTTTGATCACTGGGTCAGAAGTCATGCATAATAACCTTATCACATGACTAATTGGCTGCTGATAGGGGGCATACATGTTTTACAAACATATCTTGTTATTATAACTTTTTTATTTTTAAAGGTATCTACCCCTAACTTCAAATACTTATTCCTTATCATCAATTACATTTTATGTGACAATGTTCATAACTCTTGAAGCAATATTTACAGATTTATCTCTCTTTGAACTTAGGATTTTCTTTAAGAAATATAATAACTTCTTTACTTTTTAAGGTATCTACTTCAAACTTCAAATATATATTGCTTATCATTACACAAATGTTGTGTGGCAAGGTCCATAATTCTAGCATGACTATTTCTAGAATTATTCCCCTTGATCTTGGAATTTATGTTAACAAATGTTATTTTCTTACTATAACTTAATACATAATTATACATAATTGATTTTTCTTTCATAGTTTTGTCCTCCTTACTGTGTCCAGTATTTTATTAGTCATGCTTCGCTGTCTCCTGTGACAGCTCTTGTTACCATTGCATTTAGCTTAAAAATAAATGTTAAGGGATGATTTAACCTTTATGGCTAGTGTTAGTAATTAGTAGCTGTAACTCTTGATACTGATTTTTTTTTGCATAAAAATGTGAGATTTATTGTTGATGCTGTAAGAAATGGATATATATAAATAATAATAATATTTAAAGAATAAATTTGCATGTTTTTAAAGTTCACCTGCTTACAATGGATACATCTTGACTAAATTAACAAACATGGCATTTATTGAAAGGTTCGATATTATTACGTTTGAATGATGGGTCTGATGTTATTGAATGTTTTTATTTTGCCAGCGCCTAAAGGTCCAACAACCACCCCGGCTCCACCAAAGTATAAACCAGCTCTTTATCAGATAAATTTCTTCACAACATACTGTGTATGGTGGGATCCTAAATTTGACATGTGGCAAGCTGATGGGTGCAGGGTATATACCTATTATAATTTCACTCTAATAGAATTCTTTTTTTTTTTTTTTAAAGAGTGTACATTTTTCTTTATCAATTGATGATTGTTCTGAAATTTTTTTTTGTAAAGAATAAACAGTCATAAATCAAAACTCTGAATTAATTACTAGTCTTCAAATGAAAATGTTTTGTTTAATATACTTGTATATAAATAATTCTATCACGACCGGCATTTTTCCCTATTGAACATAGAAGAACCGAAAGTGTGTGTTATTATGCTATAAAATCACTGTTTGACGTTCTATATTTAGACATGTGACGTAATCATTATACACGTGACGTAACCACTAAAAATGTGACGCGTTGACAATAAGTACGGACACAAATCAGGCGCAATTTAGCTAATTATCATGTATGGCAGCATTTATTTGTTGATGTCGTGTTAGAATCGAAATAATATATCCAAATCGGTGATTTTATTTCTTGATAACATCACTGTTTGTCGTTCGGATGCGCATCATTATATCACTCGGGCTACGCCCTCGTGATATAATTCCCCGCATACGAACTCCAAACAGTGATGTTATTGAGCAATAAAATCACAGTTTGGGATATATTATTTCTTAAATAACATTTAATTAAAACAGATATAGGATATCAATGATTATGTTAACAGGATTGTCACTGTGATCCTATAGAAATAACTTTAAATGTGTAATTTAATTATCTTTATTTCATTATAAATACATGTTTTGTATGTTTGGGACTGTCCCGAAAATCAGGGGACTGTCCCGGAAGAATCCCAGAGATGGTCTTTGTTCAGTTAAAATAGAATAGTGATTAAATAACTTTTTTCAACATTTTTTGTGGTGAATAACAAACTCTTTTTAAACATGTTTCTTAGTTACCAATGATAAAAGTGACATTGTCCTTCAGCACTGATTATTTAGGCCCAACAAATATACTAAACAAATCTTTCATATTTTCAGGTCGGTCCGTTAACAGAACCAGCTCGTATACACTGTCTGTGTAACCATTTGACAGCTTTTGGGGCCGGTTTTGCTGTACCCATGAACACTGTTAATTTGAATGATTCAGCGTTCTCTAATCTTGACTCCAATCCTATTGTGTTTGCAACAATGGTATCCATGATGTGTTTGTACCTTTTACTGCTGATATGGGCAAGAAAGAAAGATAAAAGAGATGCGATATTGGTAAAACAAATTTTTTGCAAAGTTTCTTTTTGAAACTAAGTCTTGTCATTTGATGCATAAATGTCATGTGTTGCATAAATGTCATGTGTTGCATAAATGTCATGTGTTGCATAAATGTCATTTGTTGCATAAATGTCATGTGTTGCATAAATGTCATTTGTTGCATAAATGACATGTGTTGCATAAATGTCAAGTGATACATAAATGACATGTGTTGCATAAATGTCAAGTGATACATAAATGTCATGTGTTGCATAAATGTCATTTGTTGCATAAATGACATGTGTTGCATAAATGTCAAGTGATACATAAATGACATGTGTTGCATAAATGTCAAGTGATACATAAATGTCATGTGTTGCATAAATGTCATGTGTTGCATAAATGTCATTTGTTGCATAAATGACATGTGTTGCATAAATGTCAAGTGATACATAAATGTCATGTGTTGCAGTTAGATCTATATTAAGCAATATGATGCAGTTTTCTCTTGTTGGACTTCTCAGCAATTTCAAATGAAACATAAAATAAAACATACAAAATTATTTTTTGTTGTAGTGAATGATGATAATGAAAGTGTGTTTGTTTGTATAATTATAGGCCGGAATTTCTCCACTACCAGATAATGATCCCAGAGATAAGTACCTGTATGAGATTACTTTGTATACTGGCTCCAGACGAGGTGCAGGTACTGTCTTAATTTAATTTATTTATAGAAATTTAAGTAATTTCCTAAACTTTAATGCATATAAAAATTAGTTTTGAATTTGAAAAAAGTTGGCAAAATTTTTTTCCAAAATTTTATTTCTAATATGCTAAATGTAATTTATACAAAACAATAATTTTATACCATATTTATAATATTAAGTTTTACCACACAAATTATGTTCAAAATAGACATAGTTTCTTTTTTTGGCATACCAATTATGTGTATTGCAAACAATTGTGTAAGAAAATGTCTGGTACCAAAATTATGAGCTCAGAATTTGATTACAAAACTGAAACATTATGAATAAGATTTCTTTATTATGAGCCCCGAAAAATTTCGGGAGAGCATATTGTTGTCGGGTTGTCCATCCGTTTGTCCGTCCGTCAGTATGTCAGTCAGTACGACCTGAAAAATAGGTACTTAGGAGGCTATGAGAACAATAGGTAACAGTAAATTTCTTTTGATGTCATTCATTCAGTTTTGGGTTTATGTGGCTTATTGGGCTTATGTGGCTATTTAGAACAAAAGAGAATACAATGGGCTAGTCACTTAAGTACCAATTTACAAGATCGTCCGTCCGTACATACGTCCTGAATTCGTGTCTGGCCCATAACTTTGTTATTTGAAGTCAGATTTTACAACTATTTCACAGAAATGATCACCATATTGAGACGACATGTCACGCGCAACATTTGGGTCGCTACCTTGAAGGTCACAGCATGACCTTGCAGCAAAATCGTGTCTGGCCCATAACTATGTTATTTGAAGTCAGATTTTACAACTATATTACAGAAATGATCACCATATTGAGACAATGTGTCGCGCACAACATCTGGGTAGCTACCTTGAAGGTCAAGGTCACAGCATGACCTTGCATCAAAATCATGTCCGGCCTATAACTTTGTTATTTGAAGTTGGAATTTACAACTATTTCACAGAAATGATCACCAATTTGAGACGACTTGTTGCGTGCAACATTTGGGTCGGTACCTTGAGGGTCAAGGTCACAGCATGACCTTGTAGCAAAATCGTGTTCCGGCCCATAACTTGGTTATTTGAAGTCTGATTTTTCAACTACAGTCAAACTTGTATTAAGCGACCGCGCAAGGGAAACACCCAAAATGGTCGCTTAAAGAAACGGTCTCTTAAGACAAAGCATGATAAAAAATCAAAATTTATACATGACATCTTTCTTTTGTGGTGGGAATGTTTTTCAATTTCATTTATATAAATGTTTAATAATTAGAAAGCTCCAATAATCTAAATGAATGCTAATGTAAAAAAAAAACTTTCTGATATTTATTGACAAAACAGTTTTGATACATTACGTACATGTTTGACATTTTTCCAGAATTTTTTTATTTCCCTGTTGTATTCCCTTGCCTCCAACACGAAAACCCTGATAAGTGAAGCCATTTTCTGTTGTGCATTTTCATTTGAAATAAACAAACTACATCTGATTGTAACGATTAATTTAATTGCTGATCAAGTTCAAGGTCAATTCAATGCGGTCTAAATGTCAACAGCTAAGCGTATACATCATCTGAGTAGGGGCGGAACGTTGCATTGTTTTATCGATATTATTGGATAATACACGTCATTCGTATACTTACGTTTATTTGCATAAACTAAAACGGTTTGGCAAATAGAGTTTTTCACACATTTATATATTGTGTTTTGATTGTTGACACTTGTGACATTACAAGGTGGTGTCCTCTAAAAACACCATTACTTGACAGGTAAAGTGGTCGTTTAATGAAAAGATTGATCTCAATTAGCTGACTAATTAGTGGTCGCTGGTCGCTTTGAGCAAAAGTCGCTTAATACATTAAAGATACAGAGAGAAAATGAACAGGTGGAATTGAAAGTGGCCGCATAAGACAAAAGTCGCTTAATAAACATGGTCGCATGAGCAAGTTAGACTGTATTTCACAGAAATGATCACCATATTAAGACAACGTGTCACGCGCAACGTTTGGGTTGTTTTTACACTTTGAACTTTGTCTGTGACAGAGCTGACACTACAAGAGGTATACCTTCCTGTGTCCAAAACCTATTCGGGGAGCATCACCCGGTTCAACCGGCTCTAGTTTATTTACTTCCTACAGAATTAATTTAAGTTAAATTGTTTAGGAAGGTATAGGCTTATATGCACATTCCTTGAGCAGGCCAGTTGTTAAAGTTTCTTGCTGAAGTAAACAATGGCTAAACTCTGTTGGGCCTGAATCAACACAGCTAGCGATCCTTAGCTTCTAGTCTTTTTTATACAGGCACAAGTTCTAAAGTGTCCTTTATCATCACCGGTGACCTTGATGAAACAGCAGCTCGAGCTGTAGAGGATGATCAGCGAATCATTCTTGGCCGCAGCAGCGTGGATTCATTTGTAATGGCTGTACCAAGACCTCTTGGTAATTTGACCCATCTTAGGTATTATATTTACATCATTCTTTGTTTACACATACATTGTATGGTAAAAAAGAAACAACATATTTTGCATACTTACTGGTTAACCATTACTATGCTAAATTTTTATTATGAACCTAATCTACTGTGGATTTGGAGCATTCTATCTTGTCAATAGGGTTATTGTAAGAGTATTTTAATCTGGAACTTAGATTTAACTCAGTGGATTTTGCTTAGGTAAGAACACCATGATTCACATGTGATCCATTCTAACCTCTGGTAATATCCATGAGAGTCAAATATCTTATACTTGTGCTTTATCAAGAAACTCTTTCAATGGTATCATATACAAATGTACCTCCTTAAATTGAAACTGTATATATAGATTTAACCTAACATCATGCCATTACTTCTGTCTGGTTGGTAATTGTGCATGTTATACTAGTAGTATAAAAATGTCAGAGTATTTCTTTACAGAAGTAAAATATCATAGTATTACATAACAGTAGTGAAATATCATAGTATTACATTATAGAAGTGAAATATCATAGTATTACATTACAGTAGTGAAATATAGTATTACATTACAGTAGTGAAATATCATAGTATTACATTACAGTAGTGAAATATAGTATTACAGTAGTGAAATATCATAGTATTACAGTACAGTAGTGAAATATCATAGTATTGTATTACAGTAGTGAAAAATCATAGTATTACATTACAGTAGTGAAATAACATAGTACTACATTACAATAGTGAAATATCATAGCATTACATTACAATAGTGAAATATCATAGTATTACATTACAGTAGTGAAATATCATAATATTGTATTACAATAGTGAAATATCATAGTATTACATTACAATAGGGAAATATCATAGTATTACATTACAGTAGTGAAATATCATAATATTGTATTACAGTAGTGAAAAATCATAGTATTACATTAAAGTAGTGAAATAACATAGTACTACATTACAATAGTGAAATATCATAGCATTACATTAAAATAGTGAAATATCATAGTATTACATTACAGTAGTGAAATATCATAATATTGTATTACAATAGTGAAATATCATAGTATTACATTACAATAGGGAAATATCATAATATTGTATTACAATAGTGAAATATCATAAAATTGTATTACAATAGTGAAATATCATAGTATTACATTACAATAGTGAAATATCATAATATTGTATTACAATAGTGAAATATCATAGTATTACATTACAATATTGAAATATCATAGTATTACATTACAATAGGGAAATATTATAGTATTACATTACAATAGGGAAATATCATAATATTGTATTACAATAGTGAAATATCATAGTATTACATTACAATAGTGAAATATCATAGTATAACATTACAATAGTGAAATATCATAGTATTACATTACAATAGGGAAATATCATAGTATTACATTACAGTAGTGAAATATCATAAAATTGTATTACAGTAGTGAAATATCATAGTATTACATTACAATAGTGAAATATCATAATATTGTATTACAATAGTGAAATATCATAGTATTACATAACAATATTGAAATATCATAGTATTACATTACAATAGGGAAATATCATAGTATTACATTACAATAGGGAAATATCATAGTATTACATTACAGTAGGGAAATATCATAATATTGTATTACAATAGTGAAATATCATAGTATTACATTACAATAGTGAAATATCATAGTATAACATTACAATAGTGAAATATCATAGTATTACATTACAATAGGGAAATATCATAGTATTACATTACAGTAGTGAAATATCATATTGTATTACAATAGTGAAATATCATAGTATTACATTATAGTAGTGAAATATCATAGTATTACAGTAGAGTAGTGAAATATCATAGTGTTGCATTACAGTAGTAAAATATCAAGGTGTTACATTACAGTAGTGAAATGTCAGAGTTTTTCATTACAGTAGTGAAATATCATAGTATTGCATTACAATTGTAAAATATCAAAGTATTACATTACAGTAGATAAATATCATAGTACTGCATTACAGTAGTGAAATATCATAGTATTGCATTACAGTAGTGAAATATCAAAGTATTATATAACAGAAAAGTTGGAGAGTTGCCATATTAAAGTAAAGGTGTGACTTGAAAACTCAATCCCCTATTCCCTTTTAACCCCCCCCCGTTAAAAAGAAAAAATGTTATATATGTAATTAGTTTTTTTTTTTTTAAATAAATCTGATAAAAAGGGGAGGGCCCCATCGGGTATTTCAGTAGATTATGGTACGAATATGCAGTCTGAACAATTTATTTTTTTGTGAAGAGGGCTCCTCTGGCGTGATGATGGATGGTAATGTTTTTTTTCAGTTTTTTTTACAATTAAAAATGAAAAAAATCTGGTTAATTTTTAGTTTTTTATGTTTTTTTTTTTAAAGTGAAATTTTTGGGCTAAAACTAGTTGTTTGAGTGATTTTAAAAATTGAAGTTATTATTAATCATTTTGCTTTTTTGCAATAAGGGCATAAAAAAAAATGAAATTAATTTTTTGTCCATATTATTTATGCCATGTCGGGTAAAAAGAATAATGCAAAAATCTTGTTTTGGACATATTTAATTAATGACATCAGATAGTTTTGTGTATGGCAAAGAGTCCCTAATGGGCTGAACTCACTGTGTTTCTATAAAGTAACCAAATATTTGTGTTATCTAAACATGTGACATTGTTATTACTTAGATATTTTATTAGCTCACCAGAGCCAAAGGCTCAGGGTGAGCTATTAGTATCAAAGGGGGACGTCCGTCGTCCGTCGTCATGCGTCAACAATCGTCTTCTTCTCTGAAACCATAGGGCAGATTTACTTCAAATTTTGTCTGTAGCATCCTTGTGACAGTCACACTGGAATTTGCTCATGTCATTCCAATTGGTCCCTTTTAGGGGTCAGCAGAGCTAAAAATAGAAAAACCTTTAAACATCTTCTTCTATAGAACTAATTGATGGATGATCACCAAACTTTGTCTGTAGCATTCTTGGGTAGTCTTTTATCAAGTTTGCTCATATTAATTTGATTGGCCCCTTTTAGGGGTCTCTAGGGCTAAAAATAGAAAAACCTTTAAACATCTTCTTCTACAGAAGTAATGGATGGATGATCACCAAACTTTGTCTGTAACATTCTTGGGTAGTCTTTTATCAAGTTTGCTCATATGAATTTGATTGGCCCCTTTTAGGGGCCGCTAAAGCTAAAAATAGAAATACCATTAAATGTCTATATCTAGAGAACTAATGGATGGATGATCACCAAACTTTGTCGGTAGCATTCTCGGGTAGTGTTTTATCAAGTTTGCTCATATTATTTTGATTGGCCCCTTTTAGGGGCCACTAGAGCTAAAAATAGAAATACAGTTAAATGTCTATTTCTAGAGAAATAATTGATGGATGATCACCAAACTTTGTCTGTAGCATTCTTGGGTAGTCTTTTATCAAGTTTGCTAATATTATTTTGATTATACCCTTTTAGGGGCCGCATTAAAGCTAAAAATAGAAATACCTTCAAATGTCTATTTCTACAGAACTAATTGATGGATGATCACCAAATTTTGTCTGCAGCATTTTTGGGAAGTCTTTGATCAAGTTTGCTCATATTAATTTGATTGGCCCCTTTTAGGGGTCTCTGTAGCTAAAAATAGAAAAATCTTTAAACATCTTCTTCTACAGAACTTATTGATGGATGATCACCAAACTTTGTCTGTAGCATTCTTGGGTAGTCTTTAATCAAGTTTGGTCATATGAATTTGATTGGCCCCTTTTAGGGGCCGCTTAAGCTAAAAATAGAAATACAGTGAAATGTCTATTTGTACAGAACTAATGGATGGATGATCACCAAACTTTGTCTGTAGCATTGTTGGGTAGTCTTTTATCAAGTTTGCTCATATTATTTTGATTGGCCCCTTTTAGGGGTCGCTAAAATTAAAAATAGATAAACGTTTATTGCTACAGAACTAATTGATGGTTGATCACCAAACTTTGTCTGTAGCCATTTTGGGTAATCTTTTATCAAGTTTGCTCACATTAATTTGATTGGCCCCTTTTAGGGGCCGCTAAAGCTAAAAATAGAAAAACCTTGAAACATCTTCTGCTTCAGTACCAATTGATGGATGATCACCAAACTTTGTCTGTAGCATTCTTGGGTACTCTTTTATCAAGTTTGCTTATATCAATTTGATTAGCCCCTATTAGGGGCCACTAAAGCTAAAAATAGAAAAAAACCTTTGAACATCATTTCCTACTGAAATAATTGATAGATTATCACCAAATTTTGTAGCATTCTTAGGTAGTCTTTTATCAAGTTTGCTCATATTAATTTGATTAGCCCCGTTTAAGCTAAAAGTTTAAATGCCCCAGGTCATGGCATTTCTTCAGATTATTTTTTAAACATATTCTATGCTCAGATTTAATATTAGAATATATTGACATTCCAATACTGAAAAGCAGTTGTTTCTGGTGAGCGACTCAGGGCCATCATGGCCCTCTTGTTTACATACCATTCTAGATATCTAAGAAGTAAATATTATATATATTTTGAGATATTTTATATATTCAGATTGACCGTGTCATTCCTATTGCTGGAAAGGCTGAGCTTACAAACTTCAGCTTCTTGTTCTGGTCAAAAGCCAAAACCAACTTAACAGACGGTCATTTATGGTTCAGTATATTCCAACGCCCTGCGAAGAGTAATTTCACCTGTGTGCAACGCCTCACTTGTTGTCTTTCACTGATCTTCTGTTCTATGTGCGCAAGTATTGTTTACGAACTCAAGTAATCTCTGAACAAGTTGGGGTTGGTCCGGGTTGCGATAATTTTTGGGAGTGTATTTTGTATCTGGCGTGCTGACATTTCCTAAAAATTATCCTGTCAAAATGATATTGTTATCTTCCCCCCCCAAAAAATTTTCCAAAAGGGAAAAATCCGAAAAAAGCCCCTGAATGATAAAGGAAAAAAAAGGGAAGGTGGGAAAAAAGAAATAAAAAAAACCAGAAATTTCGATGAAAAAGCGGGGAAAGACAGGGAAAATATTTTGAACGGGGAAGCCAAAATTTTTTTAAAACCCGGAAAGTGAAAAGGAAATTTTTTAAAGTTCAAAAACCAATAGAAAAAAGACCTTAAGGTGAATAAAAATAAATCAATTTTTTAAAATTTGAAATTGGGGCTTTCAAAAGGGAAAATGGAGAGTTTGTTTTTTGGGTTTAAAAAGAAGAAATAATAAAAGGTTTGTCCGAGTTTTAATTAAAAGCATTAAAAATAAACTGTTAAATTATTATAAAAAATCAAAAAAAAAAATAAAATTTCTTATGGAAAAGCCTTGTGTTTAGATTTTAAAAATAAAATGTTTTTTTTTTTCTTTAAAATGGCATTAAAATTATTTTTTAGTCTCCTATATTAATTAACAGCAATATAGGCGCGTCACGCAAAACAAATAATGGGGAGCGACCCGCATGGATCCAGACCCGCCCCGTTTTGCCTGTTGATCAAAATCCCTGCTGTTGCTATCAGTTTTTTTATTGATTGGTTTTTAAAAAACGCATGTCCTGATCAGATTGGCGGATGCGCGGTTTGGGCTGGATTTTGTCGCAAACCTTATGTTGGGTTTTTTTGACGGGCTCAATGATTCAAAGTGTTTTTATATGATTCCCCAATATTTAATCGATGTGCATTAATGAATATTATGTGGTGAATTTAATATTTCAGTAATTTATCAATAATTATTCAAATTTTTATTTAGATTGCATTTTTTTATTATACGTGCATTTTGAAAATTTTTATGTGGTCTCATTTTAAATCAATTTAAATTTTTTTTGTCAATCTTTATTAACGTGTGTTTTTTGTTATAGCCCCCTGCTTTAAGAAATGCAAAATCATTATTGTGTCTTCTGTTTTATGATGGGGTTAAATTTTAAGGGTTATATTACTATGCAGTTTTGGCACAGCGAAAACTCAAAGTAATGTTCTTTATTGTTATGAACTCTATGTAAAGACAATTCTAATATTAGTGTTTTTTTGTCTAATAGAATGGTTTACATAATAATTTAATTTTTCACTTCAATTGAAAAATGACACCCTTTTGGACATTTGACAAATATATTGTTTTATTATGCTCTAAATTAAAAAAGGTTTCCCAAAAAATTTTATTAATCAAAGTTATAAAAATTGTTTTAAGGACTGTTTCTCATTATTATTAGTATCTATTAAAGACGATTTTTACTACTTTTTAATGTTGTTTTTATTATTAAGAATTTTTCCACATAAATATTTGTAAATTCAACCCTATAATGAAAGATGAATTTATATTAAGGAAAAATTCAATATTTTGTTAAGTTGACCTATAAAGAATGGTTTACATAATTATGAAAAATGCACATTAAATGATAGATTTACATATATAAGGCGCGGTTAAACAATAAAGTTGCTCTTTTTTTAAAATTATTCCCCCAAAATTTTTTTATTAAATATTTGCAGATGTTTAAAAAAGGACAATTGAATTCATTATTGTTATTTTGACTTATAAAGGATGGCTTAAATTATTCAAAAAAGACAAAGTGTAATGATAGATTGCATATAAAAAGACCAAAACGTTGACTACATATAAGGATGGATCCAAATAATATATTAATGAGTTCAATTGTATAAAAAAGGTTGACTCTAATTTTTCTATATGGAATAAACCGTTTAGGTTTATAATAAAAACAGTCAAGGCTTTCCATTATTTCCATTCTATTGTAATAAAAAAAAGTTTAAAAAAATTTTTAAAATACTTTGCGTTTTTTTTTTATTTGGTTTTTTGTTTTTGAAATTAATTTTACTGCGCATTTGTTTCTATGTTGTGATTTTTATAAAAAATGTTTGATTGCCCATCTTTTTTTAGGAGGTATGTAAGCAAGTTAAATTTGTGTTTAATCTGTTTGATTTATGCTGTCTGGATGGTTTTTAAAAAAAAAAATAATGACTTGAATAATATCATGTACATGTAGATCTATTTATAGTTAATAGTACATGAATGTGCTTTTCGGATGGTTTACATCGCTCAAGTTTATTGTGTAAAGTAGAATTCTCACACCATTTTGTTTGACATATGACATAGGCTAGTTGATGATTATACATACAGAAACGGAGTTTCCTATTTCTTCAATCAAAAATGTCTGTGTATTTTCACTGGAGAACTTAAAGGTAGATAATAAAGATTTACATCACATTTATTCAATACTAACATTGTCAAAAAATAGAGCCTGTTTGTAAAAACAACCTTGCAAAGACTATCATCTGTTGTTAATGGTAATACCATTTACCAAGTAGCTTCACCTCCTTTCACCAATGCAAGCTTGTCTAATAGTTTACCACCTTACACCAATGCAAGCTTGTCTAATAGTTTACCACCTTACACCAATGCAAGCTTGTCTAATAGTTTACCACCTTACACCAATGCAAGCTTGTCTAATAGTTTACCACCTTACACCAATGCAAGCTTGTCTAATAGTTTACCACCTTACACCAATGCAAGCTTGTCTAATAGTTTACCACCTTACACCAATGCAAGCTTGTCTAATAGTTTACCACCTGACACCAATGCAAGCTTGTCTAATAGTTTACCAGCTTACACCAATGCAAGCTTGTCTAATAGTTTACCACCTGACACCAATGCAAGCTTGTCTAATAGTTTACCAGCTTACACTAATGCAAGCTTGTCTAATAGCTTTCACCTTACACCAATGCAAGCTTGTCTAATAGTTTACCAAAGCTTACACCAATGCAAGCTTGTCTAATAGTTTATCACCTTACACCAATGCAAGCTTGTCTAATAGTTTACCACCTTACACCAATGCAAGCTTGTCTAATAGTTTACCACCTTACACCAATGCAAGCTTGTCTAATAGTTTACCACCTTACACCAATGCAAAGCTTGTCTAATAGTTTTACCACCTTACACCAATGCAAGCTTGTCTAATAGTTTACCACCTGACACCAATGCAATTTCTAATAATTTTCCACCCACCCAATGCAAGGCTTGTCCCCAATAGTTTTTATCAACCTTACACCATTTAATTGTTTTTTAAGATTTTAACTTTTTTTTGGGGAAAAAAAAAGGGAAACTTGGGTTTAATTGGGTTTTTACTTGGGAAAATGGCAGGTGTTTTTTTTCATGTCTTTTCGGGAAAAAAATTTTGGGGCAATTTTTTTTTAAAGTTTTTTCCCCTTACCCTCGGTTTGTTTTGGTTTTTTTAGTCTTTAAAAGCCAAATTTTTAAAAAATTTAAATTAGAGATTTTTAGGGCTATTAGTTTACCCCTTTTGAAAAAACCCCCAAAAATTTTCCTTTTCAAAATTTTTTCTTCCCAAAAGTTTAACCTGCCCCCAAGCTTTTTGTCTAATTTTAAAATTTTTTTTTTTAAAAAAAAAAAAAATGGGGAAAAAAAATTTCTTTACTTTAGATTTGCCCAAGAACCCTGCAATGTTTAAAAAATTTGAAAACTTTTTTTTAATTTTTGACCCTTTTGGTGTTTTCCTTTTTTTTCGTATAGCTTTTCCCCTTTTTTCCTTTTGAAGTTGGGGGAAAGGTTTACCCCTTAAACACCGGGGGGGGGCTAAACTTATAAAGGTTCCTTTTTTACTTACTTATGCGGGGCAGAAAGAAAACCCCTTACACCAATCAAGTGGGTAATGGTTTTACCCCATTCCCAAAGTTTTTTTGTTTATTTTTGCAAAAGGTGTTTCAAATTTGATTGCGGGGTTTTAGTTTTTTAAAATGTTGAACTTTTGTAATTTTTTGTTTTACCTTATGCAGTTTGGGGTTAAACTTTAAAAAAGGGGTTTCCTGGTTTCCCAAGCTTAACTTTTACAAACAATTAACGTTAAAATTTTTTTCCCTTTTTAAAAAACCAAAAGAAAATTTTATAAATTTTGTTTTTTTATTTTATTTTTGTTTTTTAGGAAAAAAGGAAAACCCCGGTTTTCACATTATTGGTTTTAAGGGGGAAAGGGAGTTTGCTTAAAAAGGTTTTTGGTTGCCTGAAATTTTAAATTTGTGTTTAAAATTTTAGGTTTTAATTCGGGAAAAAACCAAAAAGTGGTTTTTTTGCATTTAACCCCCCGCTTTGAATTAATCTTTTTTCACAAGCTTTTTTAAAAAGTTTTAAAAATTAAAAGGATTTTGGTTTTTTTTTGTAATTTTTTTTTAATTTATTTAAAATTTTATTGATTTTCTTTTTTTTGTTTTTAGGGCCCCTTTTTTTCTTGAATCCCATTTTTTCCCAAGGGGGCCCAACCCCTTTTTTCCCCCCCTTTAATTTTTTGCTTTTGGAAAAAAAATTTTTTTTTGGGGTTTAAAAATGGTTTGAAAAAAAATTTTTGCTTTATGGGGTTTTAAGCCAACTCATTGAAAAATGGGGTTTATTTCCCTTCCCAAAATTGTTTTTTTTTTTAAATTTTTGTTTCCCTAAAGGGTTTTAAAAAAAGGGAAAGAAAAATTTTTTGTACAAAAAAAAACTTTACACTTCTCTTTTAAGGTTTTTTTTTGTCCCAACCAAGAATAATTCAATAGCTGTTATAAAATTTTTAAAAACCGTTTTGTAAAATTTAATGAATTTTAAATTTTGATTTTGGGTGGTTTTTTTTGTTCCAAATTAAGTTTATATTTTTTGCTTATTTCTTAAAGAAAAAAATAAAGGGGGGTAAAGAAACCTTTTTTTTTTTTTTAGCCCTTTTAAATTTGACCGAAAAAATTTTTTTGTTTTAATTATAATTTTTTTTAATCCCAAAAATTTTAAAAAATTCCCGGAAAATTGACGGGGGGGGGCCCTTTACAACCTCTCGGGAAATTTGCTCTTTGGTTTAAATACAAAGTATTTATCTATTATAGAATGGTCATGATAAGAATGTGTTTTTGTTGTGCTAAGAAATATATTTAGCTCTTAATAGATTTTACTAAAGCCACATCACTGAATCAGAAATCATGTGGGATTATTAGCCGGTCACTTGCGCAGAAATTGGTTATTACTGTTTAATCATCCAGGAAAGCCCGTAAAGGTGGATCTACCTCCCAAGGGTTGACCAAAAACATGTGTTAAAATTGGCATTAAAATCTAGAAAAATGTACAAAAAAACTAAACTGGATCTTAATTGGAGTTCCCACACCTATGAACCGGACCTACCTTGCAAGGTCCTTGTCAAGATTATTTTTATGATAACCCTGAAGCTGATACAATGTGATTAATAGTAATAACGTAATATTTGACATATTAAAGATGTCGAGATATGAAGATTTTTGGAACTGGACAGGAAATGTACTTGTGAATGGACTATATAATCGAGAGTTTTACAATGGTGAAATATACACTGAATCTCTGATTGTGGATAGACAGTCGTTGTTGGTAGGCGGCGCTAGACTTCGACAAGTGCGAATTCAGTCTCGTACGTATCACTCTTTTGTCATCATATTAGATAACAAGTCTAAATTGTATCATTTAAAATAAGGGCGGCCATTAAATGAATCACATTTAATGATTTTTTTAATCAGCTTTATAGACATTTTGCAACCAGAACAATTCTTATGTATACCATAACTTATACATTTTGATATAATGTCTTAAGGTATTTAAGATTATTGTAATAGATAACATGATACTTGATATTTTTCTTTCATGATATCATCATATCTTATACCATAACAAACATTGTCCTGAAAACAAATACTTGTACATGTATTTGTGCTCATGGTAACAGGTCACTGACCAATGAAACCCATAATTCTATTATGAGTTTTTACTGAATTATTCCCCTCTGAGCTGTGCCTCTTCTTTTTACTCCTGTCACTGATTCCATTTGACATTTTTACGGTATTCTAATTCTTCTAACTTGTACTTAAGAAATCATAATGTTAAAATACTTGACTCTCGCTATTTCAGATTTATGTGATGCACCGATGAACTATCTTATGTATCATTGTGAGAAGGGCTATTCTGTATTGAGAGAGGACCAAGATAACTATTTACCTGGCTGGGAACCAGTAGATCTTACAAGTAAGTATTCATAAATCTAGGTCATAGGTCAAAACATCAAAAGGTCAATATGAAATACATTTTCTGTACTATATTCTTCTGTACTTTTTGTTTAATTATGTTATATATATGGAAACCTTGACAAATAGGCTATGTTTCATGTGAAATACATGTACATACATTTAATTGTAATAATGAAAATGAAAGACGTACTTGAAGGTTGATAATTAGAAGCATAACTTATTTATCATCGTTCATTTTCTGCTCACTAGAGGGCATTTGTATAGATGAGGCAGTCCTTTGTTGTAACTGGAATTTTCTTCTAAAGTGCTAGGTCAGTTGTGATTACGATTTTGACACAGACCCATATCATGCTAAATATAATAAACTGACTTTGCCCATCTTTCAATCTAAATAAAGCTACTGAATGATTTTAAAGAAAATTTCAAAACATGTATGAATAGCCAACTGTACAGATCCTGATCATATGGCATTGTAGTGCCGGCTGATCTTGGTCTGCACTGTTCACATTGTTACATTTCGTATCATGCAGGGAATAGGTTAATAATTTTTTTTTTTTCATTTCTAGAGTGGTCACAAGTTCCAAATACATACTATACATACAGAGGTTGGGATGAACTAGATGGCTACCCCTATGTGGGACAGTTTGGTACATATGGTGGAGGTGGATATGTAGCTGAGCTTGGTGAGTACATGTATCGTAAATAGTATATATCATATGAGCCGCGTCAAGACAAAACCAACATATTGCGTTTGCGACCAGCAAAGATCCAGACCAACCTGCGCATCCGCGCAGTCTGATCAGGATCCATACTGTTCGCCATCAGTTTCTATACTTGTAATAGAGTTGATAAGCGCACAGAATGGATCCTGATCAGTCTGCGCGGATGCGCAGGCTGTTCTGGATCCATGCTGGTCGCAAACGCACTATGTTGGTTTTGTCGTGACACGGCTCATATTATGTTTATATAATAATACATAAACATGTATGTACAAGATTACATATCTTGAAATGCAAGTAACCTTTCATTTTTTGGTTAGACTTAAAGCTAGTTTGTAACATTTTTTTTTTGTTATATATGAACTATGGAAACTGATCATTTCGGAAAAAATAATTATCAGCTTTATATAGAATATTTTTGCAAGTAAATAGGGTCATATATAGCAAGAAGTTGTTAAATTCAGTGAAGTCCCTATGACAATGTTGACTGTTGACTATCTGAATATCTTCCATAGGTACTGATAAATCTACAGCAGAAGGTGTTCTACAATTCCTACAGAATACGAGCTGGATTAACTCGAATACCCGAGCCATTATTGTCGAGTTTAATTTGTACAACCCAAATTTGAATCTTTGGGGCGTCTGCATGTACCTGATGGAGTTTATTCAAACTGGAGGTTTATAAACATTTAATATATTTGTATTTGAAAATAAAAATTCTTTTTTGATTTCAAATAGCATATTCTATCCATATTTCCTACAAGGTTACACATTTAAATGATTGACAAAATGTATCTGTGGTTGTGTGGTTAAGGCCATTGACTTTTAACCACTTGCCCCTCAATGATGTGGGTTCAAATCGTGACAGGGACTTTGGATTCTTTCATGTGATGAAGCTATCCAATTTGCTTACGGAAAGCTGGTGGTTCTACTTTGGTGCCTGACCGTGCCTAAAATAATGCACAGAAGTGCACCTGAGGTCTAACTCCACCAGTAAAGCTGGAAAGTCACCATAATACCTACACATTTTTGGTGCCACATTAAACCAAACAAAAAAAAATGTGTCTTTAATTGCTTGGATGGTTAGAAAATATAGTATCAAACTAGAACTGAGGAAATACTTAGGGTCACCTGTGGATACATGTTTTACCACTACAACTGGGCTATTATTTCAAAAATACAATTTTGTTCACATTCTCAATTTTATTTTATAGCAATACTGGAAATTGTTGTGTTCAATGCAATATGGGAAACTTGCCTATGTATAGAAAATAAATATTTTAATTTGTAGGATTGGAGATGAGTCCCAAGTGGCATATATTACGTTTAGATCGCTATATTGGGCCATTCATGTATTTTGTTATGGCAATGGAATTTATAACAATAATGTTTGTAATATACTTCACTGTGAGAGAGATCAGGCAAATGAGAGCCAAAAGACTTCAATATTTCAAGGTGGTACATTATTCTATTCTGTGCTGTGAAATATGTGATAAAAAATGTAATTCTTGAATTGATTGACCGTGTACAAGTTATGCAGTTCTCAAGTCAAGTTTTAGACATTAACTTTGATAAATCATAACAAGGACAACACACTTTCCAGATTTTTGTCGTTATTGAAATGCTATCAGCATAGGGTTGTATTTTAATGCATAAACATTTTTTATACATAAAAGCATGGTTCTATTCTGGTTGCATTAACAAGTTATAATTTCTTGTAATATTCATAAGACTCCAACTTGTTATTTTTACAGGAGTTTTGGAACTGGTGGGAACTTGGATGTTTGGCACTGCTGTATGCAATTATTATACTATTTATATACAGAACTGTTATAAACACTAGCAAGATGAATGATGTTAGTGACAACACTGATGCCTTCACAAATCTTCACTATGCTGTGCTTCTTGATGAGGTATTTATCCATCATTTTAAATCTACATATCGAGGGCTTAGTGCGAAATGGTTGTAACCCATATGACATAAAGATGGAGTTACAACTCTTTCATGCCAAGCGGTCGATATGGATACTGCAAGTAACTGCTAAAAAACCTTTTATAATTGTTACCCTTTGCTTTTTCTTTAAGCAAAACCCATTTTTTTAAGGACTTATGCAAAGCAACTTTGAGTCATGCCAGATGAGTAATTCCTGGATTTCTTATCTATAATCGCACAAGTGTGAATTGAGAAAGGCAATAGAGAATCTCACCACAGGTGGGTTTCGAACCAATGATCTCCACCCCTACACCACCCTCCCTCCACTACCATATCAAAGTCATAAAACCAAGCAGCTAAAAATTAAGAGTCTTGTCAGTCTGCCTGAAAGCACAGAGAATGTGCCTTTACTCTACAGTTCTACACTGGTAGTGTAGGCAAGAAAATTTTGCCACTCAAATTTAAACGGTTGCTTGAAATACTACATTTCCATACCCATATTACATGTATTTATTTCCCTTACATTTTTAATGTGCAAAATTGAGTGTCCAGCTTGATATCTAATGATTTTTTGTAGTTAGGCAGCTGATAAATATCCTATTTTATTGTTTGCTTTTTTATTTTGTCATTTTATATTGTACAAATAGAATTTTTAATTGCATTATGAGGCAGAAAATTATCTGTATCTAGTATTATGGATTATTATGCCCCCACTTAAGACGTGGAGAAGTAGCATAGATATGCCTTTTGTCATGCTGTCAGTGCATAGACTGACATTACAATGGAATACAGGGAACACATTTCTAGTTCTAATTATGCCCCCACTTCAAAGAAGAGGGGGTATATTGCTTTGCATTTGTCTGTCTGTCGGTCAGTAGACCAATTGGTTTCCGAGTGATAACTAAAGAACGTTTAAGCCTAGGAACTTCAAACTTGGTATGATGATTGGTCATGACCAGTAGATGACCCCTATTGATTTTGGGGTCAAGGGGTCAAAGTTCAAGGTCACATTGGCCTTGTAAGTAAAAACAGTTTCCGATCAATAACAAAAGAACGCTTAGGCCTAGGAACTTCAAACTTGGTATGATGATTGGTCATGACCAGCAGATGACCCCAATTGATTTTGGGGTCAAGGGATCAAAGGTCAAGGTCACATTGACCTTGAAGGTAAAAACGGTTTCCGATCAATAACTAGAGAACGCTTAGGCCTAGGAACTTCATACTTTATATGATGATTGGTCATGACCAGCAGATGACCCCTATTGATTTTGGGGTCAAGGGGTCAAAGGTCAAGGTCACATTGACCTTGTAGGTTTACACGGTTTCCGATAAATAACTAGAGAATGCTTAGGCCTAGGAACTTCATACTTGGTATGATGATTGGTCATGACAAGCAGATGACCCCTATAGATTTTGGGTCAAGGGGTCAAAGGTCAAGGTCACATTGACCTTGTAGGTAAAAACGGTTTCCGATCAATAACTAGAGAAAGCTTAGGCCTAGGAACTTCAAACTTGGTATGATGATTGGTCATGACCAGCAGATGGCCCCTTTTGATTTTGGGGTCAAGGAGACAAACGATCTTGTATGTAAAAATGGTTTCGGATCAATATTTTAAGAACGCTTAGGCCTAGGAACTTCAAACTTGGTATGATGATTGGTCATGACCAGTAGATGACCCCTATTTATTTTGGGGTCAAAGGTCAAGGTCACATTGACCTTGTAGGTAAAAACAGTTTCTGATCAATAACTAAAGAACTCTTAGGCTTAGGAACTTCAATCATGGTATGATGATTGTTCATGACTAGCAAATGACCCCTATTGATTTTGGGGTCAAAGGTCAAGGTCACATTGACCTTGGAGATAAAAACGGTTTCCGATCAATCACTAAAGTACGTTTAGGCCTAGGAAATTCAAACTTGCTCTTGACCAGTAGATGACCCCTTTTGATTTTGGGGGTCAAAGGGTCAAAGGTCAAGGTCATATTTATCTTGTTGGTAAAAACGGTTTCCGATCATTAAGTTGACAACCCATGAGCTGTTGGCCCTCAAATTTTGTAGGTGCATTGGGTTTGGCAAGTAGATGACCCCTATTGATTTTGGGGTCAAGGGGTCGTCGGTATCATATTGACTTTGTACTTAAAGATGGTTTCTGACCAATAACTCAACAACTCAAGTTGCCTTGGTTGATATTTTTATATAAAACTAAAAATGCTTTTCGTATACACATTTGAAGGTCTTATGTAATATAACAACTGGGCTGTCATTAATGAGGCCTACATGATTCATAAAATTTATGCATATATTATTTGGTAAAATTTGTTACTGAAATTGCTGCTATGCGGTCATAATAATTATTACCTTGTGACTAGTCATGACCAGTAGATAACCCTTATTAATCTTTTGTTCACTGGGTCAGAAGTCATGCATAATAACCTGATCACATGACTAATTGGCTGCCGATAGGGGGCATACATGTTTTACAAACATATCTTGTTATAATTGTTTTATCATTCCAGTTATGTGGATATATGATAGCTTTTCTGGTGTATATGTACACAATCAGATTTATCCGTCTGCTGAGATTCAACCGGAAAATTTCAGTACTTGGTGACACCCTGATGCATGTTGGGAAGCCTATAGTCAATTTCATGATTGTGTTTATAGTCGCATTCTGTGCCTTTGCAATGACAGCATACATATTCTTCGGCAGAAATCTACGAACATTTAGAAACTTTGTGACTACCTTGGAAACACTCATCTCAATGATGTTGAGTATGTAATATTTTTGTTAACATGCTTTAATCATTAGCCTGCTGCATATCTTAAATGGACTTGTCCAGCTTCCATTTTTGGAACTGTCCATTATCAATTGTGGGGATACCAAGCTGAAAATTCAAAGTTCAGGCAACAGATACCAAGTGGTTAATGTGTTGGACAAGTAATCATAGAATCTCTAGCTGTGTGGGTTCACGACCTGTCAGGGACAAGCTGTTGTTTCCTTGAGCAAGAAACTTTACACTGATTGCTCAGTACTGGTTGGTTCCAGGAATGGATCCAAGAGTGTGTCTATAAGCTTTATAGCTTCCTACACAATCAAATTATAGTTAATTCTGTATAAACTACAATATTAGGAACTGTGCTACATGTCAAGTGAACAATAATATAATCTAGTCATTGTGCAGGCTGGACGGCTCTATACTGGTGCCAGGTGGTGTAGACAAGATCACTAATACTGTTAGCGGTCAATATCTATATATATCGATATATGTTTAAAAATTAATGAAATGTTTGATTAAATTAGTAAAACAGTTGTTCTTTTTAGCTGCAATTATTCATTCGGGATATGAAATTTAAAATGTCCTTTCACCTCTTTTTAAAAAAACATTGGTACGGTTATGCAATCTTAAATTTCTTTCACTTGTGTCATTACAGATAAGTTTGATTATGCTTCAATGATGGCCGAGACAAAGGTGGTCGGCCCAGTGATGTTCGGATTTTTCTGTCTCGTCTTCAACATTATCCTGATCAACTTCTTTATAACCGTCATTCTTGAGGGATTCACTGCCGTCAGATATGATAAAAACAAGCAGTCTAATGAATACGAGATCGTAGAATTTATCACAAGGCGTGTGAAGATGACCCTTGGTGTTGGGCAACTGAAAAAGAAAACAAAGTCTAAGGGTGTCACCAGTGATCCCAGGAAAAACCAATTTGTTTATGTTGAGAGTAAGTATTTATCAAAACGAAGGTCCTTTTAAAAAGATTTACAATAGAAAGTGTAACTTTAAGGTAATAACTTTTTTCTGTTTGGTTTTAATTCTTACAAATACGGAAAGGTCTTATTGGAACAGTCATGCAACTTTGGTTGCGACAGACTAGATGCCGCTCCAAGAAATATTTCTGATATAAGCTGGATTTACAGTAGGACAACCAAACCTTTTTACCCTCAGCTAAGTTTAAAAGCATCCTCAATTGAAAGATTCCAAAATCTCTGGTATGATATTATACGATTTTAAACCGCAGATTGGTGAAAATTCAATTTATCTTAAATTTGTCCATTTTCGTTCATAAAATGTATAAGATTATATATATTTTGTAAACATAAAATGAAAAATACTTGTAATTACTAAGCATCCATTTGTTACAGTAACAAATTCCTATAATTCTTTAAATTGTCTTTGGCAAATCAACTGTTATTATCTGGCAGCAAAAGGGTTATTGGGAAAAATAACATAAAAATATTAAAAGAAGATATCATTACCTCCCTTTGTTCATATAGACATAAAAATCCAAATTCCAACCTTGCTGTAACCTTTTTAGAGATGACAAAGATTAAATGTATTTGGTATTTTGATACAGGATTCCCTGGAATTACTAATGTTTCATTAAAGGCACCCCCCTCAGCCACAAGGGGCTTTCACAGATGTAAAATTTGTGACTTCAGTTAGGTTTATTGGGCTTGTTCTAAAACAAAATGGATGAAAATATTTGGTATTTATTTCAGAACTTACACCAGAAATGGAGAAGATTAATGAGCTGGATGGTAAAGTTGATATAATGATAAACAAGCTAGAGGATCTGACAGATGTGGCACAAGAACAGGAAGAACTCAAAGATGAAATTGAACTATGTAAACGTAGGAAGAAGATTGTCATTGGCTGATTATGAAATATTGTCATTGGCTGATAATGAAATATAGACATGGATTACACTAAATTATACATTTTAATACAATCTTTTTGTTTACTACTTTATTTATTTATTTTTCATTTGAAAGAAATAATGTACATTATGTTCTTTTTGTATATGGATTTTTTTTATTCATACATTAAATTTCTGTCCAGACCTTTTTAAGTCAGTTAAAAGTACAGTGTTCCTATAATCTAATTGCATTGATATACACAGGTAAAAAATCACAAAGAAACTCTTTGGAAAAAACTGTTTAATTAACTGTTTAAAAACTCAAAATAAAAAAGGAGCACATTTGACAGTGTAAGTTATAATATTAATTGTTAAATATTTGTTGGTTATATTTTAACAAGCTTAGATTGTAATTAAGACATGTTGAAAATTAATACATGTATATATATTTTTTTGCATACTAAATTTTGGCATACTGTATCTTTAATTTAAAAAAAAATGTTCTGTTTGCATTTTTTAATCATAACTCCCCCTTGCTGTGCTCAGTATTTATTAACTTCTTCATGATCTGGTCTCGTATGTTTGACATTTGACTTTCTTTACTACTAAATCGGTCAGTAAATCTTTTATGAAAACAAGGACTTGTTACAATACTTGAAATCTGTTGAAATATTCAAAAGTGAAATTTAATCTTAAGTATTGTTAACAAGAGATTTGGTTATTATGAAGTATCGAATAACACACATAGGTTGTAATTATTTTGTTTAAGTATCTGATAACAGTTAGAATTATATTTTACCTGATTTATTTTGCTCAGTTGTTCTTTTATTATTTCATATTATTTTGTATAATTTTTTTGACAGCAAAATTGCTTTTTTATGTATGGTCATTTTTATTTCAATAAATAGTTAAAGCATTCAACAAAAAATTGTCTTGAATATAATTTGGCATTAATTGTAATTTATATTATATAAAAGACACCGATCGGAAATACTTATACTTTTGGTAAACTATCCATTTCTTTAAAAAAATCCCATGTATATTGGTAAACATTTTATTGTCTATAAAATGTTATTTATAAATAATATGATGCGACGATTCTCAGCTATTTTTGGTTATATCTTGGCAATCAGTCCAAATAACCAGCTTTCCTGGTTAACAAGAAATTTCCTATTCCTTTGCAAAAATTATCATGGAGAAAATTTGCCTTGCCCCAGAATCAAACCAAGAGACCCTTAGATTACAAATCCAGTGCTTGCCTTCTTGAGATACACATCCATGTTATATGTTTCGTGTGTAAAGTGCCCTGAATTCTATTGAAGGTCAATAGCTTTTGTACAAAAAGTTCAATCTTGACCACTAGTTTGATGTAAATGTTCTTGCATCTAAATCAGATGTCTAATGGATATAGACCCTCAAAAGTAACCTTGCAGAAGAGAATATTATATATATATTTATAACATTACTATGATAGGACGTCTCAATGGAAATCTGGAGATAAGTAAACGCCAGTTATGCCAGAACTTATATCAGGCTAACACCACTATGGCTAAAGGACACACATGTAATATATAATGTTCATTTAAATAACGGAAACTGCCAATAAGACACTTCAGCGTCAAGTAAACATATTCTTATCAGTATAATTATTTCCTATTGCAGAAAAAGGGTGATAGCTAATGGTTTGGACTATTAATCCAGGAATTGCATGTAGATAGTGTGGGTTCAATACCTATCAGTTGTTTCCTTGTACAAGAATATTTACACTCATTGTTTTGTACTGGCTGGTTCCAGGAACGGGTTTAAAGTGTGTTTATAAGATTACACATTCCCACATGAACTTATATTCTTTTTGCATAACATCTGTTCAAATTTTTGGAACATTATTCCTACTGTCAATTTTTATACATATCCAAATCAATAAACATCTTCAAATTTCCAGACTGTGTTCAGTCACACCTCTAGTCTTACTCGAGTGTTGTCAAAGGCTTAACTTGTGTCCACTCACTCCTCTTACATGAGTGTTGTTAAATCATGCCTCTTACATGAGTGTTGTCAAAGGCTTGTGTCCAATCACTCCTCTTACATGAGTGTTGTTAAATCATGCCTCTTACATGAGTGTTGTCAAAGGCTTGTGTCCAGTCACTCCTCTTACATGAGTGTTGTTAAATCTTGCCTCTTACATGAGTGTTGTCAAAGGCTTGTGTCCAATCACTCCTCTTACATGAGTGTTGTCAAAGGCTTGTGTCCAATCACTCCTCTTACTTGAGCATTGTCAAAGGCTTGTGTCCAATCACTCCTCTTACTTGAGCATTGTCAAAGGCTTGTGTCCAATCACTCCTCTTACTTGAGCATTGTCACAGGCTTGTGTTCAATCACTCCTCTTACTTGAGCATTGTCAAAGGCTTGTGTCCAATCACTCCTCTTACTTGAGCATTGTCAAAGGCTTGTGTTCAATCACTCCTCTTACTTGAGCATTGTCAAAGGCTTGTGTCCAATCACTCCTCTTACTTGAGTATTGTCAAAGGCTTGTGTTCAATCACTCCTCTTACTTGAGCATTGTCAAAGGCTTGTGTCCAATCACTCCTCTTACTTGAGCATTGTCAAAGGCTTGTGTCCAATCACTACTCTTACTTAAGCATTGTCAAAGGCTTGTGTCCAATCACTCCTCTTATTTGAGCTTTGTCAAAGGCTTGTGTTCATTATTCAAGATAAAAATCAGTAAATGTCTACAAATTTCCAGACACTTGTGTTTAGGCAAGCCTCTTACTTGAGCTTTGTCAAAGACTGAGCCCAAGATATATAATTCTATAAACAACAAATGGTAATGCTCACTGCATAAACTTTATTTCACTTTTCAACCATACAGATATAAACAGATAAAGCGTTCATATGATATTAAATGAGCAAGGGGGGTAAGGGTAACATGTTTTCAAACAGGAGGGGGTCAAACATAGGTCAGGAACCTTTCAAGAGAAGCTTGTTTATTACATTTTTGCAAATTCAGAGACACATCTATTCAAAATTTACTACTTATGCTTAATAAATTAAACAGTGATTTTAATTATTTGAACCATTCTTTAGGTCTTTATATGCGTGTGTAAAAATATATTGATCTTGTTTTATTTTCAAAATATAATTTTAACATAACGTAATTCATAAATACTTGAGCAATTCTTTCAAGTGAAAATTAAACAAAGAAAAAAAAAACAAGTAACAAAGATTTAAAAACTGGTATAAAGTGTGGTTTTAGATATGATAACAGACACACATAAAAAAGAAAAACAATTATAAAATTTTTATAAGTTATATAAAGAAATATCGTAATACAAAATTGACGGACGGACCTATGCTATGTATATCACAGACATGTCGCGAAAAGGGCATAACACAGGGTAAAATTTGATAAGTTATATAAAGGAATACTGTAAATACAAAAATGGACGGACAGACCTATGCTATATATATATCACAGACATGTCGCGAAAAGGGCATACAATTGTAACAAACCAACAAAGATATGAATTTTAAGCATCAAATGCTTTATACAATGATAATATGTGAACACAAAACAAAAAAGCTTAGTTTAAAGAAATAAAAAATACTAGATACGTGCACACATGGAAAAAAGTGAGGGGACGGGGGTAATACTGCTAGGTGATTTAGATCATACTGTGAAATATCCTATGTAAAATTTGGATAACTTTACGTTATTCAGATATATATTAGAAATTGTTAATATAATTCATGAACATGATTCATTGGTTTCTTTTGTTAATTGATGGTTACTAACTAAAATGTCCTTTAAAATTGAATCCATTACAACATAAGAGCTGTAAATAACCGATAGTTTTGGTAAGTAAAATTCGAAAACAAAGGACAAATTATCAAACCTGATTTCACATAAGAAATAGTCACAGCTATTAATTAATACTGATTAATTTTCATTGATGCACACAATTTTAATTAAAAAAGAAAATACACCAAGTGTTATTAATAATAATAATAATTATGCATCAAAAATAATTTGCACATTTAACATTCAACTAAATATTGATCTCGGTTTTAACACAGAGAACAAAATTTACATTGATATATATGTAAAAAAAACTTATGAATGTCATTAATTAAAATGAATAAACATAACAAATTAACAATTGACTCAAAAAACAACATAATATTATCTCTTAACAACTCTTCCGCCAATAAATGTTCTCATTTTCTCATGATTTCATATCTTACAGTGTCATAAACAATTTTAGACAAAATTCTTAAAGTTTTCGAAAAATTGAAAAAAAGTTTTAAGTCTTGCTACAGTCTTAAGGCATTTTCCCGTTTAAAGGGACACAACTCTTGGTGACATTGGGAAAGTTTTTCTCATTCCCAAGCACTTCTCTCTGTCAATAAAGAGGGAGTTATTCTTGATACTGAGGTCCTGTTCCAAAGAGGCCTTTGTTCTAAGGAGCTGCTGCAGAGAATTCTCAGCCATACGCAGTTTGTTCTGAAGAGACTCGACAGTTTCGGAGATCTCGTTCACTTCCTCAACGAGTCTGAAAAAAATAGAAAATAAATAAATATTTTTGTCTATTTGATGGTGTGCATTTTGATAATGAAAAACCTATAATAAAGGGACTCTACTGAGGTTTGCTTATCAATCAAATTTGGCTAAGAATAGCACAAAAATACAATTTTCAATTATTTTCTAAGTATATTTCTTAATTATCTTTTGCATATCTTTATGTTTTGAGTGCCTCAGCTGATATATGTTAGAAATTCAAGTCTTAAAATGATATTTTAGGATTTTGGACTCCAGTGGAGTTCTTTTAAGTGCAATGGTATTAATTTATCAAAATTTTATTTCTACTGTTTAACTTTAAAATTGTTGCAACAATTTATGACTGATACGTTATCAGCTCTGGAAAAAAAAAACAATGTATATTTCCTAAATAATAGAATACGAGTTGTCTAAATTCCTATATATGATTTATTAGAATAACCATTTATTGCTCTTATCAAAGTTATAGAAAACCTTATTGAAACTGTATTAGTCTATTATTTAGACTAAAGCACTAGCTCATAAAATTCTTATCATATTTTCTCTGTTTAAAATTTATCCATGTAAATAACTTGATGATAAGTGTTGGTTTTTTGTTGTATATTCTTTTTAATTTAGTGTCACTCGAGATATTCACTGATAGACTTAAGAATTTTTAAAGGAAGATACATGTAATTACTTATGGACTTTAGGGATTTTAAAGGGTTGATATTTAAGAAAACGAACAGTACAAATGATATCTTTCTAGGCAGAGGAAGGCCCTCGAGTGTCCCTTTTCACTAAATATCAGACTCTGTCATGCAAATGAGGGAAAAACTACCAACCTTGTAATAGAACCAATATCTTGCATTGTTTATCATTAAGAATAAAATGAGCTGTGCCATGACAAAACCAACATAATGGGTTTGCGACCAGCAAGGATCCAGACCAGCCTGTGCATCCAGGCAGTCTGACCAGGATCCATGCTGTTCACTTACCAACCCTATTTCAAGTAGAGAAACTGATAGCGAACAGCATGGATCCTGATCAGACTGCACAGATGCGCAGGCTGGTCTTGATCCATGCTGGTCGCAAAAGCACTATGTTGGTTTTGTCGTGACATGGCTCAAATCATGTTCTACCACTGAGCAACCACTATATAACTATAAAATAAGGTATACCTGTGTTGTACTGGATCTCTACACAACTCAACGTTTGGTCGGCGTATTCTGGTATCCAATCTTGTCTGGGCTACCTGCATTGGTGCTTCCTTATCTTGGATGGCCTTCTTGAGGAACTCGATGTTCTTCTCCATATCAAATATCTCTTGTAATACCTAAAAGTAAAATGGTACTTTGACGAGCTTTCCAATATTTCTAAAGCAATCATGACAAATACAATGTACCATATTTCTTTTGCCACTACCTAGAATTGTTAAGCCAACTGTAAGCCTGCTAGCGGTGACTGATTCAACCTATGTGACCAGGGTTTGAGGTTATTAAGAAATTATCCAGATAAGACTCAAATCTCAAGCATTTGATTGGTCAGAAAATGCTACAGAATGTACACTGACCAATGAAAATCTTGAGATGTGAGACAGAACTCAGAAAAGTAGTTTATAACCTCAAAGACAGTGCAGAGAAAGATCAGCTTAGCACATATGAGCCGCATCACGACAAAACCAACATAACGGGTTTGCGACCAGCATGGATCCAGACCAGCCTGCGCATCCGCGCAGTCTGATCAGGATCCATGCTGTTCGCTATCAGTTTCTCTACTTGTAATAGGGTTTGTAAGTGAACAGCATGGATCCTGATCAGACTGCGCGGATGCGCAGGCTGGTCTGGATCCATGCTGGTCGCAAACCCATTATGTTGGTTTTGTCATGGCACGGCACATATGTGTCGACAAATCATGGTCTGCACTGTTTGCATTTCAGACAATATTCATTTTGAAATGTTTCCCAAAAAAGTGTTAAAATGAAAGGTGGGCAAGTCAATTGAATATATTTAACATAAACTGCTATCTTTGTTTCCTTTAACTTCATACAGAGACAAAACATTTATCACATTCCATAAACAAATTGAAAAAGAAAAAGACACTTTACAAATACAGAATACAGCCTTATGCAAACAAACTGGATATATTGACTTACAAATGAACTAAATATACTGATAAGAGTCAATGACATTGTATTTGTTAAACTTGTACGTACAAAAAACAAATATAAATCATTATATTTTAAACAATTGGAAAAACTAAACGCATATCTGATCATAATCATGTGTTAAATAGGTTTCACATATCATGAAATTTTTATTTTGCATTGATCTTTATAGTTAATTCTAAAATGAATTATTGTTAATCTTTTCATTGGTCGATTGCTTTAATGGCTTCTTGATGTTGTAAAATAAGTTAGATTGGTCGAAACCCTTTCACGGAAGATCTATTCTCTACTTTTGATTTATTTATTTAAATTAGTTTTGTTCGCATAAAAATCTATTTTCCCTTTCATGGATATGCTATTGTCTACCTACATTCCAAAACTCCATTAAATTGAGTGAATGTGAAAGTGTACATTTTCAAAAGTTGATTTTTATACCATTTGATAATGGCTAAATGCCCCATATTGATCAGTCCCTTTTCATAAAAAATTGATTTCCAATTTTAGTTAAGCTTTACAAGTAAGAAAAAAATTCATTCCTTTATCTCTTTAATAATCAAAATGTGTCCGACAATTTTCATTTCATTTCAAAAAAACAATTTGCTAGAGTTTACATACATGTACAAGCTGATGTCATTTTTTTGTATTTCATTAAAAACCTTGTTCAGGCATGCACATTTCACCTTATCTACTCACATTAAAAAACAACCAAACTTAACTGATATTAGAATGCAAATGCAAATTCATGAATTAACACAGTGGTTTTTATCAAGTTTGGCATGTAACTTTAGCGCAATTTTAAAATCGAAATTTTCAATTAAATATTTACTACAAGGCATTACATTAACATGTCCATAGATTGTAATTTGAAGTTTTACAGGAAGATCTTACACTAGATGCTTATTTTGTTGGTCGTTTTGACGACTTACTTCAAATCTTAGTTTGTTTATCTACTGAGTTAAAAGTCTGACAACTTAAGTAAGGACTTTTTGTGGGAGGGAGTTTTGGGGATGAAAGGGGTGGATTAGGAATGGTTTGGTCCTCATTCACATTGACCAAGTTAAGGTCATACAACTACTTGATTGCATTTACATGTATTTTTGTTGAGATGTCACTGTCCTCTATCATGTGCTTACATAGAAATATAATTATGACAAAATTGATAGCTTCACAAAACTACTATGTTCAACCAGTCAAAATTGAGTAATGTGAGGCCTTAGTATGATTCTGTTTTAACCCATTCTTATGCTGTATATGAAGTTTTAACTAAGTCTTTATTAATGTCTTCCCTATAAACATAACACATACCTTAGATAAATGTGTCTGTAATCTGTTCCTGGCATCGGTGGACTCCTGCATTCTCTGTGTAAGAGCCACGTTGACAGAGTTCCATTCTTGCCACATCTCATTGGCGCATGAGTTGAGTACACTCTCAATCTCATTACGCATATTCTTAGAAGCTGCCCTCTCACTCTGTGAACGCTGGATGTTGTTGTTACTGAACTGAGCCCATGATTCGGGTACTGATAATCTGAAAGTGTACATAAATACGATTGATCACTTTTTTTTCTTGCATATGCTATGAAAGAATTTGTATTCACAGATTTTTTTTAGAACAAAAAACATTAAAATTCATATGAATAGAGCTAAGAACTTTAAAAAATTGGCAATATTTGATTATTTTGTCAGTTTATCAATGAAAAAAAAAGTTATTAAGCATGTATTTTTTATTCATGGTACAAAATGAACACTGCAAAACCAAAGATTGTGACAGAACAATCAAGAAAATCAACAAAAGAAGTAAAACCATGCTTAGAACTGTTAAGAAATATCAAGAATTGCGGTAATGGTATGCAATAATTGAGGAGTCAGAGTGCTAACTTACGTGTTATCAATTCGCTCAACACCGTTATGATAGGCAATACCACGTGAAGAGTTCCTAAGACCATGACATGTTTCATCCAGGCTCTGTGCTACAAATTTGTCGCCAGTATCACGCTCAAGCTCATGCTGTGCTGCTCGGTTCAGACTAACAGAGAAAGAACAGGGTGCGTAAAAAATAAGAGTGCAATGTAGAATAGATTGAAGAAAGAATCAATGTGGTTATCATATTTTTCAGACATAAGGAGAGACTGTTGCTTTGTTTTCTTGTTGCTGTGTACTCACGTATTATCAACACGTTCAATGCCGTTATGATAACCTATTCCTCTGGAGGAATTTCTTAATTTTTTTGCAGCCTCGTCCAAATTTTTTGCATTGTATTTATCCTTCTCGTCCATTTCAAGCTCGTGCTGAGCCGCCCGACATAAACTGTATTACATAATATAGAATACTGTGTTGAATGGTCAAATTGTTTCATTACTTTGTATTGACTATCTCACAAGTGTAATATGCTTGTGATATAGGCTTATTATTGCGGCATTGATATTTGCTTATTTCTGATATTTGTAACAATAAAACACTGTTGTAAATTGTTCTTAAATTCATTATGTTGCAAAACATAAATTTATAAATCTTCATTCGACTTACACTTTTTAAAGTGCAATTTCTTATGAATGTGTACAAAACCTCTGTACACACAAAAATTATTAATTTTTCACTCTTGTCTGATTTTATTGTTAACTGAAGTGGCAAGAGTGCATGTGGCCATACATTTCGTACAGTATCATTTAATCTTAGTAAAGTTTATATCTACATCAATCAAGTAACCCCATACTTACCCAAGTTGAGCATTTGCCTTGTCTATGGTGGTCCTCATTTTTTCCTGGCATCTCTTAATGATATCTACCTCCTACAAAGGTTATAATATACCATGGTCAATTGTTTATAAATACATCTGTAAATAATAAATTGATCTCCAATTTATTGTGTATTTTTTTTTTTAAATATATGGAACCATGAACATTATGTATTGTGTAGTAATGCTGATTCCATGTCTATTCGTGCTTGACTTAAAGCACCATGTTCCTATTGTCATTCTGCTGTTAAGGTACATTTAACATTTATTATAAGTGCTATTCTATATAAAGAATAGGCTATATATTTTGTATAACAAACCCATTTACTTTTCAATAGAAATGAAAACAACATTAAAATCATAAAAAAATTCTTAAGTCAACTAAAATCTGAGACTGAATTTCAGTTTGAAAAAAAAAAAACAAAGGAAAAAAAAATCTGTTGCAGTTTTTAACTTTTTTTTAAATTCAGATATTATATCTATTTGAATTTAAATAAGTTAGATATAACATTTTATCAATTCAAATTCTTATTAGAATAGTTACATGTACATACTGATTTTTTCAAAGCCAATTGGGAGCTATCAATTTGAGGAAAACAGCATAGATATAAGCATGGTTATCCTGATTTTCAATATTTAGAAATTTAAATGATTGGTAAAAATTGTTTAAACCTTGCTGATTTTGAATCCCCCCCCCCCCCAATGCTGATAATGCCTAAGTTTTCCCCAGCTGATAAGGCCCTGCCATCTTTCCTCAAAATGTGAAAATAATCACTGATAGTACTTTAAATCGGAATCCCTACCCCATGTTTGTATGACCTCCTATTAAAGCTACTAAAAAAGGAAATTATATACATTGCATTAAAGAAAAAAAAGACTGGATAGATAAATTTATGGCAATACACCATACCAGATAAAAGAATAATTACGCAAGCTTTCAAAAGTATTAGTTTTCAGTCATAAATATCTTTTTGAATGTACTACTTAGCATGGTATAACAAAGAACATAAATTGGAAATCCAATAAGTTATGTCATTTTTAATAATTACATATTGAAAACTTAAGCACTTACAATTCTAATGGCAAAGCCCATCAGAAAATTCTTTTTATTCATTGAATTTATCAAGGTTTAAATTACACCCCATTGAATTTAGCTGATTTTGATACATGTAGAATTTGAAATGATCAAACTTTATGCATGTATTTTTTCTTTTATACAGTATTTAAAGATTTTTTATTGAAAGAAATTTATAGGAAAAAACAGATCTACACAGTTTATCTTTAAAATCACACATATATGTTCAAACTTTTTCACATTCAAAATCTATATTGCATTTAGTTTTATAACCTCCAATAAATTACGTAACATTTTTCCCCCAGGACTGCAAACTATGAATAACTTATTACATGAACTTGTTCTTATTTTAGCAGTTTACTTGTCACATATTCTATGAAGGTGTAGATTTATTACAAATATAAAAGTAGAGGATTTTTTTTCCCTAATATTTCACATTTTATCTGGTTGATTGTGGAACCTTACATAAGAAACCTGCAAGTTTTAACAACTTGGTCTTGTAATAAAGACCAAGTATTATAATTTATTGAAATTTCTTATGCAAATGTGAAAACTGGCAGCTCATTCTAACACACTGGTTGTCAATAGTAACAGAATCATTGTTAAATAAGGATCACTTGTAAATGTACATGATAATACAGATTAATAATATCTGCCAGGCTTTGCAGTTCCGAGCGGAATATCCTGGATCCATCCATGAGGTTACCTGCCTACTTAGTGGTAAAGCGACTTGCCAAGCCTTACCCTAAGCTTGCTGGCAGTAACTGTTAATGTGACTGAAAAGCAATCAATGCAGACTGAGATCAGCAGTCCGTGCCATCTGATCATGGTCTGCACTATTTTGCTTTTTAGACACTACATATTTTGAAATTTTCCCAAAAGATAATGATTGTTTTTTGACTGAAAAGTCCATTTGAAATAATTAGCATGGAAAAACAGTTTAAGAGCATGTTTTCTTAAAGCTTAAATTTATTTTATTTTATTTGGGTCAGAAATCTCAACTTCTCCTCCAGCTTTAAATCAACATTGAAAACTTTTAAATTAACTTTAAGTAATACTTTGACACAATTTATTGGTATTAAACACCTATAAATCAACTTCGTTATTCGGTAAAAACTGATAAATCGAATAATATTATCAGTCTCAAGATGAACTACTTACAATGTATATTTACTTAAGGACCTGAAATATTCAGACAGTGATGACTTAGAGAATAGACTAATAAAAGTCAAGAGCAGTGTAAATACTGGAGCATAAATCATCGAGATATCTACATTTGAAGACTGAGCTTCAATATGAGGGGACTCTCATCCACGACAACTGTGTCTTATCAGTAACATAGGTCAATCATATATTCTATTTTCTCTTATCAAATTGGATGTTTTTGTCCTTGCTGGGATAGATTATATACCAAATGAAATATAAATAACCTTAAAGACACTTAATAAGTTAAGATTATACCATTTTTTTTTTCATGTAAGTGGTAGGATTCGACCTGACATGTAGCTTAAACAAATAAGAGATATGTATATTTAGTCTACTCAGTTATGAGCTTATCATTTTTTTCTTTTTCTTTTTTTTTCAATTTTTGTTATCAAGACAGCTAAGCTACGTAGTAAACACAAATTATGGTTTCCTATGGCAAGAAAAATGGCACCCTGACAACTATTAAGTTCAAAGATGAGACAGTTAAACACTGATTGTTAAGTTTTATTAACAAATATTTTGTCAATAAATTCATGATTTACGGAAAAAAAATTGCAACAAACCAAATGAACAATGAAGGAAAAAATTTAAAATGGGCTTAATTTCACTTTCAGTTTTGTGGTCTGGCTAGAAAAAAGGACAAAAATCTTTTTTAAAAAAGGACAAAAATCTTTTCTCTTTTTCAGTCAATGAAAACAAAAACCAATTAAAATTGGTCAAGGTATTGCATTACAGTTTTCAATATGCGCCTTCCATTCAAATAGATTTAGTAGAATATAATATCTTGAAATGATATCAATGCTTTGTCATGACATATTGTGAATTATTTTATATGGAATAACTAAGTATTATATTACTGTATTTAATCCCATTCAATTGATATCCCGTTCTATTATTTTAAATGCAGTCAAACATGAAATTATGGTATAATCTGTTAAAGACAGAATATAAGATTAACAAATATTGATTAATAGCATGCATCAAATTCAATAATTTCCCTTTGCTCACGAAGGATTTCTTTCTGATTAAAGATTCATGACATAATAGAACTAATGTCCAATCTTTGTGCATATTTCATAAGCTGAGAAATTGATGTATCGGCCAGTAAATGGATTCTGTCAGAGAGATAATAGTTATATTCTATACCAAGGCTATAAAATAGTGAATATTACTTCAAATGATTAAGTTAAACCAATTGTTAAACTGCACATAGTGTATCTTTTTCCATTAAAAAAAATGCTATTTAACCGATATTTCACTCCTTATTCTGTTAAAACTTTGATAAAAATGATAAAAAAAGAAGAAGGATTCAAGTTTGTAATTTTAAGTAAATACCCTGATTAATTCTCTTTCTGGGTTATCATGCACCAGATCAATTCCCTGTCTCTTTTCTCTGTGATACAGACATTCCTGTGAGATGTGCAGTGGGTTTTCTGTCTCCTGTAGAGCCTTTTCTAACACTCTCTTTGCCTCTTGTAATGCATTTATCTCAGCAATCATGTTATCAGTTTCATTACTTAATTCTGTCTTCCAGAAGTGGATATCTCCTATTCTTTCACCAAGACGTTTGCCTACATCGCCCTGTGTTCTTCTTGTTTTGTCATCAGTTTCGCGACAAAGACGTACAGTGTCCAATCTAAGACGTTCAGCTGTTGACCTAACTCTATCCGAGGATAAGTAATTACCTTGGTTAGAGTTAGACCAATCATTAGGAGTATAACGCGTGTACAGAGCATTTCTTGCTGCAGCAAACACTGGCGGCACTTTAATACTGTCCAATTCAGAGAGTTGATTTCTTGCCGACATGGGATCTGGCATGCTACGAGCGAGAGCTGAGCTAGGGTTTACTCTGGCAGTTTGGTAGTATGTGCTTGGTCTCCATGGCAGTGTTGTGAGAGATCGCCTAAGTTGTGATGGAGCTGCAGCATTATCATGTGCTTTGTAAGAGGACTGCATTGTGCTTATGGAAGGAAGAAAGGTCTGTGTATTACTACTGCCTAGACGTGGACCCGTCATATATGTGGCAGTTTGAGTGTGTCCAAGGTACTCCATGCTGGAAGCCTCTGGTTTACACAACAGTACTACCTCTGTAAATAAAAAAGATTTGATTTGTTCAAAGTACATGTATGTTTATTAACCTTAAACTTAACAACTTTTTTCCATAAGATAAGTAATAACTCTTGCTATAATTTATGTGAAGGACTGAATTGCATTCACAATCTAAATTGATCAACTTAATTGTTTTTTTCTCTTTTAAGATAAACTGATATGACATTTTGATATACTTTTCTTACCAACCTTATTTATATTGTTTCAACTTTAGTATTTAAGCTGTACATTCAACATGATAGATATGTCACAGTTTGTAAATTGTACACCCAGCTCCACTGAAGATCAAACTTCTGAGCAAAGGTAACAACTCTTCTCTATAAATTTGACTTCATGGAATTCAGTTCCAGCTATTGTATTGTACATTTGAGGGGGAAAAAATGAAAGTAAATAAAACTTTATATAGCTGACAAAATGTTCTATTTTATTCAACAGGTTTTGTTACAAATTTTTCTTTAGAAAATGTATATTAGAATTTTTTTTCAATTAAAAGTACAATATTATATTCTTATATAATTTCTTATATAATTTAAATAGTTTTTTCATACTTTTATACAATATAATAAAAGTTAACAGCATGTGACGAAGTATTTACTTTGTAGGTGTCACATTCTACCAAAAACCAATAAAATTACCTGTAAAATATCACAAACTGGCCTTTAACGTTTAAAATCCCAAATTATTTTTACAAACTTTAAATCCTTCAATATAGATTTCTATAGATAAATTACTATATATTCAAACCACTATCTATTAAGCACTGACCTCAAATAATGTAATGTCTGATCAGTGAATTAGTTAAGAGAAGAATGGTTTGTTTTCAGGCCGGTGGGTACCTGGAGACACATAGCAACAATGGTGAAAGTAGATATAAGGTGCTTACATATTGATCTTTTTGGATTAACAACTGCGCTATGTATTAAATACACACACTGAAACAATACTAACCCGGGATTCAGATTTAAACAGTAGAAATAAGTTATTCCACGTCTAGACTTCAAACACAATTTTTATTGATATCGAGTTTATTTTATTAAAGGCATATTTTGACTATCCTTTCTTTGCTATGCATATCGGATAAAAAACAAGTATGAATGATTAATTTGAAAATTTGTTTAAGTTTAAACCTGTTTATATATGGATTGTAGATATATGAGTATTACTGAATAAATAATAATCAAAACTATATTTAATTTTCTAACTTTTGGTATTTTCTTATGAAAACTGTTAAACATTTCAAGGTAAGATAAATGAGACTAGTGGGTTTAATTCAAATGAGTCAAGCAATATAGTAATTTGATAAGTTATTAAACATATTATATTGAACACAAGTCTTTCACAAAGCTCATATTTTAGGGAAGAAAACCTTTTATGTTAAGAAAGCTATAAAATAGATGAGATGTCACAGGGCTTTTTTTAGCAGCCCTGCCCTTAATTTTGGGGAAAACTTACACAATATATTTGCAAAAGGGGAAGAAAAAAATTATGTAAATTCAATTTTTGGGGAAAACTGCATGATTTTAAAGAACTTTCTTTGGGGAAGCAGCCCTATAATGGCTCTTGCTATAGAAGGAAAAAAAGCCCTGGATGATGAAATAGATTAATGTCTTATGAGATATTTAATTCGTATAACACTGTTTGAAACTAAGTGAAATTTTGGTTCCCATTCTATTCTTTGAAAGATATAGCAAAGAAGAATTCATAGGGAAAAAAGATGTTCATGACATCATTGCTAAAGTCATATAGAAGAAGGGATCATTTGGTTCCAATTTTGAAATCATCTTACCACATGTAGTTTAAAGGAAAAAAGCTATAAAATTTGGCATAAGTGTAGATAAGGTTAAATTTAGCCAAGTTCTCTTTTTATAATAAATACGGTAGTTATTTCCCTTAAAGGCCAAACCAAATCTATTGTGGTGTTATGTGTTCATGTTTGTCTTTGTTCCTTTGTATGGGTGATTGAACTGGTTTTGCAAGTTTAGTGATGGATGATTGGTTTTGGTATGCAAGTTATTTTTAGATGATTTGGTTCTGGGATATAATATTTCTTGGTAATTGACCACTCCTTGTCTCGCTTTCGAAGTGAAAACAGCTTTAAAATATAGTTTACTGTCAGTTATTTCTTAATAGAAATACTTGCTTATATTCAATTTATTTACTCAATTAGATTTCTTCTATTACAAGCCTGGTATGTATATTTGTATATATTTATTTGTGAAATTGTTTTTATTGTAATTTGAATTGTTGTGTAATATTCTGTAATATGTATTTTGTGAAATGTATTTGTCTTGTATTATATTTGGTTGTAATGTGATGTCTTATACTTATATTATTTGTTACAGGTTTTATTCTTTATTGAATAAACACATATAAACCTCATTGAGTATTGGTTTAACATAAACCCCACCACTACAAATTGGCTCCCCGACGGGGAATTGAACCCCGGTCTCCCGCGTGACAGGCGGGGATACTCACCACTATACTGATGAAAGAAAATTGTTTGTTTTGAATTACTCAAAGCATGTAATCAGCATTACAGCAGTAGATAGCTTTAAGCCCATGGCTAGAAGAGTTTGGGTCAGGCCTATTATATTTTTAAAGCCACTTGCACTGATGAGTTATGTTGAGTTGTATAATTGGCAAGAGGTCTTTGCCTCTTATTTGAGAAAAATTATCACTAAAATTGCTAATTTGGCTAAATTGGGAAGTAAAATAAAAAAGCTAGTGTATTTGCGGATTTTTTGGAAAAACTCCATGACATTAAAGGAAATTTCATTTTCAAATGAAGTCCAAAACCATTGGAATGACATAATTAATGTCATTAAAGCTTTGAAAAACAATAAACACAATCCCAATAAATCTTCTATAAATCTAAATTATAGCCTTTTATTAGTTTTAATAAGCCCAATCTGCATCATAATTGCTAAGCTTTAATAGGATGCCTAGCTTAGGCCAAAGAGTTATTACGATTCTTTCACGCCCCGAAAGGCCTAACCATGTGATGTAAAACATACCCCCTTTTCTTCACCCCCTATATTGCAAACCACTTTTTTTGTTTAAACTTTCCCGGGTAACCAAGTCACAATGAAAGACTGGTTCACAATTATGGTAAGAATTCAATTTCCTACGCAGTGATCTCCCCTTATCAGTACAAAGATCTCTGCCATCACAAACATTGAAATATCAATATTTGGATATTTATATTTTTTAGCTTTTTAATTTATTTTTCATTATTTTGTATACTTTTGATATTATTTTGATAAAATATAACGGACGTAGGTACAAAAAGTTAAAAATAAAACAGAAAGAGAAAAATGACGTTAGATTTTCTATGTAACGGTCGATATTTACATTTGAATTTCGACGTTACGTCATGTGACTTTCATCATCATGTGACGTCTGTGAAGGCAGTGATTACAATTCTGTCAAGGGAGGTAATCAGTGTGAGGAGTTTGGTAAGAATTGTCAAAGTTTTCTACGAAATCATTCAGCTCATTATTTAAAAAAAAGGATAATTGTTGTTGTTTTTTTTTATTATTTGAAGTTTAAGATTTTTGTTAAGTATATATCTTTCAATTACAAATTGTTGGCAAAATGCTTAAACCCCACAAAAATATTAAGTAAATGTTTAGCGTAAAGCGTTTATCGATCTAGATTATTTGGCACCCGTCTACAAATCAAGAACGGCTACTCTAACGTGTTTTAAATCATTTCAACATGGCCGACGTTCCAGAAAATGCTCCAGAGCGTAAGTTTTTATTGATATTTCTAGTTGTTTATACGATTCTGAAAATGACAGTTATGAATTTTGAAACAGCTCCATTGTTAGAATTAAAATGACTTACTGATATTTCTCTTGTTTTCGTATATGTAACGTAAATGAAGTACACAAAAGTAAACCGACTTTCAATGAAACGAAGCGTTTGTTTACCTTAGATACTTTTGACGAAAGCAACGCAAGTTCATTTTGATTTGAAAGTTAACAAGACCTGGCTTTAACTTTCTTATTACTGTATTTTGTTGTACATTTCCACGAACATTAGACCAGGCTCTGTCAATGTCATTGTTGGAAATCACATTCACAATCGTGTTTAATTATTGAATATGGGCCAAATCCATTTTGTAAGGTTTACATTATAGAAGAAATAATATCGCATAAAATCATAATGTGAAAAATAGCTGTGGACAGATTCTAAAGTTTGGCCGAAATACCAAAGTAATTATCGTAAAAATTACTTTACAAATACTATTCCCTCTGTTCTATTTGAATCTGTTAAATTTAATTTTCATAATATGAAATTAGGTGATACCTATGGCGCGGAAAGCTCTTATGATTTATGATTTAAGCATAACATGTTAAGTGTACATGTTAACCAGATTTTGTACCGTAAACAGAAACGAATAAATTGGTGGTGTTCAACCTATCATCGGAAGAGGGACCACTGCGCATGCGTCGGCGTTTGGAAAATCCCGTCCGCCATTTTCTGTTAATCTCTAATCACATATGTTGTTTTTACGTTATTTTTAATGTGCTAATTTATCAAAAAGGATTTAAAAGTAACTTTTTACATTTATCATCGTTACTATAGTTCTTATGAATGAAATGAATGTTTATTTTCTGATTTTGTACATCATTCTTTCACCGGAAGTGTTATTAAGCATGCGTCTGCTAGCAATAGTCTGAATTATGTAGACGCTCATTAAAAGCGCTGTGATATCTATATTTAGCTCAAAAGGATTTCAAAATGGCGGCGCCCAGTTAACTAAGGATTTTTTCACAGCTCATTAGGTATAGGATATATATTTTTTTGAAATTTGCATTTACTTTTAATACGATTTCATTTGAATTGATGCGCATCATACATGTTATCTAAGAGCGCTACAGCCCTCGCGGGGCCTTCGGCCCCGCTCGGACTTTCCGCGTATTAACTTATTTCAGGGCAGCAGGAAATAACCAAATATTGCCCAAATATACTAAAAATAAATGTTTTATCCTGGGAAGTCAAATTTCATGGGCCTAATTTAATACTACGAAAAGATGTTGTTTTATTATGAACACAATATATATCAAGTTTCGTTATGATATAACCAAACATACCCAAATATACATTTTCCTATCATTATGTTTTGAACTGAAATATACCCAAATATACTCCATTAAAGCTATTAAATTAAAAAGAAATATTGTATGAAATTACTACAAATTTATATTTGTTTGTTCAACAGATTGTCCAGGTACAGGCAGTGAGGATGCTGGGAAAGCAAGTGCATGTGAAGGCTGCCCTAACAAGAATGTATGCACAAGTTTACCAAAAGGGCCTGATCCAGGTAATTTTAATTTTATGAACAATTTACATGAACAGTTTTTCATAGACTTTTTAGCTCACCTGTCAAGTGACAAGGTGAGCTTTTTTGATCGCTTTTCGTCCGGCGTCCGTCCGTCCGTTGTCCGTCCGTAAACTTTTACTTTAAATGACATCTCCTCATAAACCACTAAGCCTATTTCATCCAAACTTCACAGGAATGTTCCTTTGGTGGTCACCTTTAAAAATTGTTCAAAGAATTTAATTCCATGCAGAACTCTGGTTGCCATGGCAACCGAAAGAAAAAACTTTAAATATCTTCTTTTAAAAAACCATAAGAGCTAGAGCTAAGATATTTAGCATGAAACATGTTCTAATGGGTGTCTACCAAGTTTGTTCAAATAAAAGCCCTGGGGTCAAAATTGGCCCCGCCCCGGGGGGGTCATTGATTTTCCCTATATGCATATAGTAAAAACTTAAAAAATCTTCTTTTAAAGAACTCAAAGAGCTATGGCTAAGATATTGAGCATCAAACATGTTCTAATAGGTGTCTACCAAGTTTGTTCAAATAAAAGCCCTGGGGTCAAAATTGGCCCCGCCCCAGGGGGTCATTGATTTTCCCTATATGCATATAGTAAAAACTTAAAAAATCTTCTTTTAAAGAACCAAAAGAGTTAGAGCTAAGATATTTAGCATGAGACATGTTCTAATAAGTGTCTACCAAGTTTGTTCAAATAAAAGCCCTGGGGTCAAAATTGGCCCCGCCCCGGGGGGTCATTGATTTTCCCTATATATGCATATAGTAAAAACTTAAAAAATCTTCTTTTAAATAACTCAAAGAGCTATGGCTAAGATATAGAGCATCAAACATGTTCTAATAGGTGTCTACCAAGTTTGTTCAAATAAAAGCCCTGGGGTCAAAATTGGCCCCGCCCCGGGGGTCATTGATTTTCCTTATATGTGTATAGCAAAAACTTAAAAAATCTTCTTTGAAAAAACCCAAATAGCTAGAGTTAAGATATTAAGCATGAAACATCTTTTAGTGAGTGTCTACAAAGTTTGTTCAAATAAAAGCCCTGGGGTCAAAACTGGCCCGGCCCCAGGGGTGTCATTGTTTTTAACTATATGTGTATAGTAAAAATTTAAAAAAATCTTCTTTTAAAAAGCCCAATGAGCTAAAGCTTAGATGTCTAGCATGAAACATCTTCTTATTTATGGGTGTCTACCAAGTTTGTGCAAATAAAAGCCCTTGGGTTAAATTGGCCCTGCAACATTGGGGGGGGGGGGCTATATACAGGTGAGCGACCTCAGGGCCATCATGGCCCTCCTGTTTAAATTACATTTTAAAAAGAATTATGTGCTTTGTGTACTAACGACTAAAGGTATCACATTTGCTGTTTATGCACATATGGTTTCTGAATTGCTGGGCAATTATTCAAAGTGAACATGAGAAAATGCTTCAGTAACTTACGTAAAGTTGTTGACAAAGCAAGTTCATGGTAATATAAATTTTACGTTACTTTCCAATTTTCCCTTCTAGCAATAGCTGAGGTTGGTCAAAAACTTTCATCAGTAAAACATAAGATTATCATCTTGTCTGGAAAAGGAGGAGTAGGAAAAAGTACTTTCACAGCACATTTAGCTCATGGCCTTGCTTCTGATGAAGACAAACAGGTAAAATTTCCTTTTATTTAATCTGTTTTCAAAAATTTGATTTAAGTCTCAGTGAGTGTACTGATGCTTATTTGAATAACCACTCTAAGACATTAATTATAGAAATCTGTATCATAAACATTTTCCATCAAACATGGATTGTCATGTCATTAATCTCTAATCTTTTTAAAAATAGTGAATCAATGTAGAACTCATAAAATGTGATGGCAAAGGTTGGTAAATGTTCATTTTTGTCTAATTCAAATAGACTTCTATTTATTTAAGATCATGTCAAAATTATCTTTATCTATACAGAAACATATGCTGAGGATTTGTTGAGAGATATATTCAGCAGTCTGTGAAATTAGGGTTTAAAAATTGTTGTCATGGCAACCAATTCAAGAAAGTCTGGTTGTCCAGAGTAAAAATTGGTCGTCCGGACCAAAAAAAAGGTTGTCTCGGGCAATAGGACAACTGCTAATTTTGCAGACTGTTCAGTACTTTCTAAACACTTTCTTTGCTTGTTATACTATTTGATAGTAAAATCTTTATAATGAATATGTATATTTTTTAAAGTATTATTTTATGGTCTTTAAATATTTACAGCAACAGTTTGAATGAATATGTATTAACTTTCATGTAAATACTGTATTCATGTATAAGTATACTTAATGTTAGTCACTATGTGTGGTTTAACTACAAAATACATAGTGGGCAGACATAATTTGTTTGCTCTGTAAACATCTTATTGATCAATATTACATGAAACCTTTTCTCTACTCTTAAAAATCAACATTCAACTTGAGAGCAATCTGAGTTCATCTTTTTCAAGTTTGTATGCGCTTTTAGTAAATTTTTCAAGTATGATTTTTATGCAAGACAGCCAGGTCATTATAAGATTGTACTTGTCCACTTGTTCTGTTTATTCAAATCTGGATTTTTTTGTATAAAAATTCAGATATTTGAAATTCTTTGAGAATTTTCTTATAAATGATAATATTTATAGAACTTATGTAAGAAAAATCATTGTTGTTGATGAAACTATTTTTCTTGACAATTGGTTCCTTAATTAAACGGCAGTTATCTCTTAATTATGTCACACCATATGATGCTTGCTTAACAAAACTTGCTGGTTCCTGGCCACAAAGAATATGAGTGCAACTTTCATAAAATATAACTGACAAGTTTGTGACACACAAACTTGTCAGTTATTTGTTATGAAAGTTGCACACATGGACTGTAGATTTTCAGAATGACATTCTATTAGTCATCAAATGCTTAATTTTTGTATATGTTTAGAAATTTTGTTATGTCTGCTCTGTCCAAGTTGGATATTTTTTTTATCATACTTTTTGAAAAAGTTCATGAAATTTCATATTCTGGACTGAAAACAAATTACCGGATTTGTTTTTATCTGTAATAGTAAAGTTTTTACAAAACATTTCAAACCGTCTGCCAATAACACATCGAATTTCCAATTACATATTAGGGAAGTGTCAACTTCATGGAAACTCAGCCAATAATTCATGGCACCAGTCTCTTAATTAAACGAAAAAAATGGTGCCGTAGTTATATTTCCAATATCCTGTGAAGTTTGTATATCCTTTAATTTGTCTGATAATGATTGGTGCGAAAACATTACAACTTGACCTGTCAATAAACTAACCATCGATTTTAGTTATTAGATGATTTACTGCATCAGTTCTTTTTACAGACTCTGGTTATTGCTTCGTTAAAACATAATGGCATGTAATAAAAACTTCTTGTTTCTAACAATTGCTTCTGGGTAGCTAACACATGCTTCGTTACATCTTATGAATAAATGTTTACTGTAAAACATGGTTCATTTTCACGCATGTATTCAGTCTTACTAATGAAGTATGAAAAATAAACACTTTCTCTTAAGTAAAGTTCTACGATACTTTACAAAGAGTTATTGATCATTGCATGCTGACTAAGGAAATAAGCTTTATCCTTATTGAAATTAGCTGCAGAGGTAAATAACTTTGCTAACGAGGCTTTTTCATTTTTATCCCTCACATGCTTAATTTGAATTTTGGACTTGTCGTGCCATGGAATTGTCCATTGTTCACACAAGGGGTTTAGAGTTCCTTCAAAAATTTTTAAAAAAGGCATCTTACTTTGGTCTTTAGAGTTTCAGTACCGTGTGAGGTGTTCTTGTGTGTCACCTTTAGTGGTACATGTTTTAAATATCATTAAACAGTTTTTGCTCCCACATGAATAGTATTAAAGTAACTAAAAAGCACTTAAAGTATCTTTTTCTAATGACTTAGTATAAATCATGTGTTATTACAAACAATTAAATTTGTATAAATTAATAGATTTTTACATGATAATTGAAAGAATCATAAAGGAATACATTGTATTTATCAACTATGAAGACTATAACTATACATTTGTTCACTTCAAAATGTTATGAAACAATGGCTAGACCTTATGTTGTCCCATATGCATTTATTTTATTATTTCAGATCTTTGTATAACCAATATTGAATAATCTTAAGCAATTTTTATACAAATAACTACAATATAACACTTAAGCCTATTACTTATAATGAAAGGACTAAGACAATGCTGTACAGACCCTCCTTTTTAAAAGAGTGGAGGTGGGGTTCAGTCAGTTTCTCAACTAAGTTTATTCATGAAAATGTAGGGAGGTATAACTTTACCCAATATACGAGATGTATGTGTACTATGCTTAATGAGGGTCCATCTCGTCCTTCAGGCACTAATTGCAGCTATTGCTGTTGAGTAGGGACCTGGACATGTCACCGGTCATAAATTTTGTGGGGTTCAGTCAGTGTTCATTTTAAGTTTAATCATGCAATGGAGGGGGGTTATTCCCTTCCTACCAATCCTCACTTGTCTTTTATAAAGTAATGGGGGTGGGGTTCAGTCAGTGTCTATTTTAAGTTTAATCATGCAATGGAGGGGGGTTATTCCCTTCCTACCAATCCACATCTGCCCTTTGTAAAGTGATGGGGGTGGGGTTCAGTCAATGTCAATTTTAAGTTTATAATCTTGACAAATGGAAGGACAGTTAGTTCCTTAGCAACATATAAATGGAGAGAATGGACAGTAAGATTCAGATTGTCAAAAACAAAACTTAATATGGGACAGTATGAATATTAAAAAAGAATATCACCGATTTTTAAAAGATTATTACGTTATTAAATTGTCATTGAAAAGTTTGCATGTTGTTTACTGACAGAAAGCATTATGCCATGTAATAACTCTTTATAATCATCTGTGAAAACATTTTTTCGTAAAGTTGTCAAAATTTCCAAAATATCTACAAGACACAAAATTCATCAAAAGCAATAAAAAAACAATAAAATCTTTTTCACTTACTAAAAAATTATTCATGTGAAAAATGGTATATCAAAAATTTATAAGTTAAGAGTATTGTATTTTGTTAGGCCTTATCATTATTTAAGCAATATACATAGTGGCATTTAAAGATCCAAATATAGACATCAGTTAAGTTCACTTGCTTAATAATAAGTAACTTTACACTGATAAAAACCACTTTCTGACTAGAAAAATTCTTTTGATGTTGACAGTAAAAGTTAAAAAGTCAATAGTACATACCCTAGTATCACTGAGTTAGAGAGGAAAAATAGGTGTCCGACACCGTGTATGGGTTAGTATAGCGTCCTGATATCACCTATCAACATACAGCCTGTGGTCATGACAACTCCCAACGATACTACCCATAATGCAACATTCTGGTTCCGCTGTAAATATGCCGTCTGCTTAACTATGTCGTCTGCTTGAATATAGATCAATGCTATACTAAAGCCTTTTATGATTGATACTGCAAGGTTTATCTACATAAGGCCAATTTATGTTTAAGCAGATTTTAAACGTAATGTGCTATTCAATAGAGTGTGAATAGGTGTAGAGAATAGGTTTAAATGTTTTATTTGATATTATTTGAGTGGCTATTGTACTTCTTAAGATACATGTATGATTAAAGAAAAAAAATGTACATTAACTGGACAGAGTAGGGTTTTGGGTCAAGAGAAATATCTACTGTAGCTGATTGCAATTTAAACAGATTTAAGTTATCTTTAGATAACCTTAATGGACTCTTAGATTGATTTATTGTTTCAATATATTAGTTTAAATAGATAGTGTATGATACAAAAAGTGTTGGATAAAAACAGCCTTTTGTTGGCCCGACCAGCATAATATTTAAAGTTCCGTATATTCAACATACTTGTTATATTTTACAATGTTTTAGATAAAGAAAAAAATGAGAATATGAAATAATTTAGAATGATTTCCAGCTTATACCTGTTAAGTTCAATGATTTTATTAATGGTAGAATTTTTGAACAGGTCATACTTTTGTTTTGGTTAGATTTTAAGTCTGACATGCACTATAAAAGTCATATGGCAACATTTTAGCTTATTAATACCTGAGGTTCCCCTCTAAGCACTGTATTATGCACACATGGACAAAAAGGCCGCTTCCTCCCACTCCGCAGATCCCAAGTAGAAACACAAAAGTCACATAAAAAAATCACCCATACCTCTTACTGTATTTTAACCCAGTTGTGAACAGCAAGTAAATTGTAATTGTTATTCAAAATCAGAACCACTCTGTGAAAGAGCCCCTATTGCCAACCACCACCACTAACCTTTATTCTTAAGGAATGAAAAATAGGTTCATTAGTATGTTGTGTAATTTTAGAAATTTTAACCTGACTAATTCTTAATCTTAAGTGATAAAATTAATGTGTCTCCTTTATTAAACTTTTCTTCAACTGTAAAAAAAAAAAGTAAAAAGAATTCAATAAGATAATTTAGATAGAACAAAGTCATTAATCATTTTCTATAAGGTGGCCTGCTGAATTGACAAATAATAACTATTGATATAGGAAAATCAACAGATTGTGTTTAGAATTTTTAACAATGAAAGTATCAGGTACTCATTTAATTTCATTTTTCCAACATGTTAACAATAAGTTTATTTTTATGCGTGCTATCTTGTCAGTGTTCTGTTGTTATATCGGCAGAGTGATAACCCTTTTTCTTTTTGAAAATAAACTTTACACCTGCAGTTAAAGGGATTACTACAGTATTGAGGGGCCAGTGGTATATGACACTGATGTGCTGGCTGGCCTGGCTCTATTCTAGTGGCATAGATCTGTTTTTATCTCAATTTCTAAGCATTAAAGCTGCAGGCATCCCGATGAGACAAAATATTTCAAGAAAATCAAATTGGTGTTTGCACTAAAGGGCACCTACACCAGTAAAGCTGGAAAGTCGCCTTATGGCCCAAACTAATATTGACCTTCATTCATTAATGACCTTGACCTTCTAAGTCAATCTGAATTTTTGCTTGATTTTTGCTATAAATCTCAACCTAAAAAGAAAATTAGAAAAAATTTCAATTCAGGGATTTCAATATTCAAATTGAGTAATCAAAAGAACAGGGATGTTGAGGCTGTGTTGATGTGTATTATTTTGCTGTATGGACATAAACTTACTGATTTGAAGTTCTTAATTGTTTTTGTTTTATGTTTTTTTAGCTCACCTGTCACAAAGTGCTTTTAATGACATCTCCTCATAAACCACTGAGCCAATTTCATCCAAACTTCACAGGAATGTTCCTTTGGTGGTCACCTTTAAAAATTGTTCAAAGAATTTAATTCCATGCAGAACTCTGGTTGCCATGGCAACCGAAAGAAAAATCTTTAAATATCTTCTTTTAAACAACCCTAAGAGCTAGAGCTAAGATATTTGGCATGAAACATGTTCTAGTGAGTGTATACCAAGTTTGTTCAAATAAAAGCCCTGGGGTCAAAATTGGCCCCGCCCCAGGGGGTCATTGATTTTCCCTATATGCATATAGTAAAAACTTAAAAAATCCTCTTTTAAAGAACCCAAAGAGCTAGAGCTAAGATATTTGGCATGAAACATCTTCTAGTGAGTGTCTACCAAGTTTGTTCAAATAAAAGCCCTTGGGACCTTGGGACAAAATTGGCCCCGCCTAAGTGGGTTATTGATGTTCTTTATATGTATATAGTAAAAACTTAAAAAAATCTTCTTTTAAAGAGCCCCAATAGCTAGAGCTTAGATATTAAGCATGAAATATCATCTAGTGAGTGTCTACCAAGTTTGTTCAAATAAAGGCCCTGGGGTCAAAATTGGCCCCGCCCCAGGGGGTCATTGATTTTTCCTATATGTATATATTAAAAACTTAAAAAATCTTCTTTTAAAGAACCCAAAGAACTAGAGCTAAGATATTAAGCATGAAACATCTTCTAGTGAGTGTCTACCAAGTTTGTTCAAATAAAAGCCCTGTGGTCAAAATTGGCCCCACCCCGGGGGTCATTGATTTTCCCTATATGCATATAGTTAAAGCTTGAAAAATCTTCTTTTAAAGAACCATAAGAGTTAGAGCTTAGATATTTGGCATGAAACATCTTCTAGTGAATGTCTACCAAGTTTGTTCAAATAAAAGCCATGGGGTCAAAATTGACCCCACCCCAGGGGGTCATAGAATTTCCCTATATGCATATAGTAAAAACTTAAAAATCTTCTTTTAAAGAACTCAAAGAGCTAGAGCTAAGAAATTTGACATGAAACATCTTCTAATGAGTGTCTACCAAGTTTGTTCAAATAAAAGCCCTGGGGTCAAAATTGGCCCCGCCCCAGGGGGTCATTGATTTTCCCTATATGCATATTGTAAAAACTTAAAAAATCTTCTATTAAAGAACTCAAAGAGCTAGAGCTAAGATATTTAGCATGAAACATGTTCTAATGGGTGTCTGCCAAGTATGTTAAAAAAAAAGCCCTGGGGTCAAAACTGGCCCCGCCCGGGGGGTGTCATTGTTTTTAACTATATGTGTATAGTAAAAACTTTAAAAATCTTCTTTTAAAAAACCCAATGAGCTAGAACTTAGATGTTTAGCATGAAACATCTTTTTATGGGTGTCTACCAAGTCTGTTCAAATAAACAAATAAAAGCCCTTGGGTAAAAATTGGCCCGCGGGTGGGGGGGGGGCTATTTACAGGTGAGCGACCTCAGGGCCATCATGGCCCTCTTGTTAATAATTGTCATGAAAATAATGAATAAATATTTACATGTCATAGAAATATGAATGAATCTTTCCATTGTTGCGAAATGAACAAATTTCCTGTATAATTCATTGACAAAAACCTCTGTCTGTAGCAGACAATAAAATACATCTCGATGACACAGTGTTCAATAAATGTGAGAAATCTAGCATACAAGAAAGAAATAAAACTTTATCTTCTGGAAATAGATTGATTGATAGGAAATGCCTGTCTCTATAAAAATGGAATCGGGTGATTGAAAATTATATGGCCAGGTATTGCAGGGAAAATTATATGGCGAGAAATTGGAGAAAATTGGAGCAATTTATTCAAAGCTTTAAAAATCATATGCTGATTCATCATATGTGAACATGTCAATGAAGACACTAACCGGAATGAATCTGGTTCAATAGGTATCAGTTTTCAGATATCAGTACTGTTGTGCTCTAGCTTAATCTGTGGCATTTATTGATGGTCCCCTTTAAGTATGGTTTAAATAGTTTGATATTTCTGATTGGCCATCTGGTTCATACAGAAGTTATTTTAGTTTGATTGTTTGAAAAGCTGGTAGCTTATAGACACTCTCTGGAAGCCATTTCTGGAGCCTACTAGTAGTGAGCAATGAGAGGAAAGTTTCTTACTACTTAAGGACACAACACCTTGCTCCTGACGGGGTTTTAACCCATGTGAATAGCAATCCTTAGATTACTAGTCTGACACATTAATCATGGAAAAGAAAAAAACTTAATCTCTAATATGATTTTGTTTTGGCTCCCATTATTTTTCCACAGAATGACAGGCAATTTTTTGAAAGTATGAAAAGAATTGTTAAGCAAGATTTTGAAGATAAAATATTTACTTCATTTGTATTTTTCATTACTACAATCAGCCCCTATAATCAAGGTAATTTTGCAGTTTGTCAAAGGTAGAACTGGCATTTCACTTTAACTTTCATTGCTAGCGATTAAGATTAAATCATTCTGCCAACCAGTATCTAAAGCCATGATGAATAAATTGTGTTTTAATGACTGATAACACAAAAAGAAAGTTGATTTATTTCCATCGGGACTGTTTAAATATGTATAGGGCACATGGCATGCAACAATAGTTAAGGAAAAGTTAACATGTTTTATTAGCCATGTAAGGAATGGAGGGGGGAATGGCCAGTGAAAATGCTTTGTTGTATTGTGTTTGTTGCTATGGGGATTGCTTTACCTGTCATGAATACAATTTATTCAATGATATACATGTGATAGTTATAGAATGTGAAAGCAACATTGGTTAATTAAACTGTCATATTTTATTTACTACTTTTGAAATGGCATGCTGAATGACCTATGATGTACCCGTTAAATGATTCAGTAACTGATGTCTTTTAGAATTCCATTGAGATATTGTTTTTGTATATTGTAGATCTATTATTATTGATTTCTGGTTATTTTGTCAGTCCATCAACTTGATGAGTAAAATGTTGATAAAATAATAAGGCAAGAAAATGTCAACCTATAACTTCATACAAACTCCTTTTCACACCATTTCAGACTTTGTTTTTATGCTATTCCATCTACATAATTTTATCTTTAAAAATTTGATATAAGCATATTGCTGGTGATATAGATTATGTTTCTGGCAGCAACATAGATAGGAGTGACCGACTTCCTTACTGTTATGTTTAAAGTCATGCAACTTGCAAGCAGTAAGGCTTTTGATTGATGTACAGTAATACCTGTGAATAAAGGCCACACAATGGAGAGATCAAACATGACCTATAGGCTAGTGGTCTTTATTTGGAGGTTTCTATGTTATATTTACTGAATGAATGGTTGTGGAAGCATGGTGTTTATATACAGGGTGACCTTTATTTGGAGGTGGTCTTTAACACCAGTTTAACTGTACATTGAACTGATACTGATTGGATACTGTGTGAACCTGTCCTGGGAAGACTTTGACCCATATCAATGAAAAATAAAATTTTACCATATAAAATAATTATAAATGTTTGTATTTACAGGTAGCTGTGTTAGATGTGGATATATGTGGACCCTCAATGCCTAAAATACTTGGTGTAGAAGGAGAGCAGGTAAATATTTTGAAGAATCCTTTAAAATTTTGTTAGTTTTATAGGAATCAACTAATATAAACTTGTCAATTTTTAAAAGGCATTTACAGTATTTAGGACAAAATAAGGATCTTTAGCAATTGAGACCTGAGTTCCCTTAACTGGACATTTGTGTAATGAAGGTAAACAATAGATCTATTATTATAAGTTTTGACATAATGCTTATTTCTCTGTCTTGATAAAACAATATTTTAGTAGTTTATAGTTTGACTAGGATTCCTACAAAAATCTCTGGTTACAAATTAGATTGATAAAGGATGTCCTGGTGCATATTTCAGGGTTTTGATCATTTCTGTAAGAAAAGTGGCCATTTGTTGTTACTGCTGTTTTTTCACGTATTAGATACTGATGGAAAACCTTGTGTTATGAATTTATGACAATTTCCTGTTGCTTGTTTATTGCTTGTTTAATCCTGTATCTTCTGAAATGAAGAGTCATCATGGGTTATAGCATAAAGTCTCTAATTCTACTTATGTGCTGTTATATTATTTCAATGAATATAACAATCTTGTTATTTTTCCTAATTTCAGGTTCACAACAGTGGTTCAGGATGGTCACCTGTGGTAAGACATTTTCTTCCAGTACATTTTACCCCACCCATAGCTAGCTTAACTTAAAATAGCAAATTGTAGAAATTTTGATTTTGCAGCAAATCTTGCAATATTGAACAATTCTTAGCTTGGCTTGTAAATCTTCATATAGATTTTTTTTTTAGTTGAGAACTTTCATGTCCAAATAAATGCCAATGTGTCATTAAACCTAACAAAAAATGAATGTATCAGTAACTTGTCATTGTTCAACAAAGCCATAGAGACTGTTAATTGCTGACCTACTTTCCATTGAATAGTAATTAAAACTGTCTGCTGCAGACGACCAAAAAAATCAAGGAAAAGATACATAATCAATCAAGTTTTATTTCAAATTTAGTGTTGTGTAATGTTCCTTTTATACCTGGTTGAGAAAAGAACTTTTTTTTTTGGAAGGCGATAAATCTCCCATGTTGTCATTGCTTTTAGACTTCATAGGCCCCCTAAACAACAATTGCAACAATACAGTTTGGTACCATTTAAGTAAATAAGAACAAAAATATTTACTTGGCAACCACATGTGTTAAAATCAGCATAAAACCAGAAAAGCAAACAAACAAAACTAGGCAACCATCTTATAATTGGAAAAAAATCATGTTTTTTTAAGTTACATAAAAAATACCATGCACTATTATTATCATTTTTAGTGTTTCATAAAGATACTGCTATATTCATTTCTAAGGCACACAGATTCTTTATGTAACCAGTCAGATTTATATTAAATCCTCAGTTATTTACTACCCTGATAGGTATTGTAGGATAGTGTGACATCTTCACAATGAGTGGTGGGGCAGAATAAAGCATAGACTAGCTTTTTTTTGCATGACTTCTCTTGCACCTATTTATCCCTTAGGTAATGTTGTTGTTTTTTTAGTAAGAACTAAAAATCTTGATAGATAATCTGGGCAAAATTCAAAACTATCATCCAATAAGTACTTTAACCAAATGAAATAATGTGCTGAAATCCCCATTCAAAACAAATACTGAAACTTGAGCTTTTGTTATTAAAGAACAAAATTATGTCACTTTTACTTTAGTGTTGTTATATTTTTCTGTTTTTTTTTAGATCATTGATTCCAATACTCTATAATAGTGTTAATACAGCTTAAGGGGGCATTAAAAATGTTTCACTTTACATTATCTCATATGAACAGAGTTGTAAAACTTGTTTTCATTGCTTTATAGTGGTTTCCCCTTTTTTCCAGATTTTTACTTCTTCTTTTCTGAAATGAAGGCAATTATAAGTTATGTTGCTTTTATTTGTTCCCGTGTAATAATAGTTATATCAACACAATTGCCACTTTTACTTCAATACTGAAAAAGACATTGAATTGATAGTCTGTGTGTATTTAAATGCTGGTTGAAGTCACATCTTGACAGTTGGCTCTTAGGTACATTTTAAACTTTTAATACTGACAAAAATAGACTTCTTGTGACAATAAACCGGAGAAATCAAACAGATATACAATGGTCTCATTTGTTTGATTAGTCAGGGAGATATGTGTATGAAGGATCTTAAAGTCTGAAGTGGTCAGTTTTTATACGGTCAGTAGGTGATGTTTAGGTCAATATTATTTAATCTATGAAAGTTTATCTCACTACTCTAATGTTACATATATATTGTCTTTATAAAGTTATACATTTGAATTTGTTTAACTTGAAAACAAGAAAGTTGAATTTTTGTTTGTTTGTTTACCACTTGCCCCTCACTGCTGTGGGTTCGAATCGGACAAGGACTTTGGATTCTTTTATGTGAGGAAGCTGTCCAGCATCGACGGAGCATCGATGGTTCTACTCAGGTCTCCTTCCACCACTAAAGTCAGAAAGTCGTCATATGACCTATACTCTGTTTGTGCAACGTAAAACCTAACAAAAAAAAACATACTCGTCATTTTGTTTCTTTACATAATATACATGTTTGTTCATTTACTAATTTACATAGAAATTCTTATAAGATCATCTAGAAGCATGCTTATCAGTGTAATGTAATGACTACCATAAATTAAGTTTATGAAATGAAAAAAAATCATTAAGCTTAAGTTGGATTAGTGGTTTGTGTGTTAGGGTAAAAATGATGTAACTTTCTGTTTTATTTAAAAATAGTTAATATACTTTAGCACCAAAATTTCATCCTGCACACTCCTGTAATGTAGATATATAATCCCCTTAATCATAATCTGAAAGGTCACTTTCAATTTGTCAAAGGTCACTTCTTTATTGTGTATTGAATAAATGTCTAAGTCCTTAAGTTCACATCAAGAAGACAAAAGAATATTTTTTTAACCAGTTCAACTTTGTCAATATCTGATATGGTTGTATGAAGCCCCTGTTTCTGTTGACCAATGACAATTATAGTTTACTTTCCTAGACTTACATATAATTTGTAGTAGTATAAATATTTTTTCAAACTCCTATCTATTTTCTATAAGAAGGAATTTGTATTATGACATTGATTAATATATATAGAGTACCAGGTATCTGTTAAAATTTACTAAAGGCTAAACATCCATTTTAATAAGTCATGTTGTAGAATTTGTATTTTATGTTGTTTCCTTGAGGAAGAAACTTTACACCCATTGCTAAGTACTGGCTAATTCCAGGAATGGATTCTAGAGTGCGTTTATAAGCCTATAGCTTCGTACACAGTCAAACTGAAATAAATTCTTTATAAACTAAGTGATAAATCAATTAAATTTTGAGTTTGACAAAACCATGTATAATTATATGCCATCATGATTTTATATTGAATGATATTGAATTATTTTCAGTATGTGAGTGATAATCTAGCTGTAATGTCTATAGCTTTCCTCCTGTCCGGTCCAGATGATGCTGTTATATGGAGAGGACCAAAGAAAAATGGTAATAGTATTATAAAATGAAGTTTATGAAGGACTCCACTCTGGTTTTTAGCTCACCTGTCACAAAGTGACAGGGTTAGCTTTTGTGATCGCTTTTCGTCCGTCCGTCGTCCGTCCGTCGTCCGTAAACTTTTACTTTAAATGACATCTCCTCATAAACCACTAAGCCAATTTCATCCAAACTTCACAGGAATGTTCCTTTGGTGGTCACCTTTGAAAATTGTTCAAAGAATTTAATTCCATGCAGAACTCTGTTTGCCATGGCAACCAAAAGAAAAAACTTAAAATATCTTCTTGTAAAAAACCCAAAGAGCTAGAGCTTAGATTTTTGGCATGAAACATCTTCTGGTGAGTGTCTACTAAGTTTGTTCAAATAAAAGCCCTTGGGTCTAAATTGGCCCCGCCCCAGGGGGTCATTGATTTTCCCAATATGCATATAGTAAAAACTTAAAAAATCTTCTTTTAAAGAACCCAAAGGCTAGAGCTAAGATATTTAGCATGAAACATCTTCTAATGGATGTCTACCAAGTTTGTTCAAATAAAAGCCCTGGGGTCAAAATTGGCCCGCCCCAGGGGGTCATTGATTTTCCCTATATACATATAGTAAAAACTTAAAAAAATCTTCTTTTAAAGAACCAAAAGAGCTAGAGCTAAGATATTTAGCATGAAACATCTTCTAATGGATGTCTACCAAGATTGTTCAAATAAAAGCCCTGGGGTCAAAGTTGGCCACACCCCAGGGGGTCATTGATTTTCCATTTATACATATAGTAAAAACTTTAAAAATCTTCTTTTTAAGGAACCCAAAGAGCTATGGTTAAGATATTTAGCATGAAACATCTTCTAATGGGTGTCTACCAAGTTTGTTCAAATAAAAGCCCTGGGGTCAAAATTTGCCCGGCCCTGGGGGTCATTGATTTTCCAAATTTCCTTATATGTGTATAGGAAAAACTTAAAAAATCATCTTTGGAAAAAACCAAATAGCTAGAGTTTAGATATTAAGCATGAAACATCTTCTAGTGATTGTCTACAAAGTTTGTTCAAATAAAAGCCCTGGGGTCAAAATTGGCCCCACGCCGGAGGTCATTCATTTTCCCTATATGTGTAAACCTGAAAAATCTTCTTTGAAAAAACTCAAATAGCAAGAGTTTAGATATTAAGCATGAAGCATCTTCTAGTGAGTGTCTTCAAAGTTTGTTCAAATAAAAGCCCTGGAGTCAAAATTGGCCCCGCCCCAGGGGACATTGATTTTCCTTATATGATTATAGCAAAAACTTTAAAATCTTCTTTTAAAAAACTCGAATAGCTAGAGTTTAGATATTAAGCATGAAACATTTTCTAGTAAGTGTCTACAAAGATTGTTCAAATAAAAGCCCTGGGGTCAAAACTGGCCCTGCCCCAGGTGTGTCATTGTTTTTAACTATATGTGTAAAGAAAAACTTTAAAAAAATCTTCTTTTAAAAATCCCAACGAGCTAGACCTTAGATGTTTAGCATGAAACATCTTCTAATGGTTGTCTACAAAGTTTGTTCAAATAAAAGCCCCGGGCTTTAAACTGGCCCTGCTCCGGGGGCCTATGTACAGGTGAGTGACTTCAGGGCCATCATGGCCCTCTTGTTTTACATGACTGGATTGGAAATGATTTTACAAGATTTATGGTTCAATTTGATGTACTTGTAATACACATGTACACCAATAATTTGAAATTGTGTATAAAATTTTAGACCATATTCACAAAATAATTATTTTATTTGTGAAAAATCATCCAAAATTTACAAGCATTGCAACACTTTGCACTCAGATCAGGCACAGAATTATTTTTTTCTTTTTATTTTCCTTTTAATTATCTTACGCATATCTTCCTGTGCCCTAGCTGGTATATGAAAGAAACTCAAATTTTATGTTTTTTAGACCTTAGTAGATTTCTTTTTAAGAGTCAGATATGAATATTACTGGTATTTTCCATTTTGCATTATTTGTAAACATGTGTGTACATTAGGATCCTTCTGCTTTAAAATGAGAAACAGTTCTTCCAATGATTTTATGGGGAAAATAAGGTACTAAATATATTCTTTGTTTTTTAATGGTCTATTTAAATCATTGGTCTATTTAAATCATTTTATTGCAGCACTTAAACCTTTAAAATCTCTTAATCAAATAATCACTGTTGCATCTTACAATCAAATAAATTGTTAAAAGAAATAATAATGAGAAGTATTATTTTATTTACAGGATTGATAAAGCAGTTTTTAAAGGATGTAGATTGGGGTGATGTAGATTATTTGGTGATAGACACGCCCCCTGGAACATCAGACGAACATCTGTCAGTTGTACAGTATCTCAGCGAGGCTAATGTAGATGGAGCTGTAGTCATCACAACACCACAGGTTATATGTTATTTATTAGTATTTTTAGCTCACCTGAGCTAGCTCAGGGTGAGCTTTTAGGATCAGTTTGAATGTCCGTCCTCATTTGTTCGTTAACACCCTTGTGGTCACATTTTTGCCTCAATCATCATCAAACTTTGTCAGGATGTTTGTCTAGGTAGTTGATTGAATGAGTTCGAACATGGGTCATTTCGGATTGAAAACTAGGTCACAGGAGCTAAAAATAGAAAAATCTTGTTAACACTTTAGTTGCTTATTGCATGGCCATGCATATATTTTGATGTGACATCATTTGTGTTATTTTTTATTGGCATGTCAATGAAAAATGGTTCTTTTTCACTTCAAACAGTCTTTTTTTCTGGTATGTGATAAATAGAATATTAAATTCATGTAAGTTCATTACAGAGCCTGGCAAAATATAATTTTATTCAACTTGTTCAATAAATTCAGTTCTAAACTTACACTCATTTGATGTCCTCTTTTTTACTCACAAATTTAGGGTGAAACAAGACTAAAAAGTATATGAATTTATTGTTTGTTTGATACATTTCAGGAGATATCACTGTTGGATGTTAGGAAAGAGATTAATTTCTGTCAGAAAGTCAAGCTGCCAATCATAGGAATTGTCGAGAACATGAGTGGGTTTGTCTGTCCTAAATGTAAAGTAAGTTCTTGGGTTTGTCTGTCCCAAATGTAAAGTAAGTTCTTCTTGTAAGCTCTACTTTTTAAAAGAAATAAAAATTGTGCTATTTTATTTAACTGCTCTGTTAACTGCTTCAACATTAGTTAATATTTTTGGATGATTTTATTTCACAAAATGGGAACATATTCCAAAAGGGGAGGTTTTAAACTTTGAAATTTATTTGTGCCTAGTTTTCAACCTAGAATGATTTTTAAAATGTTTTTGTCCAGGCTCATTTTCCTTGAATTGATACTCTTTTGAAACTTGAAAAATGTTGTTAAGATTTTGTTAAAAATTTATTCCTAGAAAGCTACAAGTAACATAGTTATTCATTTGAAATAATTTTGAATCTGAAAAATTGAAACCACTTACTTATGGATAGCCTGTGTATACAAACCTTCAGCAGGTAGTACATATTTAAATTCATAGATAGTATACTTCTACAAAACTCTCAATCAGTACTTAGCAGGTTTCAAACGCCTCCGTGGTTGAGGGGTTAGAGTCGATGACTTCTAATCCAGTTACCTCTCTGGTGTGGGTTTGATCCCCGGGTATTTAAATTCATAAATAGAATAGTTCTACAAAACTCTCAATCAGTACTTAGCAGGTTTAAACCGCCTCCGTGGTCGAGGGGTTAGAGTCAATGACTTCTAATCCAGTTACCTCTCTGGGGTGGGTTTGATCCCCGGGAGATGCTTTGGTAGTTTAGCACGGGGGAAGGGAGTTTGATGGGATAAATTTCCCGGAAAAGAGGTTAAAGGAAACTACCCCCTAAAATGATTTAAATTTCTGTTGGGAAAAAGGGGTAAAAAAAACAAAAAAAACAAAAAACCCTTTTGCAGGTTTTATTTAAAAATTGTTGTCTTGGGGGAGTGTCCCCAAAAACTTTGTATCAAAAAGGAATTACTTTTCAAATGGGCTATAAAAAACATTGAAATTTTTTAATTTAAAAGCCCCGGATTTTTTAGAAGGTTTTGTTTTGGGTTGTTTTTTTGATCACCCCTTTTGATTGTTAAAAATTTTATAATTGTCTTGTACTGGGCAAACAGAAGAAAAAAATTTTACTTTTGTCAATATTTTTTTTAAAAAATTTTCCTACCTTTCCATTTCATTTTTTGCTTTTGTAGATTAAAGGCCCTTTTAAACCCTTTTTAATTTTATTTTGTTTTTCGAAAAAGGGTTTTTAAATTTTGGGTTTTTTACAGTTTCAAAAAAATTACCCTTTTGGGCCCTTTAAAATGAAATTTTCTTTCGCTTTTTTTTCATTTTGGCATTTTTGTCATTTTTAGTGATTTGTACTGGTTTAAATTTTTTTTTAACCTCTATGGGCGCCCTTTTTACAAAATTCAGTGCTATTTTCTTAAAGGGGTTAAGGAAATTTTTTGCTTTTAAATTATCCCCTTCCTTTTTAAAAAAATTTTTTGTCCTTCTACTTTTAAAGGAAAAAAAGGGATTTTTTTCTGAAAGGGTTTAAAGTGCCCTTTTAAATAAAAGTAATGGGGGAAAAATAGTAAAGTTATTAAAGTTAAGCAAAAGGTAAATTTTATGAAAAATCAAAGGGTTGTCAAAATTGACTTAAAGTTTAAAAACAGTGTTTAAAAAAAGGAAAAATTGAAAAAAGAAGTGATAATTAATTGTTGTTTAGATGTGTGCAAGGTATTTGTATAATGTATAATTGTATAACAGAGAAATGCCTGGTTGTTTAATGCACAACTTTATAGAATATATTAATTGTATGTCATGGGTTTGGCAAAGGAAAAGTATAATAAAATGAGAAAAAGAAAATGAGTAAAAATATAAATGTATTAAGTTTTTAACATATTTCATTCACACTTTTGGCAATGAAATATTAATAGGCGATTCTTTGGAAGGTATTAGTTGAATTACATGTAAGCAACAACAAAAAAAGCTAGATTTGTTAGATAATTTGAAGAAAAAATCATGAAAAAAAAGTACATATGGAGATAATTTGAAGAAAAAATCATGAAAAAAAAGATGGAAGATGGTTTGAAGAAAAAGCACAACAATTGACTCATACTTCTCAGGATACAGTACTTTAATTTACCCATTGTCTGCTGGAACCTGTTTTTAAAGTGGTTTGACCTTTACCAACTAGTATAGAAGCCACGGTCAGACAGATGAATTTTTAAAGGGAACTTTGTCCAGCTTTAAGTTTTTGGAACTGTCCAAACTTAAAACAGTAATAGGGAATATTGAGATAAAAAAATTGGTTTGTGAATTAACTTCAGCCAGTAGTAAAGAGCCAGGTCAATTAACCACAGATGTGCAGGCTGGCCTTAATCACATTCAGTTCCAGATATGGTGGGCAAACTTTGTAAATGGACTGGTTCCAAAATTCCAAAGCAGGGCAAAAGTCCCCTTTAACAGAAATTTAGTAAGGTTCAGGGTAAACTCAAAACTTGAATGTTTGCAGTGATAACTTTGGTCTAGGGTCCCAGGCATTTTTGTTGCTGGTTGATTGATTTTGGGTTATTTTTGGTGGGTTGCCTGGTGCAAACCCAGAAAATAGTATGGGTGAATGTCAGGTGGGGGATGGCAAAAATCTTTTCTTAACAGTTTTCTTAGCAACTACTTATCACAGCCTCTTGATATTTGGCATACAGCATTGAGACGTGGTCCCATACAGTGGGATTTGATTTCAGGTCTGTCGCTCATCCACTTTCTGTTTACTGACATATTTAATTTTCGACATTAATGGTCAATGGTAGGAAATTTTCCTAACAGTTTTCTTAGCAACTACTTAGCACAGCCTCTTGATTTTTGGCATACTTCATTGACATGTGGTCCTATACCTTGGGATTCGATTTCAGTTCTGTCACTCATCCACTTCTTGTTTATCGCCTTAGTTTAATTTTCGACATTAATTGTCAATGGTAGAAAATTTTCGTAACAGTTTTCTCAGCAACTACTTATCACAGCCTCTTGATATTTGGCATACAGCATTGACACATGGTCCCATACTGTAGGATGCTATTTCAGGTCTGTTGCTTATCCACTTCCTGTTTACCGACTTAGTTAAATTTTCAACATTAATGGTCAGTGGTAAATTTTTTTCGTAACATCACAGCATCATGATATTTGGTAAACAAATGCAACCCCGGCCTTTTCTTTCTTTGACCCATTTTTACTTTGAAATCCCTATAAATGAAAATGAGCAATTCTTTGTTAAAAGCAGGGCAAACCCATTACTAAAATGTAGGAAGGTAATGTTGAAAAAGTGAGTTTCAATGTTCTTTATAACTTTTAGAGTGGAACTGTATGTAAATTGATGCTGTATTTATGGTTGTCATAGTTCGTTTAAAATATGATCTAACACAAGTGATGTTAAACTTAACTAAAGCCATTATCGTTAATAAAGAGTATGTTCAAAATTGCTTAATAAGTTCAGATTACTTTGTTTTTCAAATATTTAAGCATTGTAGAGTTCAGGGCCCTGTTTAAATAACAAACTGTTAATGTTATTTCAATGTGCAATTTTTTTTAAAGAAAAATTTTTGTTTAAAATATTTAAAATTAAGCTGGTCTAAAATTTAATTTTTTAAAGCAATACAGAATGAAAAAAATATTTTTGAAATTTTAACCCTTTTTAACCAAACTGTGTGCTATTTGAGTTTTTTAAAGGCATGAAAAGTAGTTCAAGTATTTTTAAAGGCATTTTAAAAACACACAAAAGTGATATTTTTTTAAAATAAAGGGGGGGAAAAAGTTTGGGTAATTTTAAAATTTATATTAAACTATTTATAAATTTGTAAATAGCAGCAGGTCTTCTCTTGATCAGATACCTTTATGATACATGTACAAGATTAACACAATGAAAATTATAATTTTGTATTTATTTAAAGGCCCATTATGCTTGAGAAATGCTTTTATTTTTATTTCTTCAAAGCTTTTTTGTTGTACTACTTTGTTTACATTTTGCTACTTTGTGACAAATTAAATCACATTCATGTCTACTTTCTTCAGGTAACAAATGTCTAACATTCTCTTAAACCATTATTTCAACATTATAAAATTCATGTTTGCCCTTTATAAAAAAAAAATGATTTGTTTCTGAGGCACAATGTGCTTTTAATAAAAAATAAGACTTAGACTGAAAAAAAGGTAATTTTCCTATGTGCATTATAATACTCATTTTAACGAATAATTATATAAATATTTCAGACAGAATCTCAGATTTTTCCTCCAACAACTGGTGGGGGAGAAAAGCTGGCTAAGGATTTCAACTTACCATTTTTAGGGCATTTACCCCTGGATCCAAGGATAGGTAAGTTACTGAGATGAAACTTTTGGAAATTAGTTTATAATATAGAAATTATTTTTAGTTTGATTTTGTAGAAAGCTATAAGCTTATAGACACACTTTTGAATCCATTCCTGGAAGCAACCAGTATTGAGCTATTAGTGTAAAGTTTTTTTCTCAAGGAAACAATGACCCCTGACAGGGTTTGAACCCTCCTTAGAATAAAAGTCTAACTATTTGGCCATACCGTCACTTGTGGAATTTGGGTATCTGTATCTGTTTTAGCTTGACCATACTGGAGAGTTATGGTTCTATCATACTTCAACTTGCACTAAAGGTGTTAGATAGTGTTTTCTTAACACTTGATAAAAGTTAAGTATTGTGTGCAATTTCATTTACAAATGGAGGTTTTCACTTAAAGCTTCACAAGTCTACAAGGCCATAATTGTAGGTCACTAACCAAAATGAAAATCTCGATCATGGATTTTGACTCTGTTACCCTAACTTACCTAAGAAATCTTGAGCATGGCTCCTGTTGTGGGCTATCCCGGTTAAAAATAGTTGGGCATTCTGGTAAGACATAACAGCTATTGAGAAGTAACATTAATAGTGGATTAGCCTGACATATTCCCCCAAAGGACTTGAAGTAATGGTTATGTTATAGCTAGACTCTTTGTTTCAGAAAATATTTCACAGCTGTTGCTTTAAATGTTTTATGCTAGTATTTGTATGTTGCAACAAATAGGTAATTAGTAATATAATGATATTAATGTATGTCTTGGGAATAGGATGTTTTTTATTTTTGAACAGAACTGTTCTGTTACAATATTAACAAGGACTTGTATACATGTTACAGGTAAATGTTGTGACGAGGGTAAATCCTACCTGACAGAGGTACCAGACTCCCCGGCCTCACAGTCCTTTGCTACTATCATAGACAGTAAGTTTATACAGACATTTACTACCCACTGTATTTGAGGCATATAAATTTTCACACAAGCTATCTAATAAACACTTTTGTATAAGATGTAGTGTATCCTTGTGATTATCAGCTTGGATAAGATATTTTACTTTATTTTTACATGAAGTTAAACTGTTTATATACAAAATAAAGAACCCTATTTCTTTTCATCATAACCAGACATAGCAGCTTTTCTGGAGAGTCCAAATTGTCCTCTATACTTTTTTATTTGGCATATGCTGACACCTTGCTAAATCCAGCAATGTTAGATCAAGTCCTTTTATGAAATTGCAAAGCTTTTGGGTATTGAACTCTCAGGCATGAAGGGTTAATTGTTGAAATTATCTTGAACCATGAAGCCATCTTTATCATTCTTTATCAGCTACGTTATTTGTATTGGATGAAAGGTTTCAATTAGCTTTTAATGTTAGATTCAGCAGAAGAAGAAAATTGTGATAATCTAACATTTCTAAATTTCAGAAATAAAAGATCACTGTAGAAAGTTGCGAGAGAGTAGACAGTCTGAAACAGGGGAGACAAGTGCAAACATGGAAACATCTTGAAGAACTGGGTCCAATGATGTATTAATGTCTACTACATCAGTGCACAAGGGTGATCACACTGCTTTGATTGTACACTAAAACACTGTAATTGGATCAGTACAGTTTGTCATTAGCACATGGCTAGTTTTTATTATATTGAATATTATAGGTTATATTTTGTGTTGAGAAAGTTTTTTGTCATCAAGTTTTCATCCTCATTGAAGTAGTAGCAGCAAAATTGGCTACTGTGATGGTATTTGAAGAGAGCCAGGTCAGCCAGCACATTTAAACAGTTTGATCAGATCATTTTGTTGACTTTGTCAATCTTGTTATATTATTTGTCAATCTTGTTATATTATTGATGTCGAAATCCACCATAGTAACACTAAACATTTTATTTTTTAAAACATGACAAATTAATTACACCAATTTAAACTTTAAGCAGGGTTAAACTTTTGACTTCTAAAGATGTATCAAAGATGATAAAGAAACCATAGTTTCTTTGAGAGCAAGTTGCAAATTTTAGTTCACTGTGTTTTGTTAACATAATTGTTTTGTGAAGTGTTATATTAAGGGACTCTTTAAATGATTGTTCAAGGGGTTTATTATTGATAGTCAAGATGGCTTTCATTTCATATTTAAATTAGATAGTCTATTTTTTTTAATATATACAATAGTTCCTGTATGTCTGTTAAAGTTAAATGTCACTGTTTTTAACTTTGCAGGTCCCAATTAATAGATTGGTATATTGTGTGTGCCATATACATATCTATAATTTTATGCATAATATTAGTGCTACAAGAATTTTATACATGTCTGTTACAAGGATGAAATAAAAAGAGATACATAGAATTTTCATGTTAATATAAATGCTGTTTTTATCATGGCAAGATATGTAAGCTGCACATTGTGCAAAATGCATTGTAACAGCATCTTGCAAAAATGTTTGTTACGGATTACTGGTATTTTTTATTAATCTTTGTTTTACTGTACACAATGATAATTAAAGATGTCTTTTACTAAAAATGTGTTCTTTTTTCACTTTCGTTTGTTGTCCGAATGTCTCATTCATCTGCTGTTACCGCTTTATGTACTGTAAGGATTTATCATGGCTGATGTACTTTAAAAAGTAAGGTTGATTAAATTTTCTGAATATATTTCAAAGCAGCCCAAAGACAAAACTGAATCCAAAGTGGCAGCTGATTCACACGAGTTTAAATAATCACGAAAATATTATTTCATTACTTGTAACTAATTATCATTTCATTTGGTATGTTCAGACAGAGACATAGATAACATCTATCTATGTCTCTGGTTCAGATGTGAAAGTAAAATATGGCAAATATGAATGTGAAGAAGCACATTAGCCACAATTAATCAGTTATCAAAAGGATGTTTTTCCAGAAGACTGGAGATTTATGTACCATTGGATGTAGATCTTGGCCAATAACTTGTATACAAAATTCAGATTTTGTAAAAATGACCTGCCATTTAACACTTTTTCACACAAATCTAAAAAGAATAGACCTAAAAAAAAAATTTCAAAGTAAATTTCTTTTTCATCTTTTGCCTATCTTTATGTTTCAAGTGCCCTAGTTTATCTCTGCAAGAAATTGGAATTTTATGTTACCGGACTTCAGTGGAGTTCCTTTTACTCGTATATATCCTGAATTCCCTTACTTTTTCCAGTTGCATAAGCTTTCTATCAATGGAACTAGATACCAAAATCTAATTATGATGACTGGGCAGATGTAAACATTTTTTTTATTTACCTTGTATCAATGGATAACTAGATGTACCCAACAATCAAACTGAGGGAAAACTAATAAAAAAAATCTTCATTAAAATTTAAAACGTTCTTTATTGAGATGAGATGGAGACAAATGAAGCATGTTTCACACTTACAATGATGTATATATATATATATATATATATATATGTGTGACAGCAAAAACAATATGGACCAACATAAACTACAATGTATAAAAAGATTTGCAGTACACAAAATAGTACATGTTAGAAATAGTCTCACAAATTACTACAGGAAAAGGCTTCAAAAGCATGTTGAAATACGATCCAATAATAAACGATGGTCCTTACTTCACACTTTTATTTAGAGAAATTAATACTTTTTCATCTGCATATATCATACAGTCTGGATTTCAATCAAGTTCTAAATGTGGTAGTCTACCAGATACAGAATATTAACTCACAAAATTTAACAGCATGTGCATGATTTTTATCCTTAAACAACAAATTAAATAAATTTTTATTTCAAAACAGAAAAAATCCCTTGATATCTTATAGGATATATTCTTCAAGCAACAGCCTTGTGAAATTCTGTATTAAAGATTATTTTACCAATGACTGATTTAACAAGAATGGATAAAAACAAAAAAAATACAAACTTGTTGTTCATTAGGTCCATGAAATTTTCTATTTGTAGAATAGAACAATGAATAAGTAAAAAAAAAGATCCCACAAATGGTATACCTATGAACAATTTTCCCCATTGTCATTGTGTTTTAAATTATATCTGAGTACATAAAACTTCATAAGCTGCCAATTATTCAAAACTTTTCCTGCACTATCATTCTTTATAAACACTTTCACATGGAAATTATTGTCAGAGTTTATCAATTTATAATTTCAGTTCACATTGATTGTTATAGGCCTTTCTGTGATTAAACATTAATCTAGAGACAAAAACAAGAATATTAAGCCTTCAAATTGACCACTTAACAAATAAAGACAAAAATGCAGTAGTTTGTAGTTTCGCACCAAAATTCTCTGGTGGTTCATAATACACTAAATGTCCATTTTTACTCTGGACAATTTTCTGACTTGTTATATTTTAATATTCTTTCAGGCTAGATTTCTGCCAAACTTTCCAATATTTAAGTTTCGTTTTATCAAGATGTTATCATGTTCATCTTCAGAATGCAGTATAGTTGGGGTTGTTATTCATACGTGACCTCATGTTAGAACCCATGTTTGAGAATCCGTCACCACCTCCCATGTTACCAAATCCGCCTCCAAAGCCACCACCCATGTTGCCTGAAATTACAGCATACGTATTTCTTAGTGTGCACTGTGCAGTCAAAAATAACATTCAAGCTACAAATTATTTCTTCATTACCTACATTTCATGACTCCTTAAAAGAGATTATCGGATAATATCCTCGCTCTAGAATCTAGTTAGTACTATGTACATCTGCACTGGCATAAAGCTTTTTGATACTTAAAACGCCCATTAAGACCAAAAACTGATTTTATCTTTTGCTTTCATTATGGAAACTTTTTGTTGTTATCTTGTTACATTTCTAAACCGTAACTCACTGACCATTGAGCTCAAGTACTTTAGGAATGCTTTGAATCCATCGTTTAAAAAATTTATAACCATATATCTGGTCTTTCTAAAGATTTTTATCTTATTTCTGAGGCTGCCTATAACTGTAAAAATTTGCAACAATGCTGAGTAATATTGCCATAGTAAAGATCCCTGCTCTCTATGCACTTATACAAGATAACTATGATCATACATGCAATACGGTATCATCATATTTACCTTTTCTCATACCTCCTCCACCCATCATCTCCATATCACCTTCACCCTGGAAATCATCGCCACCAAACATTCCATCACTACGGTTGTTAGGTGTGGAATTCAGGAATAACTCAATATATCTATGCTCTATGAAATAAAGAATTAAACATTTATGTATGTTTTGAAAGAATAAGTATTATCTTTGTAATTCGTATTTGTTTACGAGACATGTTCAATGACTTAAATACAAACAATACTGTTCAGCTGCTTCAAAACAAATAACTTAACTTCCTTTCCTCACTCCACACATAAGATGCAATACTGATAAGCCATCTTATGCTTTCCTTTAACATGGGTAGTCGGTATTTCACTGGCTTAACAAACTATAATTCAAAATCAACATACATGTACTTTTTTTTGAGAATTATAACATATTGTAAAAGAACTATAAGTTACTTGCAATTTAGAGTATTAGAAAACATTTTAGACAAAAAAAGATACATACGCATGTTAGCTTTGTGTTTTTTCATTGCTTCTTTAGCTTCTTGATGTGTAGAGAAATCAACGTTAGCTTCACCTGTTGGTCGACCCTGATTGTTAAACTCAAACTCTACCTTCACTGGTACCAATGGTGAGAAAAACTGAGAGAAAAAAAGATATCTCAAGTTTACTCTTAAATTGAAATTACATTACAACATTGAAAATTAACTAGGAAATATCTGTACAATACTTTACAAATTTAATTTTGTACGCCATTTATTCTAGTTTCAACAAATGCATTTATTTAATTTACTGAAATTATTTATAAACAGTAATTTAAAACAGTTCTGTATTAATACTAAACTGGTATAGTAACAAAGAACACGATAAACAACAAATGAGTATATAACAGACATATTATTACTAGATTCCAAACCAAGAATGATTTTAATAAACTTACATCAGCAACATCTTGGTCATTAGCTTGGAATGGTAGCCCTCTCATATGTACAGAATGCCCCGTCTTGCTAATATAATGACAGCCTGGTTGACTTCCGCCCTTCATCATTCCCATTCTATCTCCTCCCATACGACCTTGACCTGACATACCTTGTTGCCTCATGTTGCCACGACGACCCATTCCCATGCCCATACCTAAAGGAAGAGATCAAAACTTTTCAGAAAACTATTACTGAAATTATGCACTCTACATATTGAGAATATGCGCAGACAATATTAAGAATTTGCCCTGTCAACATTGAGACTATGCTGTGTCAACAATAAGCATATGATATCAATATTGAGAATATGGTCTGTAAATATTGAGAATATACACTAAAAATAAATAAATTTTGAAAATTTTATAGGATTAAAAATTACTTAATTCTTATTCCAATTAGTAATTGCAGTTTTTAAAAAAATCTTTTTGAGACCATATCAAGGTCCATCAAAGTGGGAAATTACTAAGAGGTGCAAGAAGAAATAAGCCAATTTGTTAATATTAAAACCATTTTCAGAAAAATATTATTTCTAAATGGCTAACAAGACATAATTTTATATTTACCTCCACCCATACCTCCTCCCATTCCCATACGACCACCACCACCACCACCTCCCATGTTGTTACCAAATCCCATATCATCATCATAATCATCGTCATAGAAACCTGAAATATTTAAACATTTTATGTAACTTACATTGCATAATGTCTTCAGAGGATGGCCACAAGCCTTACACAAAGGACCAGTTACTCTTTGATAAGGCTAGTAAATTTTATGAAAGTCAGACCAATTTAAATTCTTGTTTTCCTCATCATGTCATATTTTTATTTTAATGAAATTATTTCAGTATAAAATAAACCCTAGTAATGAACTAATGAAAAAACTGGAGCCAATAATTCATGTTAACCTCCATAAATACATATTCTAAAAATCTATAAATTGTTACTATAATGCCTCAGGGGAAAAACAGTTGTCTTATTTGCATGTGAGTGGCAACATTATCTCCTCAACAAGTGTCAACATAATTATATTGTTCTAAGATCAGTTAAGAAAGTTACCTTTGAGATTCCTGCCCCCACGACCTCTGCCATAGCCCATGCCACCGCCCATGCCCATGTTTCCACCCATCCCACCACCACCGCCGCCCATCATCCTCTCATTCCTGTTATACGGACTTGGGCGCATACCCATCAATGGCCGTGGTTGCTTGGCCATTCCAAAGTCCTGGTAGATATTTGCTGTAGCCTCATTTAAACTACTCTTAAATATTTCAATGTACCTGAAACATCATGTATATATACACAATCAGTAACTGTTATAACACAAAAATATGGGGAATCTGTTGGACAAAACACTATTTCAAATGGGACGTGCCCATATGCAAATGACCCTTCCAAAGATTTAATCTAAATTCATTATAAGCTATTGGAAATTATAGTTAATCAGTCAGTATTTAGTTTAAGTTCAATTTATTAACAACCTTAAATTTGCTAAAGGGAAACAAAATAGCAACATATTCAATTTAATAATGATTTAAGATCGACAAAATATTCTACATCAATCTCATAACTCTTGAATCTTGCTACCAGTAACAAATTCCTTTTTCCAGAGCAAAGTATAACAACTTGATAGAAAGACATCAAAACATTAGCCTTTTAAGCTTTGCTGTGAATTCTTTCTTCATTTTTTTTTTGTGTTGGCTTTTTCTGCCTGAATTTTTTATTTTCAGTATCAGGATAATTTGAGAATAAATGTATTTTTCTGTCTGAAGAAAAATATTGTTGTCTTTTCTGTGTTATATTAAACTGAACAGATATCTGAAAGGCATGCAGTCAAAAGAAACCAAACAACTTAAGTGCAGATAAAAATGTTTGACTGGGTCAAAATATTTGTGCAAACAATTATCATAAATATTGTGTAAAATGAATTCCAAAACTCCTTCTATTTTCCTTCATCATAGATGTGATTTCCATTTTTGATTTCAGTATTTATTTATTGATAACTCGGAACGTGTTGAATTATGAAAGCAATAAATTTTTTCACAATAGACCTCTTCCTTGGCGTAGATTAAGGTGAAATCTAAGAACGGCGTTACTAGTAAATCCTTATTCCAAAACAATTACAGGAGTTGAAAGTGGAAAATGTTAATATAACAAGATATCAGGAAAGACATATTACATATGTTTGCTTAAAAATTCTATCCAGTTAATCATAAAGTCAAATGAAAATTTTAGCAGCAAATTTTAAAATTATAACTGTCGCAATGGTAGTGGAGTGTGCACACTGTTAATAACAGTTCCTAATCTTGAATTCTTACTTATCTTGAATTCAAAACATAAACTTTACTTGATTAACTTGCATTCAACTTCAATATCAAACAGAATTCAACAAACACATTGCTTCCCAATAAACTAAATCTATAACGTAATAAAAATTATGTAAAATATATAAATAAACTTGGGGTATTCCCTAGGGAGCCCCCTACCATCCAGCCCTACCAACCAAACCGCTTATGCCCACCGTCAAAATACTTCAAGACCCTGTCTTGTGTTATGTTCTAGTAAATTTTCTTTAATTAACAGCCCCTACTGGGACCCGCCACTCCCACCTGTGCCCAATTCTTTCTTTGTGTTTGAGTAAAGCCTTCTCCGCTATCTCACAAGTAGCGAATTGTACGTAGGCGTCCCCCGTTGTCCTCCCATGCCGATCTTCTGGTAGCATTATCCCATTTGGTACTAACTCCAACCCTAGACACCCAGCCCAAAATAAACATACATTTAGTTGTAGAAGTTAAAGACAATTCTGACATAAAAGCCATATTGCACAGTACAACAATTAATTCAGCAGACAGTATTCATACATCTTACCCCTCCTTTGTCAAAGTTTCTTACACTTTGAATATTATACTTTTTCAGCCATATTTGATTATTTTCAACAATCGGACAAGTTTCTCTAAGCACCTCACTTACATGTCAAGACAATACCTTTAAACATTTTTTCACTCCTGGGAAAATATAAGGATGACAAATGTGTGTGCATTATGTAAAGCATATAAGCACAACATGTCTATATTAAACTTTGAAATATATCATATTTGTCTGTGTTTTATATATCTTGTATGTTCTATGTTATGTTACAAAACAATCAATAACACAATATTTATACAAGATTTCTCGTGTGCCAGAGAAACTCATCCTTATGAACAGGGACTTCTTGTTTTCCTGATTCGGCCATCAAATGTCTAAAAGCAATCATACATAAAGTAATTTCCTTGGTTAGCCACTAGTCAAAGGTAGTCCAACTATTTTCATAATGGGAGTTTTACCCCAATAATACCACTATAATTTGGTAATGGACTCAAAGATTTGCTGATCAATAGAATCAACTGAAACAAAACTGTTAGGAATCATATCAAAGCAGATCTGCACTTATATGAATTGTAACATGAAAATTATAAAACTGTTTATACCTTTAACTACATACACATCATCTTTAAGAAATAAGACATCTTTGGAAAAAAATTGTATTAAGTTTTAAATCACAATATAGAAAGGCAATACTTTAATGTCTGATCATTGAAGGTTATTTGTCTATCCTAAAATTGAATTTATAAAACCTGTTACGTACCATGATTAACAAAAACCTTCATAGAACCTCAAAACCATTTTTTACATTCAACATTGTGTTTAATATTAAGTTCAGTATTAAAGATAATGAGTTCATCGCCATACTATCATAACCTATTCTCTGAGTTCATAACCTTTTCTTCGACTTCATCCAACCTGTTCTTTCAGTTGATAAGTTACAACAGCATTGCTTTGAACCCTTGATATTACTTTTCATATCTTACTTAAATATACAAATTGCTTTTAAATTAGTTAACTATTTCATTTACTTCAAAGATAGCATGAAATAATGTCAAATTAAACTTGTCCATCATCATGTATATCAATGCAATCTTACAAACTTTTATCCTAAAACTGGGACAAATTTTCCCCATACCTATACTGATATGTATCCAACTTTTTCCAAATATATGAATAATTATGGACATTTCCAAGTCAATTTTTTTACCTGAAAAGAACTGTGCAATCTCCTCTTTAGAACAGCCAAATGGCAATCCCCTTAATCTCAAAACGGCCTCGCCAGATTGTGGTTGACTTCTACTAGATCGTTTAACCACCCATTCCATTTCACTCTGCTTAGACCTAAACACTGAAAAGAACAAAATAATAGACATTGTCTAATAAACTTAATGCAGAAAAGGTTTTTAGCCAGAGCAACCTTTTAAACTTACTGTATTATATATCAATTATAAGCAATGAAGTTTATACATGTACACAGACATACTAAGTTTTTCCAGTCTTTAATTTGCATTAAAGTGACATTATGCCCATCCAACTGTAAATTGAAGTGTACAGGTAAGTCAATGCCAAAATAGTTTTTCTTCTATTTTGCTTTGAAAAACAATATATTGTGTAACCCCCAGAAAATTCTATAAATATCCCATCAAATTTACCACTTACATTCACTTGAGATAAAGAGCAGAACAGTTTTATAGTTTATCCTAAACATTTGACACTTTCAATTTTTGGTCAATCACCATTATAAAGTCAATCTTTTGTAATATATTGCTAATTCAGGTCAACTTGGCTACAAAAAAATGAGCTTCATGCCACTTCAATATCAATATTTATTTTCATTAACCACTTAAGGCACATGAAAATGGTCTTATTACTACAACCCTGGTCTTATTACTACAACCCTAAGTATGAACACTTAATTAAATTCCAGTTTCCACGCATACAAAAGTTTTCAACAGATATTAAAATATTTCTTGTAAGTAGACTGGTTAAATTTATCATACAAGACCAACCTTCTATGTATCTTTGTCCCATGTGATCTTTGTGTCTAGTCAATGCTGCCTCAACATCTTCCTCAGATTCTAGCTCTATAAATGCCTCTCCACTCGGACGACCTTCTCGGGAAAATGTGAAATGAACTCCATTTTGAACAATCCTTACATTGTCTGAAGTGAAACAGATATATACACATTTCTACATGTTATTTTGCAGTACAGAAATTTACTCAGTATTGCAATGAAGAAAAATATAAAGAAAAGACTTTTAATATATAACTGATGTGATACTCAAGAAATAGGAGATGTGAATATTTTTGTTAGCATTTTTAAACAACGCATAGAAGATTGTTATACTCAAAATTGGCATGATAATATTAACAATGCCAGTAGATGTCACCATTATTGTTATTTTAAAAGCTTATTAAATGTAGAACGGTATCTTCTAATAGAAATCCCTGTAAAACATAAGAAAGCATATGCTAAATTTCGATGTTCAAATCACAAACTTTATGTTGAAATCGGTAGGCATTTAAATATACCTTTTCAAGAACGCTTTTGCAACTTTTGTCTTGAAAATCATTTAACTTATCATATTGACTGTGAATATCATGCTTTTTTCATTGTAAAAAATATTTAGAAATTAGAAATACCTATTTACTAAACTGGTATAATTCAAGAAATGAATTACATAACTTTTCTGAATTACTTTCATCAAATGATATTTTTATAATTAAGAAAATCTCTACTTATATTTACCACCTCATGATATCTATAGCACAGTAGCATTAAAATGTAATGATTGTCAAAACTTGTAAAAGACACAACCTTATATAATGTTAAATATCATATTTTGTATGACATGTATTTTGGGCCGGTAGCCTTTATTTACTGAATAAATCTTTTGACTTGACTTGTTTACTTTGTATATTACATCTCATAAATTTGAAAAAGCCCAAGAGTTTGTATGAAATAAATATTTCAATTATCACTGAACTCTTGAAACATACCTCCAAAAAATTCTGTGACATCATCTGCTGTTGCTGACCATGGCAACCCACGTAGACGGCAAACAAAACCATCATCCATATTTTCTACAAAATAAAATATGTTTTACTACAATCACTTAATAAGTGGAATGGAAGTGAACGTAATAAAAACATAAAACTATAGATTCATAAGATACTATCTACAACTATAGATTCATATTATATCCTAGAAAGATACTATCTATGGTTTTGCAGTTCATGTTTGTTGCAAGAAATAGTGTTTGGCTCAGGGTGTCCGTTTGACCCTTGAAATGACTCTTTGACCCTTCAAATTTCCAAAAGGCCTGATTTGACCTACAGTATTTTAACTGGAGGGTCAAATTTTGTTAAAATCATGGGGATTTGGCCTTGTAGTCAGTAAAATGTAGTCAAAATGACCCTCAGGATTTCATGGCTAGTGAACACCCTCTTGGCTGCACTTTACAAAAATATATATAACGTATTAACTTTGCTTTGCATGTTGTTAAGGTAAATGAATAATAAGAAATATCTTATTATTATATAATCTAATTGTACTTCTTCTGAAATAAAGTATATTTAGAAAAAAATGTTATCTGTCTTGCAGATTCGATAAAATTAATATAGATCTAGATTCTAATAAAATGTGTTTGTAAAGTAATATTTAAAAAAAAAATGAAACAAAAACGTGTTTACTTAATATCAATGATTCATAAGCTTCTAATTAAATCTTCCGTATAAGCGCATTGATTGTTGCCAAAATTCATTTGCACGTGTCATACGTTTTTTTTCTTCTATCAAATAGAAAGACCTTGTCTGTGCATTATCTAGTTAAAGAAATAAAGGACAGAACAGAAGTTAAATATGTAGAAATACAGTGAGATACGCAATCGTTTATCTTTACTCGCAATTCTACTGATAAGAAAAGCTTGTCTGCTGCTAGTTCGAAACTGTCACATCCGTGTATTACAAATAATTACAATAATTACAATAAATAGTGTTAACACAAACCAGTGATTTTCCTACTTATATAACAGACTCCGAAAAAGGGCCTCTTCCCAATTGAAATTTTCTTTAAAATCATGCAGTTTTCCCAAAATCTGAACTGAAACATGCTTTTTTCTTCCCAAATTAGCAATTTTAGCGATAATTTTTCCCAAAATCAAGAGGCTAAGGCCTCTTCCCAATTAAGCGAGAAAAATCACTGCAAACCTAAATATTAATAATTGAAAAGTGGGCCGAGTTGACCCGTGCCGAGTTGGAATAGGGCCGATCAAAGACTATACTTGTCTTTAAAAATTTCATACTTTAAAGGTTAATAGGGCCGAAACTTCTAGGGGCTGATTTCTGCACAAGCACCGATTTGGTTTGGGGCCGAAACGTCCTATTTGCATTGATATGCAACTTCCTCTTTACAAATGTTTCAACATTTGACAGAAATTCTTTGTCATGTCTTATATAGTTTCAGAAATAGCCCTACTTTCGCTTTAAACATATAATAGCCCTACTTTCCCTTTAAACCCATCTAATGAACATCAATTATGGCAGATAAATCAGAATAACCTTCGAGAGTAGATAGGAGAACCGGAACTTTTTAGCCAAGAATTAGGCAGTGAAAAGGGGCACACCGTCAAGTTATTTGTGAATTAGTGTGAAACACCTTGTGCAGCATTTGTTGAACTCTATCTACATTGACAATATGATATAAGGAATTTTGAGACCAAAACTGCGTGATAACTATTGAACGCACCATCGGCATCGCAGTAATTTCGTGAATCGTGCGCAGTCAAAATGAAACTTATGTTGTCTCAACTTAACAAGTGCAACAGATTATTCTCTTCAAAAAATATAAATGCACTGTTTTGATCATTTTGAATTACCTGACTTCATGCTGTTTTAGAGATATTTTAAATTCTTTTGCCAAAATTTCAAGATTTTGAACAACCAAAATGGCGAGGCGTTCAGCGGTGAAAAGACTAAGTTATTTCTCGTACAAATTATCCTGACAATCGGCACACCTCGGCTAGGGTTTGCCTAAAATACGAAAGTAAGATTTTTGACGAAAGTGAGCGAAAGTGCCTTTTAAAATTTGAATTGTACCGTTTTAATAGAATTTTACAGTAAAATTGCTGTTTGTAGACGTATATTATTAGTAATTCATTATATATAATATGAAAAAGGCAAAGCCTCAAAGCGAAGCGAGCTCGATGTACTTTTTACGTGAAATAGTATGAAATAATCTCAAATGCAGTGACGAGTGCGTGTGACGTCACACGTACTGTGTTATATATGGCCCCGTCCCTGTCGTGAAATGAATAACGAGTTTTGAAAACGTTGATAAAACTTTGTTTATTTTATTTCACTCTATAATTTTTCAAGCGAAATAAAGATTATTTTAAGTGAAATAAATGTAAAACTTAAAACGTTTGCGACATTAAAATAGCGTACTTGATTTGTTTGTTTTGCACGTGCTGTTTGGCGCTACATTGTGACGTCACCTAAACAATACTTTAAACGGCTGTACAGCGTTAACGACTGAATAAAAGATATTGGTGTTCGGATTCATTTTCTTAGTTAGACCATTTTCTTTCATTCTAGATAATTTTCACAACAAAATTCGACAAAAAATTGTTTTTATTTATCAGATTTCAAACAAAATGGCGCCTTCGATTTTCATTTTTTATACACAGCTTCCGTTATTCTGGTTCCCTGTCCAATTATGGTTCCCATAGACGTGCGCGGGTGACCAGTCTACACATCCGTTTTCAGTCAGAATTCCTTAGTTTTTACCGTTATCTTTAAATTCGAAAGGTTGCGATGTGTCCAATTTGGTATTTTGGACGAAAGTTTTCAAAACCATCACTTAGCAGGTACTCGCGTTACCGTAAAGCTCGCTTTGCGAGCAGGCCCTTCGGGCCAGCTCGTCGAGCTCGCTATTATAATAAATAACCATAATCATAATTAAATCGCCATTTATTGGCCTAATTTTAATATACAAGTTCATCGCTCTTCCTTTCGCTCGCAAAGTGACTTGTAAAGTATTAAATATAGAGATTAAATTGAAAATGTACTAAATTTGCAGTTTGTAGACGTGTATTATAAGAAATTAATATTATTTATTTTCTAAATTAATCATTACATTATGATGATTTATAGTTTTATACCCCATTTTTTTGCATAATTTCTATATACAATATCAGCGATCTTCCTTTCGCTTACATTGAAAAATACGAAAGTGACTTGTAAAATTTCAAATATAGAGTTTGATTGAAAATGTACTTAAATTGCAGTTTGTAAACGTATATATTATCAGATATTAATAATTGATATTCAACACTATATTTCAATTAAACATTATATTTGATATTTTAGAAGTCACTTTCTTATCTTCTATGTGAGCGAAAGGAAGATTGCTGAACTTGTATATAGAAATTATGTAAATGAAATGGGGTTAAAACATCATAATAATTACTTTTGAAAATAAATAATATTAATTTCTGATAATATATGCCTGAAAAATGCAATATTAGTATAACTTTCAATATAACGCTTTATTTCATATTTTGCAAGTCACTTTCGTATTTTTCAATGTGAGCGAAAGGAAGATCTCAGATCTTGTGTATAGAAATTATGCAAACAAATGGTGATTAAATCATCATAATGTTTATTTTTGAAAAGAAATATTATATATTTCTGATAATATACGTCTACAAACTGCAATTTTAGTATAAATTTCAATTTAGACTCTATATTTGATATTTTACAAGTCACTTTCGTATTTTTCAAAGTGAGCGAAAGGAAGATCTCAGAACTTATGTATAGAAATTATGCAAATAAATGGCGATTAAATCATTATAGTGATTTTTTTGAAAAGAAATATTATAAGTTGCTAATAATATACGTCTTCAAACAGAAATTTCACTGTAAAATTCTATTAAAACGGTACAATTCAAATTTTAAAAGTCACTTTCGCTCACTTTCGTCAAAAATCTCACTTTCGTATTTTAGGCATACCGCCACACAGAAAGGCCCGAGAAGATGCGATTGAAAGCGTTAGTCTGGTTCCCGTCGCGTCCTTCCCGTCGTACTATAAAATTTAGTACTATTTATTGAACGAGAGAAAAGGGCGGGTAATCCAGACGGCAATATGAAATGAAAGAGGTAACTTTTCACGGAAAGTGCAGTTACTTTTAAGACAGATATTCACCTTATCCACTACAAATATACTCTAAAATTACATATAATAATAGCAAATGAAGCTCAAAAGTGTATTTTGTTTTTGTTTTTTTGTATTTGTTGTGTTTGCTTGTTTTTTTTTACAATCAGAGGGGATAAAGATGAAGCACAGGAACAAATCTAACTATATGTTTACAAATTATGTATTTACCAAACAAATTTATATTCTAATATTTGATTAAAGTATCAAGAAATATGTTCAGTAGTTTTAAGAGTGTTAATACAACTTAAAATTATGTACAACTAAACATAAACTCAAAAAGAATGAGATATACTATTTTAAAATCAATTGAGCACGCATGCAGTATCACAAAATGACTGTAGCAAACATATAGCTTGCCAATCGAATACGAATACACGTATGAAATGAATTTCAGACAGTGCACGCTACTTTTTCCTGCAAGGAAATTTTCTTTCAGGCCTTAGCATAAAGCATAAAAAAGCTTCGCTCGTTTACAGCCACAAAAATTTAGATGTAAATTAACCGCCTCCGTGGTCGAGGGGTTAGAGACGATGACTTCTAATCCAGTTACCTCTCTGGCGTGGGTTCGATCCCCGGGAGATGCTTTGTTCGTTTAACGCGGAGGAAGGTAGTCTAGTACTGGTGTAACTCTCCGGGAACGATGGTTGGGAAACTACCCGCCTATAAGACTGAAATACTGTTTGGAAAATGCGTAAAATGAAACAAACAAACAAAAAAAAAACTTTCAGACTTAAATGCACACTGTAGTTAACGGAAGAATAAAATAGAGAAGAAAAAAACCTATAATCCATGAAGAACACAGCATCGGCAACATTTAAAATGTAGCAGTTTTTGTTTGATTAAACATGGAAGTTTGTGATATTTGCAATCTACCGTCCATGCCTTCTAGCACCGGGTTTTTCTCGCTATTTCGCTACGTTTGTTTTTACATCCGGCCCTATCATTAGTTTTGGATACTCATAGACAAACATCAGTTCACCTGTTAGTTTGTTATATCATACTTACAACTATTACTGTTTGAAACTTTGTAAATATTGTGTTAAGAATGTAGTTCTAATCTTGAAAGTAGACATTCGTTCAAAAGCTAAGCAAAATTATAATAAGCATTGCATATGTCACAAATATAGTCACTTTGTGTGGAGCGAAACATTTCCAATTTTGCCGACCATAACAGTTTCCACTTTTCATGAAAGTCAAAGACACTCAGTAGGGGAAACGAATGAATTTTAAGGCTCGATAAAGACTTGTTAAGATTGAATAGAAAAACGGAACCCCTTAACAACGTTAAAATATTGCAGGTTCGATATGAAAGACGATAATTGGCCTGCAAATTGACGTTCACTATCTTAGCACCGGCTTAAACCGAATTCATTATTTAAACAAGATGATGGTGCAATTTTATATTTAGAAACATCCGCAAGTGTGTTCATTTGACTGTAAAATGGAATTTCGAAACGGGAACAGCATACGTATCAAAGACAGACGTCAGGAGACAAAGACAAATAATTAAGAACAAAAAAACAAATAAAAAACAGGCAACATTATTGTTTGTGAATGATATTCCTAAGGCAATGAATAAAGTTTATGAACTATTTGCTGATAATACAAAAAATATCGGGTTATTAAAAATTTGGCAGATAACAAACTCTTTAAAATGTTTTACGTACGCTGTTTAAAAGGAGCAAATAACTTAACTAACCATAAAAATGCAATGTCATGCATGCATGCTTGAAGCAGCAATTTTGATACAATCTACGAAATACAACATAGATGACAACAATGTAGACATTGAAATCATTGACAGGGGAAAATGACATATATAAATTTCACATCTACTTTGAAATTTGACCATCACATTAGTCTAAAAATTGATATTGACCATGTTTCTTCATGTGACACCAGAACTGGTTGGTTCCAGGAAGCGGACTCGAAAGTGATTAATATAAGTTGCAAGAAATTAGCAAAAATAAATATGTTTAAACTAAAGTGAAGTCTCACATAAATCTGTTAAAAAGAAGTATGGATAACAATGTATGTGTTACTTCAAAAATCTTATGAAACCACTAATAGATTTCGGAAATATAATTTTTTTTCATTAAACTGTACGCGAACAGAGTATGAAAAAATACATGTGTTGCTGATAAAAATTTGGTAAAAGAAAACAGTATGCGTAAATGACTATATTTGTAGGATATTGGCGGTACCTCACTGCTTTGCACATAAGAAGCAAAACCGCAACTAAAAGGGAATTCACAAAGAATCATAAGGTATAACACATATAAGGGCGATCTTATAAGGTATTCAATTAGGAATACACGAAAATATAAAATACATGGGACTAACCCAAAACGGCAAAATTGAAAATTTTGCCTTCATCATAAATAGCTCCGTGCCTTCTCGATTCATGTGTACGAGAAATGTAAAAACAACACATTTCTCTTATACAATTTTTTAGGCATTAAAAAAACATGGAACATACATGTAATATGTAATTTTAAATCAAGTACGTAACATAAATTATAAGTTTTAGTTATTTTTATAAAAATCTTAAAAATGGTTTTTAAGTACGCCTGATACAAAACATTTGCGCTTAATTAAATTTAAAAATATATTTAATGACCGTGTCTAATGATAATGTAGAAAGAAAATAGAAAGATATAATTTTGTAATGATTATGAGTATACAAGTAGTGTCTCAAAAATGATAAAGGAACTTAATTAGCAAACCCTTGAGCAGCGTCGAAACATCGGTGCTGTAACCTACTTGTATAAAATCCAAAACAACATTGTCTTTGATGACCACCAACACCTTACTCAAACAAGAAATCTGAACTACCTGATACGTACCCTACTCGAGAACACAATACCACCAAAATTCTTTCTTCACTAGGAGCATGCGTCTTTGGAATAGCCTTCCTTAGACTATTCGGTCTAGACCCAGTTTTAACATCTTTATTGAGAGGCTTGACCCATTCTACAAATTCTAAATTGCACGCTATGTCTTTTAAATTAATAGTCCTGTAGAACTTTTATTCTTTTATCTTTTTAAATTTGTATATATATAATGTCTTTTATTAACGCACCTGCTAGTCATAATCAGAATTGATTGTTAAGCAGTATCATATAGATGTAAATGTAGAAGAGAAAAATGTATTCATGCTAGCAGGAGTCAGTTTCAAAAAGGGCATACATATATACGGTCAGTCATGTCAACCCAAAAGGTAGACTTATCCTCGCAGTTTCGGAGTTCAGGTAAAATAGTTTTTGATTTGATTTAAACATATTTTATTGCCAAAAATAAGACATATACATACATGTAAACAGCCACAACACAATGACATGACATATTTGCCAAAAGGGTTGACCCACAAGTTCTCTCAAATCAGCAACGGGTCTTCCCTGGAAGATAAATCAAAGGTTAACAATTAAAATATTTTTTAATAGTTTTCGCCTTATATTTCATGAAGTGACTTTTATTTGCTTTAACTGTTCTTTTCTATTGGACTGATGATGAATTATCATAGGACACCTGAGCTTAGCTTATCCATTTAACCATGAAGCGCCGTATTTTTATTAAAAAGGTCCGTATAGCAACCAAATTTTGTTTCCGGTCTACTGTCAAACGCCATATTTGCCTGTAAAATGTAAACAAAGAATGTATCTATAAACATCGGACTTATTTTATAAAATTATTGATTCAGATCTTTTGTATTTTGTAAATGATAATTAATTTAGCGTTTGGTTGGATAATCTGCTGAAAATATGAGCTTCCTCTTGTAAGTTTTTGTGTTAATCTATCCCTACTTTTTACTTCCTGGACTTGTAAAAAAAATCTATTACAACAAGTTGATCGTTACCTTAGGATACGGGCCTTAAGACACACTCAGATATTTTGCATTGGTATGAGTCACTTAACAAGTATAAAATCACACATAGTAATGTCAAAGACAACAGTTAACAGGATAAAGAAATTTTCAACAAGTATGTGACTCATAATTTGATTCCGTTACCAAGAAACATTCAAAATTAAAGGAAAATTCAATAAATTTGTCTGAGCACAGCTTAATGATTACATCACAGACTGTGACAGTTCTATAATATGTGAATATTATCACTCTTTGTTATGCATGTACATGCAATTTAATGTTTGCTGCATAACGTACATAATTTGCAAGTGAGCAGTGTTTTGTATAAAGTTCAAACCAGACAAGCTCATTCAAAAAAAAATGAGTTCCTTTCCTACTGTTATTGGCATCAGTGGATTATTTCATGGTTTGTTATGCTGGGAATTGTGAGCAAATCAATTCCTCTATACTCTTAAAGCTACATTAAATAAGTATGTAAAAATAAATTTGCCGTCCGCCTAAAAATCAAACATTCTACAGTTTCATTAACCTGTTTAACAGTATTGTAAATCTCATGAAAAAATGTTAATAAATTAGGATTTTAAACGGAAAACCCCGCGGTAACACTAAAGTTCGTATACGAATTTTAACATGCAAATAAAGACTATAATCAGCTTGTGTATGCCCTACGTCACAGTTTTATAGTTGCTATCCAGCAATATGATATTTTCTTGTGCAAACAAACTTTAACCGTTTTAGCTTCACGGTGCAGGTGCACTAAGCCTGGGGTCAGTGAAAGTAATCTCGTAAAAAGATTAAATTTGTAAATTGTATGAAAACATCCGTTACAATGCGGAAATATACCGTTAAATTAGGACTGCTACTTATAGTCATGTTTGTTGATTCAGGATTGATGTACGATAATCCGAAGGCGGAGTTTCTCATGCAAACAGAAATTGTACATCCCATTTCGCCACAATGAGGTTACCCATTTTTATGCTAAAAAATAAAACTCATTTTGGTTGTCTGGACACCAAAATAAGACCTGGAGTTGATATAAAACCCAATTTATTAATGAAATGTCGCTATCTGAGGCCCGCATGGAAGATCGGGAAACTGAATGTGTTAGCCTCATAAAATAAAGTTGTTACTTACTTACTTACTTACTTACTTACTATTTAGTTTTTGATGAAATTTATTAAATGTAGCTCTAAGCTGAATATCATAATGTTCATTAATACACTTGTTACTATTATATAGTAACAAAATTGCCTATGATTTCAACTGATTATGAGTGTCACGTGACCTATTATGAGTTTGCGGCCCGGGGCCGAGAACTAGTTATCAGCCCGCAGAACATGTGCACGTGCACAAACTGAAACAGTGACGTCACATTTAACGTCATCAAACAGTTAACTGTAAAAGTGAAAGTAGGTTGTCAGCACAAATCGCTTTATTTTTATTATGAGACCTTAAGCGTATTTTGACAAACACATTTTGTTACTATTGAAATTTGAAGAAATAATACGACAAATTCATTCCGAAAAAATTGAAAATAAAACTTGCTTGTTGGTTCTACTGCTTTGAACACACAAACAGAAAACATCTCTGTACAGAACAGTACTGTAGAAGAGTAGACAAGAATTTCAACAAAAGAACTTCAAAGTCCATTTGTTTTGATTATGTTTTTGTTATTTTTATACCCCCACAAACGAAGTTTAGGGGGGGTATATAGGAGTCAGCTTGTCGGTCGGTCCGTCCGTCCGTCCGTCGGTCGGTCCACATCATGGTTTCCGGACGATAACTAGAGTTTGGAATGAGGTATTGTAATCAAACTTGGTATATAGCAACCTTATGTGGAAACTCTGGTTGGTATTGCATTTGAACCCCCTGGGGTCAAGGTCAAGGTCACCGTTACTAAAAATAGAAAAATGGTTTCCGGACAATAACTAGTTAGGAGTGAGATATTGTAAACAAACTTTGCGTATAGCAATGTTATGTGAAGACCTGGGTTGGTATTGCATTTAGGCCCCCTGGGGTCAAGGTCAAGGTCATGGTTACTAAAAATAGAAAAACGGTTTCCGGACAATAACTTGAGTTAGGAATGAGATATTGTAATCAAACTTGGTGTATAGCAAGCTTATATGAAGACCTGGGTTGGTATTGCATTTGGACCCCCTAGGGTCAAGGTCAAGGTCACCGTTACTAAAAATAGAAAAATGGTTTCTGGACAATAACTAGTTAGGAATGAGATATTGTTATCAAACTTGTTGTTTAGCAAGCTTATATGTAGACCTGGGTTGGTATTGCATTTGGACCCTGGGGTCAAGGTCAAGATCACCGTTACTAAAAATAGAAAAATGGTTTCCGGACAATAACTTGAGTTAGGAATGAGATATTGTAATCAAACTTGGTGTATAGCAAGCTTATATGAAGACCTTGGTTGGTATTGCATTTGGACCCCCTGAGGTCAAGGTCAAGGTCACCGTTACTAAATATAGAAAAATGGTTTCCGGACAATAACTAGAGTTAGGAATGAGATATTGTAATCAAACTTTGTGAAAAGCAAGCTTATTTGGAGACCCCGGTTGGGATTACAATTAATTGAAATATTTCTTTGTACACAGTTGATAGTATGTGTTGAAATTTTTCTTCAGACTACTTATTATGCTCCCCGAAAAAATTTCGGGGGAGCATATAGTCGCCGCCTTGTCCGTCCGTCCGTCCGGCCGTCCGTCCGTCTTTCCGTCCGTCCGTCCGTCCGTCCGTCCCCTTTTCTTGTCCGGGACATAACTTTGAAACAACAAGAGGTATCAACATGAAACTTTGTAGGTAGATAGATCTCATTGAGTAGGTGTGCAGTGCACAAGAACCGTAACTCTGCCTTGCCTAATTTTTGAATTATTCCCCTTTGTTTATTTTTACACTTTGAACTTTGTCCGGGACATAACTCTAAAAGTATAAGAGGTATCAACATGAAACTTTGTAGGTAGATAGATCTCATTGAGTAGATGTGCAGTGCACAAGAACCGTAACTCTGCCTTGCCTAATTTTGGAGTTACTGCCCTTTTTTCATTTGACACTTTTAATTTTGTCCGGGACATAACTCTAAAATTATAAGAGAAATCAACATGAAACTTTGTATGTAGATAGATCTCATTGGGTAGAAGTGCAGTGCAAAAGAACCATAACTCTGCCTTGGCTAATTTTTGAATTATTCCACTTTGTTTATTTTTATACTTTGAAATTTGTCCGGGACATAACTCTAAAAGTATAAGAGGTATCAACATGAAACTTTGTAGGTAGATAGATCTCATTGAGTAAAAGTGCAGTGCACAAGAACAGTAACTCTGCCTTGCCTAATTTTTGAATTATCCCCCTTTGTTTATTTTACACTTTGAACTTTGTCCAGGACATAACTCTAAAAGTATAAGAGGTATCAACATGAAACTTTGTAGGTAGATAGATCTCATTGAGTAGGTGTGCAGTGCACAAGAACTGTAACTCTGCCTTGCCTAATTTTTGAATTATCCCCCTTTGTTTATTTTACACTTTGAAATTTGTCCGGGACATAACTCTAAAAGTATAAGAGGTATCAGCATGAAACTTTGTAGGTAGATAGTTCTCATTGAGTAGGTTTGCAGTGCACAAGAACCGTAACTCTGCCTTGTCTAATTTTTGAATTATCCCCCTTTGTTTATTTTACACTTTGAACTTTGTCCAGGACATAACTCTAAAAGTATAAGAGGTATCAACATGAAACTTTGTAGGTATATAGATCTCATTGAGTAGGTGTGCAGTGAACAAGAACCTTAACTCTGCCTTGCCTAATTTTTGAATTATCCCCCTTCGTTTATTTTTTACACTTTGAACTTTGTCCGGGACATATTTCTTAATGTATAAGAGATATCAACATGAAACTTTGTAGGTAGATAGATCTCATTGAGTAAGTTTGCAGTGCACAAGAACTGTAACACTGTCTTGCCTTCTTTTGTAGTTATTGCCCTTTGTTCATTTTGACACTTTGAACTTTGTCTGGGACATTATTCTAAAATTATAAGAGATATCAACATGAAACTTTGTAGATAGATAGGTCTCATTGGGTGGAAGTGCAGTGCTTAAGAATCATTACTCTGCCTTGCCTTATTTTGAAGTAATTGCCCTTTGTTTATTTTTACTTTTTGACTTTTGTCCTGGACATTACTTTAAAACTATTAGAGATATCAACATGAAACTTTGTAGGTAGCTAGATATAATTGGATAGAACTGCAACGCTTCAAGAACCTAAACAAAGCCTGGTGTAATTTTGGAGTTATTGCCCTTTGTTCATTTTTTTTTATACTTTCCTGTGTCCAGAACCTTCTCGGGGAGCATCACCCGGTTCAACCGGTTCTTGTTTTTCAAAAAGTTGCTGGTGGGGGTATTAATCACCTTCAGTGATAGGTCTAGTTTTGTTTGTTTTTTTAAATGCTACTATTAGATCTACCAAGTGTATTAAAGACATTAATACACGTCAGCGTAGGGCCGGAAGGTGATAATCGGCCCTGAATGAATAATGGCCCTCGGGCTAAAGCCCTCGGGTCCATTATTCATTTTGCGGGCCGATTATCACCTTCCGGCCCTCTCCTGCCGTGTATTAACCTCTTATAAATCAAAGGTTAACAATTTCGTGTCTAAGTCTCTACGTCCCTGTGATGGGTTTAACATAGGGAGATTATGTTTTCAATTTATTCATTGAATTCAATCTATAGTACTCGCCGTGGGTACCCACATCCTTGCTGGCAACTTGGTGATCACACGTCAGTTGGCATCTACTATAAACAAATATGGGTTGACGTAATTAATCGAATTGTTTTGGATTGTTGAGTATTACTTTATGGTCACATGTATTTAAAATTAAAGATAAAGCAGGTAATACCAGTAAGAGTAATTTGTTTTCATTATTACAAAATTACAGAAATATTAACTTAAGTACTGCAAAACTAAAGGCACCAACCTGATAACACAATTTAGAATATCAATATGCTTTTAAAACTCAATTCTTCCTGTCTTGTGCAAATATTTCTCCAATGGTCTGAAGGGAAGTGCCATTTCTAACTTTTCTTGTAGCTTTCATTAATTTTTAAATAGATGCAAGTAAGAAAGAACAACAATAAAACAACATATTTTTTTTAAGTATTTTGCATACATTTGTGATGATTAAAACAAGAAGACAAAACACTATGATGATAGTTTATATAACACATATTTAGGTTCCACTGTACTAGGCAGGTTTGTATTTAACCAGTAATTACCAATGTCTACGAAAGTGACCAACTTTTAAAGCTTTCGACGGACATGATTTCTGATTCAGCTATAACATACAAATGACCATTAGACTCAATATCCAAGCTCAGTCCTGTTGTCATGGAGAAATATCACATTGCTTAGTATAAAATCATATATTATGAATGGTAGGAAGAGTTCTTTTAGAGGCAAAAAGTGCTCACTGCTGGAATGAAAAAACTTGTTATATATTGCTGGTATGCCATTGTAATTTTGTATCTCTACATTCATTATTATATAAATGCCAAATTATACTGGTTAAAAATTTGTTTACAGTGGCAGTCGGAGCAACAAAACATTCAAGCCAAAGAAGAATATACCAGAGGGGACGCATCAGTATGATTTGATGCAACATGCTGCTGTCACTCTAGGTAGTGGAAATCTTAGGTTAGCAGTCGCACTGCCTGAAGGTGAAGATCTCAATGAATGGGTTGCTGTCAACAGTAAGTGATTAATTCAGTAAATAGGATGATTTTAAGCATGTTCATTAAATTGATACATGTGACGATGTCCATTCTATTTTTGACATTTTTATGACATTTATATGTTCATTGTCATTTGAATAATCGCTAATGCATTGGTGCTGATAATTCTTGTTCCTTTAGGAAGTAAATTTCAAATCACTGTTTACTTGCCTACTGACTAAATACATACATGTACAAAAGTCAATGTACATAATGTCTAGTGGTTTGTGAATAGCAGCTTCCTTAAAACTCTTGTCATTATGAAATGATAAAATTTCCTGAGGAAATCAGTCAGTGCAAACGGTACTTTATGAAAATTATGCAGATTATATTTTTATCCCCTATCCCCCCCCCCCCCCCAACCCAATTTAAAAGTGAGAGTATACTGTGATGGAGTCAGTCCAGAAGTACAGTATAAAAATAAGTCAACTTGTACTTGTCTGATCAATAACTTGAGAATGAATACGCTAAAGTTTGTTACTAAGAAGGTTATAGTATTATTATTATTTAAGAAGGTTAAAGTAGTATTATTACTATATCATTATCACTAATTGACTTATAAATATAACTCTAGTTCGACTTTCATAAATAATGCATAAGTACATGTATTTACATTTGTAAATAAGCCACTATGACAGCAAATTAAGTGGAGGCATAAATGCCCTATGAACACATTTATAGTTACAAGTGTTTCTCCTGTGTTGCAGTTTGTGTTAAGCTCACAATTTTAAGATTTAGAAACTCACAATTTTAAGATTTATTTCCCTGCTGAAACTGAATCAGATTACACATGAATAATTTATTTTACAGCTGTGGATTTCTTCAACCAGATCAACATGTTGTATGGCACAATCACAGAATTCTGTACAGAAGAAACATGCCCAGTGATGTCAGCAGGACCAAAATATGAGTATCATTGGGCGGACGGACAAACAGTCAAGAAACCCATTAAATGTTCAGCACCAAAGTATATAGATTATCTCATGTCTTGGGTCCAAGATCAATTGGATGATGAAACACTCTTCCCTTCCAAAATTGGTTTGTATTCTATAGCATATTTTGGGCTCTAGGCATTTATTTTGAAATAAACTTTACTTAGTTAATATAGTAGAATTTATAGAAAAAAGAATTTATTAATATAGCCAGTGATTGGTAAGCATTTCTCCATATTGCCAATTTATACTATAGTCTTCTTTCATGTGAGGAAGCTATCCAGCTAGCTTACGGAACGTCGGTGGTTCTACTCAGGTACCCGTTTGTGCCTGAAATAATGCACGGAAGGGCACCTGAGGTCTTCCTCCACCAGTAAAGCTGGAACGTCGTGATATGACCTATACTGTGTCGATGTGATGTAAAACCAAAAAAAAAAAATATATATATACTATAGTCAATTAGACATAATATATCAAAGGGTATTTTATGGACAGTAAACAAACAGAAAAGTAGGTATCTTATGATGCAATTTATTTATGATATCACATTACAAGAGTTGTCACTTTTAGGGGACTTCTCTTTGTGATCTTTTATAAGTGTCCTCTTGCACATTGTCTTTTAGTTCCACAGTGGAGTAGATATTTGCTGACAAGAAATAATATCAGAGTATTAAAAGTTATTTAGCTGTTTCTGAAAATTATGTAAAAAATATTTTGTACAGCTGCATGTATAAAAAAATGTTTGGAATTCTACATTCAATGAAATTAGACCTATGTACCTTCAAATCTTAGCTATAGTTTCCATTTGCCACACAACTCACTAACTACATTCATGTTATATCTTCCTTGTTAAATATGCAAATTTTATTACCTTTTGAAGATTGAATAAATATGTATTTTATATGATTGGATACTAAGACTATAGCAAAAGGCAGATATGGCATTTTTAACAAATTAATGTGTGACCAACTTTGAAAATGCTGATAATTTATTCCTGTTATATGAATGCCAAATGTACAAAATATCACGTCCTTTCTGTTTCAGGAGTGCCATTTCCACGGAATTTTCTATCCATAGCAAAGACAATATTAAAAAGATTGTTTCGTGTGTATGCACATATCTATCACCAACATTTCAAAGAGGTCATGCAACTCAGCGAGGAGGCTCATCTGAACACATCTTTCAAACACTTTATCTACTTCGTGCAGGAGTTTAATCTTATCGAACGTCGTGAGCTCGCGCCACTCCAGGAGCTCATTGACAAGCTGACGAGTAAAGACCGATGAGGGAGAAAAAGGAGATTCCATTTTTTAATAGCCATTTTTTTTATGCGATGGATATTTGACTTGCTTACGATTAAGCACCGTCTGATAATATGATATTTTAAAACTGTTGGACCACTATGTTTTCTTTATTTCGTGTGTATAGATGTACAGAAATAATTTTGCCGAGGTTTTTTTTCATGTGTGATAGTGCTTTTATCCCATGTTTCTTTTACAATTATTGTTTTTTAATTACGGTAGGCAAGCTAAATTTTGTTGACTGAACAAATTTGTAATAATGTTGCTTATAAACTGGGAGATAAATGTTACTCATTGCTTTGTTTAGAACTAAAATGGGGAAAAAATAACTTACATTTGTTAACAATTTTTAACAAAAGGGCAAACTTGACTGTCTCAGATGCTGTTAATAAGTCTTATATTGTTTTGTGGGTGAGTGTATTGGTCATGCTAAATTTAAGAATATTTTCGTACTGCAAATTTATATACAAGGAAAACACCCTCATAATTATGAAGATTTTATTCTTATACAACTTTTGAGTTATATGAGGGATAAAGGATAATATGAGCCGTGTCATGACAAAACCAACATAATGGGTTTGCGACCAGCATGGATCCAGACCAGCCTGCGCATCCGCGCAGTCTGATCAGAATCCATGCTGTTCGCTTACAAACTCTATAACAAGTAGAGAAACCGATAGCGAACAGCATGGATCTTGATCAGACTGTGCGGATGCGCAGGCTGGTCTGGATCCATGCTGGTCGCAAACCCATTTTGTTGGTTTTGTCATGACACGGCTCATATATCTATTCTTAATTGGAAAAAGAAAACAGGATAAGGCCACTCTTGAATAAATATAAGATGGTTTAAAGAAACAGATCATTTGAAAGTCCTGTGACCACAATGCCAACTAAAATAAGTTCCTTTTTCTTGTTTATGAAATGTAAAAAAAATGTCGGACCGTCCTCTCAGTTGAGAAAGTTTGCGTCTTGTACTGGTAACTAAAATATATTTAAGGGTCAGTGATTTATTTTCCAATTTTCAAAACAACCTGTGGCTTTCTGAAGGGGAAAATATAGCATGTGAAATCAGAAAAGGGAAAACTTAAATTCAAACAACTGAGAATGAAATTTTATAAAATTTTCAATTTCAGTTCAATTTTACATGCATGGTTCATAGCAGAGGCTTATCTATAGGGACAGCTTTCTGTCTTCTAGCTGATACAAGTCAGCTGCTCTCATGAAGAATGTGCACAGGGCATTATAGGGGAAAATATTAGCATTTTTAGGGGAAAATATACCTATTTTGGGATAGGGGAAACAGCCTTTATTTGGCTGTAAAATACAGGGAAAAAATCACTGAGGGTGGTCTAATTGGATACAAATTTGTATAAATTGGGAATATAGTGCAATAAGAATTCAATGTGCTTGAATCATTTAATGCAGATCTGTCATTAAATTTCAGATTAAAATGACAGTGATCAATTGATAATTGGATTATATTGAAAATTTTACAATTGTTCTGACCTACATGTAGAAATCTTTTGAAGCTCCACATTGTAATTATGTGCAGTATTTAAATATTTTATTATTATGTTTCTCTCATACAGCACTTTATACAACTTACTTAACCCTTAACTTGCTGAATTTCTTAAATGGACTTGCCCAGCGTACATTGTTGAATCAGTCCATTATTAATTTTGGGGACAATAAATTGAGGATTTTTAAATTGATAAGCCAGTAGTAAAGAGCTGGGAAAGAATGCACATAGCCTACATTAAATTTCAAAAATCGAAAATCAGACTGCAAAATGTAGGTAAAGAAGGGAAAGCATTATATTTTGAAAGCCGCATGCCAAAATCAGGAGCTAATGACTCTGAAACTTCCACTAATGGAAGCCCTGAATGTACAAAAGTGCAGGCTTGTTTGACTACATACAGGTGGCAAAGGCAGATCATTTAGTTTCAGCAGATTGAGGGTTGATAACACAAATATGCATATAACTTTCTCAACATATGTGTAATTGATTATGAAGTATAGTGTATTATTATGAAGAGGGAATAAACACTGTATGTCGGGCTTATGTTCAGCAATGTTTATAATGTCTATATTTTGATAATCGTTTGATTTCACACTTGGAAAAGAAATTTTTTTTAACCATTCCTGTAGTTTCACAGTCAACTCCTTAAAAGTTTATTTGATGAAGTGTTTGATCAATTCTGTGGAATTACCCACTTCCATAATCCCAAATTTTCATTGTGATATGCCTGTAATATACAATAGAATGTACCTGGTACCAAAGTTTACGTTTGATAGTTCCATTCTAGAGATTAAACATTGATGAAAATGAGCCCAATGTGTGTGTGTATATATATAAAATAATGTGCTTTATTAAGCCAACCTAGTCTAACTGTAGTGTTATTATGTGCACTTCAGCATTTGTAATTTCTGCTAGAGACTTTACAGATTGTAGATTGATGTTTTGTTTTATTTTTATTTTGCATTTGTTGCTACAATATGCATAATGTAGTGCTAGTCCTATTACATTTACTGCTGAGCACAATGGATATTCACATTGACAATTAATCCTATATGCCATAAATGCACCTGTAGTTAAAACTATTTGAACAGTACGCACTGTGGTAAGCTGGTACACACATGTGAAAACTGACCAGGCTATTTACTACTAGATACACAGATGTTTGATTTTATGCCTGAAATCCTAAAATCAGCAATGCACATGTTCAAATATGAAAACAAGTCTTTTAAAACAAAGAAATTAGCAGTGAATAGGCCTTTTCTAGAATTTCAAGTTGTGTTGTATGAATTTTAGACAATGTTGCATATATGTCTCAAGATGCAAAATTAAGTAAACAGCATTATGGTGTCTTTTCATGTTACATGGATTTGCAACCCTGTACTGACTGTTCAAACCACTTGCCCCCCACTGCTGTGGTTTGAGTCCCATCAGGGTTTTTGAATACTTTCAGGTGAGCAGGCTATCCAGCTAATGTATCAAACTCTGGTGGTTTTACAGAGGTGCTGGCTCAAGCCTGAAATAATGTAGTGGGACGCATCCCTCCAATAGTAAACCTGCAAATTTGCCATATGACCATTACCATGTTGGTGTGGCTTAAAACCCAACAAATAGAAGTTGTGTTTCAAATGTTAGAATTTTCATTGTATTCAGCAGTTACATGTACACATTTTAATGTTTGTTTTTGAGTACACATTTTAAGCTGTCTTAATTGCAATTTCTAATTTTGACTTTTCTAGATGTAATTTGACAACATATTTTTAGCTCGACTATTCGAAGAATATGAGAGCTATTGTAGTCGCCCCGGCGTCCGCGTCGGCGTCTGCGTTGGTTAAAGTTTTTTGTAAAGTCAAATATCTCAATTATTGCTTGAGATATTTAATTGAAACTTACAATACTTATTTATAGTAATAAGGTACATCAGATTGACAAGTTGGATAACTCTACCTACAATATTGACAGAATTATGCCCCTTTTTAACATAGAAATTTTGGTTAAAGTTTTTTGTTAAGACAAATATCTCAATTATTGTTTGAGATATTCAATTGAAACTTACAATACTTATTAATAGTAATAAGGTTCATCAGATTGACAAGTTGGATAACTCTACCTACAATATTGACAGAATTATGCCCCTTTTTAACATAGAAATTTTGGTTAAAGTTTTTTGTTAAGACAAATATCTCAATTATTGTTTGAGATATTCAATTGAAACTTACAATACTTATTTATAGTAATAAGGTACATCAGATTGACAAGTTGGATAACTCTGCCTACAATATTGACAGAATTATGCCCCTTTGAAACTTAGAAATTTTGCTTAAAGTTTTTTTGTAAAGTCAAATATCTCAATTATTGCTTGAGATATTCAATTGAAATTTACAATACTGTTTTTATAGTAACAATGTACATCATTTTGCAAAATTGCATAACCCTGTCTGCAATATTTGCAGAATTATTTGCCTCTTTGAAACTTAGAGATTTTGGTTAAAGGTTAAAGGTCTTCAGAGATATTTACTTGAAACTTTACACATGTACTTAGGGTCATAATTTGAGGGTCATAATTGTATGTCACTGACCAAGTTCCATAACTCTACCTTGCATTAAGGCTGATTCATATTCCCTTTTCTACTTAGTCTCTTGGTTAATGTTTACATGCAAGTTTTACATATCTCAATAACTATTAAAGATATTTATTTAAAACTTCACATATGCATTTAGGGTCAGAATTGTAGGTCACTGACAAAGATCCATAATTTTATCTTGCATTTAGGCTGATTTTTCTTCCCTTTTTCAACTTAAAAAATTCATGGTAAAGTTTTGCTTGTAAGCTGTTATCGCCATAACTACTGAAGGGTTTGTGCCTTTTTTGGGACAATTTTATGCATTCATAATAATAAACAGTGATTTACTTGATAAAACATCTTAATAACGTCCTTGGTACCTTTTCTGTCAATTTTATGTATTCATAGGTAATTAGTATTATTATACTCAATAAAACACCCTTGTGACATTACCTTCCAAATAGTCAAGCCGATGCTGTATAATTAGACTCTCTTTAAGGCCTATAACATGAATTTATAAAAAAAAATTAGCCCTTTTGTGAACTTAGAAAATTTAACATTATCAAGGCTCTTTACTATCAAGCACTTAGAATAGTCGAGCGTGCTGTCCTTCCGACAGCTCTTGTTAGATGTGAAGTTAAATGTAAGACGTTAATTGAAACCTTAATTTTATCTTGAATAAACATTTCTAGATGTTAAAGTTAATTGACATTTATAAGATGTTAATGGACATTTCTAGATATGTTTAGGTGAGCAAAAATAGTTAAATTACATTAAAACTTGAGCAATAAGAAATGTATAAGAGAATTTGGTATTAAGATATTAAAATATTTTAGAAAGGTAAGCTAAAGATAAATATTAATGTTAGTTAAGACATCCATATTTTGTTAATTTTTTGCTGTGATACATTGACATACAATAGATGTTAGGCTTCCAAAGAAATAGTTATTGTTGATGTATTCTTTTTATAGCCATACTCTATGTGGTTATACTCTTTTAAATGCAAACTGTTTTAGGGCTTTAAATATATGAGCAGTTAAAGAAAAGAAAAATTTTCTGGCACTACTTTTTAGCTAGATTATTCAGAGAATAGGGTGAGCTGTTGTTCTCAGCCCAGGGTTGATGTTGTAGTCACAATTTGGTTAACTTTTTGCATGCAAGATAGTGTCTCCCAACCACTGAAAGAAATGGATTGAAACTTCATACACTGTGATTATTACACATTATGGGCACAGGTTTCATAACTCTGAGTTACCTTTTTACAGAGTTGTGCCCCATTTCTTACTGTCATGTACTGAGAATAGTTGAGTTTTACTGACAGCTCTTGTTTAAAATGATGTTTGTGACAGTCGTTGTTTACAGATTTTTCACTAAAGTTTTAATTGTTGACACAAAGAGCACTATTTTATCTTGATTGTTCCTGATTAAGACAATTGTAAATATTATGATTTTTACGGGAA